TTGAATTTGTATAGCATGCTGATTTCTCAGTTCTCATTCTTGAGTCTCACATTTTGGACCTCAGGTCCCGGTTGGGGACACATTAAGACCATAAATTAATAGTACTATAGAACTATAGATCTAATATAATTTGTTAGAGTAATGGCTATCAATGGTATTGTTTTTGGTTTAAAATAATTCTGGAAGATACCATATTACTCCTATGTTTATTCTAAGGTGACAGCTATTAAAAATCGGCTGTTTAACTGGAAAAGCAAAGCTGTCAACATGTTCTACTTTGACGACTTCACAAATTAATCTTAAAGATGATTGATGAATCCACTATATGTGATTGCTGTGATTGGATCACATATATATATTAAACTAGAGCATTCTTGGAACAAAAGTTTTATTGAATATCAGGTATCAGGTGATGTAGTAATACTGGTTTAAGAAGTATATAAATAGATCAATTAAACTTAATGATGAAAAGCTCATTGGTGAAAAGAATGTTTGTAAAAGCTGCAACGGAAAGAAATCACGGATCATATATCATTTTAATTAGCTTGTATTAATTATTTGACTCAAGGCATTGTTTACTTCTTACGTTATGTTCAATATTGGGAAATGATGTGATAGATTAAAATTGAGCACCAACCGTACCCGGCTAATTTGAATCAACGCCATGTATTCATTCTGAAATCTAGCAAAAACACTAGGCTTCCGGGGATCAGTAGGTTCTGATTAATTATCATAAATCAAGAATACTACTTTCTGGTAGATTGTGCTCAGATCTATTCAATCATATCACTAAAGTATTGTAAATATAGATATATATGAATTTGTGGAGTAAGAGATCAATATAACTAGACCCAAGACCCAACTCGCTTAGGAAATCCCAGTCTCTCCGAGACCGATCCGTCCACGGTCCCGTCCACTCCACCGGAATCAAATGAAAATCGATTATCGCATCGCTGTGATTTTTTTTAAGGGCAAAGTTCAACTTTACCATAAAACAAACAACAAATAATTGAATTTAAAGGTTTTGAAGTGTGACAATTTTTAGTCTTTATTTATTGATCGTGCACTATTTCTTATTGTTCTTAAGACTTTAATTTGATACGGAGATTAGTGATTAAGTTTTCCAATTGAAAGTTATACTCATAGATTTTCAATTTGACATATATATATAAAAAGCTGGAGAGAATTCAAATTTAAATTTTTGAAAACAAATTTTAACCAATTATTCATTTCAACAATCCATTATACATTTCAATTAAAGAAAACATAATAAAATCATATATACACAATGCGTCCAACATCAATTAGCCTGAGACATGTTCCATTAATTAAATTTATTGGTGGTAGACATCCACGTCCAAGTGAGTACAAAATAATTACCTACTATATTATGATGGAGTTAAAGAACATTGAATTTTATATACTAACATCAAAGCTTTAGCAAATTTAGATAGATCAGTTAAACCACATCCAGAATCTCAAGGTATAATACCAAATGGTCAAGGTACTGTTAAGATTTCAACATTTGCAGCAAGTCAACCAAAACATTCAAAACCACCTTCAAAATCACAACAATCTACATCATCATTAAATTCTAAACCATTTGATTTTGTTTCAGTTAATGAATTACCAAAAAGATTCCAAAATACTCCTTTTGAAGAATCAGAAATTGAAAGTATTAATAGTGGTGTTGGTTATCTTTAAATTTGAATTGAAATCTTAAACCCGATTATTGGTTTTAAGAACAATACATTCAATTATAAACTGCTATAAACAAAAAACAAAAGAATCTTCATAACTTCACATACACTAAACAAAAGACTATCTAAAATTATGTGTGGTTTTATATGATTTTTATTTATTTATATTGTCATTTGAATTCATATTTTTGCAAAACATTATTCAGATTTTTGTAGGGTATAACGTTTAATGTAATTTGTTTAAAGACTCATATGGTGAATTGGTACATATAGCAATACGCTGATTATGGTCTACTTCGTCAATTATCGAACTTCAGTAACATCATATCTAGTTAATCACCGTGTTATATAGATGTAAGATCTCGGTGCTAAGTTCCACGCGATTGCTAAAGTCATAACCTCTAAATTCCAATCATATTATATAGCTAAATAGCTACAATAAAGAATGCGGAAAAATGAATCATTTATATAATATTGAAAGCAGCAGAATGTAATTTTTGTAATCAACATTCATTGACAGCTAACTCATATATAAGTATTAATTGGTATGGATGCTAGTGAAATTATTTTCGATTTGGAAAAATTAATCCACTTCCATAAATTCACAACGCTTTATGAATATTGTGTCTACAAGTGGTTCAATAACAACTTGAATATGGATCATCGTAGACAAAAACAGAATGTATAACCAATTTTGAAATCAATTGTTGAAATGGTGTCTTTTCTTCTTTAAAAGGTTTCCAAAGTTCCAAACAAAAGATCAAAACTCGCGAATTCTTGGAAAATTCACAAATTGAATTCGCGAAATCACCCGCGAATTTTTGGGCTGTCCAATTTCTGGATCTCTATTTTTGCCACTACAATTAAACAAAACAAGTTTTAATATTAAAGCCAAAATCATTTCAATTCAATTCAATTCAATTGAAACAGGTTCAATTATTATCAACTAAAATTTAAAAGATGGATCACGATCCTTTCAGATGGGGTAGACCTAACGATCAACATTATGGTCAATATAACAATGCCATTGCCAATGCTGGTATAAATACTCATAATGAACAAAGTATGCCAAAAATGAATACTCAACAACCAATTGTTACTGGTACTTCAGTTATAGCTATAAAATATAAAGATGGTATAGTGATTGCAGCTGATAATTTAGGTTCATATGGTTCTTTAGCAAGATTTACTGATGTTGAAAGATTATTCCCAACTGGTGATAATGCAGTTGTTGGTATTAGTGGTGATATATCAGATTTACAATATGTTAGTAGATTATTAGATGATTTAGAAATTGAACATAATTATGATTCTGATGGTCATCAGTTAAAAGCTTCTCATATACATGAATATTTACAAAAAGTTTTCTATCATAGAAGATCCAAGATGGATCCTTTATGGAATTCTGTTATTGTTGCTGGATTAGATGATGATAAACCATTTTTAAAATATGTTGATTTATTAGGTGTTACATATTCTGCTCCAACTTTAGCTACAGGTTTTGGTGCATATTTAGCTGTTCCATTATTAAGAAAAGTTGTTGATAAAGAAGAAGATGTTGCAAATGTTGATGAAGAAACTGCAACTAATGCAATTAGAGAATGTATGAAAGTTTTATATTATAGAGATGCAAGATCTTTAGATAAATATACTTTAGTTACAATTTCTAAAACTAATGGTGTTAAAGTTGAAAAAAATCAACAATCAAAAGAACAAAGTTGGAGATTTGCTAAAGATATTAAAGGTTATGGCACACAAGTTGTATAGATTACAATATTGATTGATGTTATGAAGTAATAGATTAATAATCGTATTGAATCTGATTTTCAGTATATATATAATCGGATTTATTTATATAATCGCGTGGTCTCTCATCTTCTTTCCCTATTGGTTACTATATGATGGAAATGGAAACCCAAATGGAAAGTCAAATGGAAGCCTTAAATAACTCTTCCATGCGTATAATAGCCACGATGCATCACCAGTCTAAAAAATAAACCACATTTTAAGCCATTTGAAACATTTACGAACCTGGTTTAAATAAATTGGTGTGATTGAATTGAAATAAGTTATAACCAATAAAGTTTTGTTCAATCTCGTATTCCAAAGGGAATTAAAACTCGCGTATCGAAAACTCTTTCTAGAAGGATCCTGCCTAATTTCAATTCCCGTCTGTCTAGAAGTTTTAGTGGCTCTCGAGTCTCCACCTACGCTCCGCCTATCTCCACCTAGCTCTCACTGTTTAGCCGTCCAACCCCTGCTTATCCTCTGCCTAGCGTTTAGGCAGACTTCGGCATAGAAAAAAGTTCCAGCGCAGAAAAAGAAACGAAGTGCACTGATTGTGAATAAAAATTTAAGTTACCTGACATTATACTAACTACATTTGAATAAGGAAATGGTTAAATTGGAACTATCAGTTCATTGAAAATCGTGTTGATAATTTGGTGGTTTTGGTTCAAACTTCAAGAATCTTATAACTAGGGGATTACAAGAAAGAAGAACAGAGTGTGTGTGTTGTTTTTGAGAGAGATTGTAAACGCATCATATTCAATAAACAATAGCTAAAATTGGGGTCGTGTCATTTAGATATAAATACAATAGAATCATAAAGAGTAATAGTGAAAAATTCATAGTTTTGGGTTAAGGTATACGTGGTTTCATACGTGGCTTCGTTCTTTATAATACCATCCAATTGAACTGATATCAAAGAAAGTTTATTGATTAAAGGTTGATATTGGGGTCCATAATATAACAATCCATCATAATGTCTTTTGATATAACTATTCTGGGATCTTCAGGAGGTCCTTTAGAAGGAATAACATGTTCATATATTCTTAAACCATCATATATCTCTTATAAATCAATAATTGAAGATAATTTATCCCAATATCTAATAGCTATAGATGCTGGTTCAGGTTTAAATAGAATTACTGAAATTATAACTAATGAAAAATCAAATTCAAAAGAATCAATTGCAAATAAAATACTGAGTTATTATGAAGATTCATTATCTATACAACATTATATTCATCATTCAATATCAATAAATCATCATTATAACATTTGCACCGAAATAAATTCATCACCAATTGAATTAAGTTTTAAAATATTGAATTTAATCAATACATATCTTATATCACATCCACATTTAGATCATATAAATGGTTTGATAATAAATTCTGCAGCTTTCCATAATCAATCAAATAAATCAAAATTAGTTTATGGTTTAAAAGAAACAACTGAAGCTTTACAAAAATATATTTTTAATGATATAATATGGCCAAATTTAATTCATGAATCAAATGGAATTTCATTTTTAGATTTAATTGATATAATACCTAATGAATCAATTCAATTAAATGAAATTTATAAAGTAATACCATTTGAAATAAATCATGGTACAAAGCAATATACAAATTTAGAATATAAAAGCACATCATTTTTGATTAAAGATTTAAATAAAAATCAATACATTTTAATATTTGGTGATGTTGAATCTGATAAAAATTCCAAATTCCCCAAGAATAAATTCATTTGGGAATCTATATCAGATTTAATAACAACTGGACGATTGAAAAGTATAATAATTGAATGTTCAACTCCAAATTTACCAGATCAAGAACCAAGATTTGGTCATTTAACACCAGATTCTTTAATTGATGAATTGAAAATTTTACAAAATATAATTTTAAACAAATCTGATACAAGTCCAACACCACCATTAAATGGATTAAATATCTTAATTACTCATGTTAAAGAAAATAAATTTGGTAAAGAACCAAGAAAGATAATTTTAAATGAATTAAACGAATTGAATGAAAAATATAATTTAGGTTGTCAATTTAGTATACTTTTAACTGGATTGACTTATACCGTGTGATATATATAATAACTTAATAGACTCTATGCTTTGCTCATAATTATGTGGACAAGTACAACAATCATTACATTACATATGAATACATATTTGTAGAAACAATTTCTTTTTATTTTAATTATATTTATCTAATAATTAATAGATCCTAACATACACTTATATAAACTTTAATAGTCTTTTGAGAGATTTCTAAACTATGAAATAACCTTCAGTTGATAATTCAGATAATTGATCAAATGATAAAGATTCATCATCTTCAACTTTAACAACATCAAGAACTTTAACTTTACCTAATGAATTAACAGGATTTTCATTAACAAAACTAACTTCAATTGGGAATAAAATATCTTCATTTGCTTCAATTGAAAATTCTAGAACTCCATTTTCACCAGGTGATAATTTTTCAATTTCAAAAAATATACCTTCTTCAGAAATTTCAATAATTGAAGCATTATCAGATTTTAATTCAACATTTTCTGTAGCAACTGGTACTAATATAGTAATTTTATTAACTTCTTCATTATAAGTTTCTGTAACTTCAAATTCTAAAGTAACATCTAATAATGAACCATTTTCACTAACCCATGTAGAAAATTGAATTGGAATAAATTTATTTTCATCAGATTTACCAACACCTCTCCATCTTAAGACACCCAAGTTTTGATCATTTGATGGGAATGGTTTTGCTGGATCTTTTAATCCTATAATTGATTCCTTAGCAAATAATGCTCTATCAACATTTGGATGAGTTTTATATTGAACACCATCTGAAGCACCATCAGCTTGTAATAAAATTTTAGAATGAGCTAATTCTGAATCATTAATACGTAATTGTAAAACACCTTTTAATTCACTTGATTGAATAGAACCTTCACGTGTTATTTCTGCTGTAATTTTTTCTTCTAATGTAATTAAAATACCATTATTTTCAGGTCTATCATCTTGTTCTTGTGGAATTGGACTTTGAACTTGTCTTGGAGAATCATGATATGAAGGAGTTGTTGATGAAACAATTCTTGGTTCTGGTGTGGCAATTAATGGTTCTGAACTTTGATCTTGATTTGAATTTGTTGTAGATTTTGGTTTTTTACCTAATTGTAAACCACGACCTTTTGGTGCAGTTCTTGCTTTAGAAATTGTTGGTTCAACAGGAGTTGGTGCATAACTTTGTTGTGGTTGAGTTTGAGTTTGACTAGGATAATTTCCAAAAGAAGGACTTGATGGACCAGCACCATATGGTGAATTACCACCAAATCCTGATACAGAACCTATATTATTAAGACGGTTTAATTCTTTTTGTTTAATTTCTATAGCACGACGTTTTCTTTCTTCAGTAGCTTCTAATTCTTTATTACGTTCAATAATTTCTTGAATTTTTTCTTCATGAGAATCCATTTCTAAAAATGTTTTAATTTGTAATAAAGATACATTTTCTTTATAACCTAATGTAATAATTTCATCAAATGCACTTAAAATTTCAAAAGCATTTTCAAAAATTTCTTGTTCATTAACAACTCTTAATAATGAATTAATGGTTTCAGCAAATGTATTCAAAGTATCAATATCTTGTAATATATTTGATTGACGGTTTGTAATCAAAATGATGTATAATTCATCTAATGGTTGATAAACATATCTAACATGTTCATCTTCAACAGTTGTATGTTGTGTATTATTATCTGATAATAAACTTGGGAAATTTGCAAGTAATTCTGTAACTCTATTTTTGGTTAGGTCTCTGAATTGTCTTGAAAGGATAGCTTTACCACTACGAGTGATAATTGAAGCTGCTAAAACCACCATTTTTTATGAATTCTTGTTGTTATTATCTCACAGTTGTATATAGTACGTGTAATGATCTGTTTGATATTGAGGAAAATAACACCTTGAACAATAATTGACAGCTAAAACCAACTTGATTCCGAGTAATATAACCGTTAGCACTCTTGCAATTGATATAATCCAATGAGCAAAACAATGGCTTTCCAAAGATCAAGAATACCAACTATATAAACAATTTCGATCTTTGTTGTTGACGTTTCAATCTTTCGAATCCAGGAAAAATTCAAAAAAATCGCGAAATGGCAGAAATGCTTAAGTAATCACATATACTTCAAATTAATATCATGTTATTTAGAAAGGTGGTAAAACTTTGATTGATTTGGATTGGAATTAGAGAGAATCTTAGGCTAGCTCAACTCTGTGCAATATAGATCATATTTTCTGCTGAGATCCTGAACTAGTCAATGTTAAATTAGATTCCAAGGTGATGTCGCAAAATGGTGTCTGGGTGTACGCGTACCTGAGAATATTGGAAATTGGAATATAAAGAGCACATTTTAAATTTGAACGAAAATGTGAAAGCAATAACCCCCATTTGTGTCTCAAATATATCAAAGAATACTCAAAGATAGATTAAATTGTATCCAATTCATTCTTCTAGCCATTGAAAAAAAGGTAAGTTTCAATTTGAATACGGTAAGTACTGATTTTGAAAATTTTAAGGCAAACTGAGACAAAAAGAATGAGCATTGAAGAACAGAATGCTATTGAAATTGATATAGATCATCCAACTCCATTGGAAATTGATTCAAAAGATGATCAAGTGATAAATGTAGATGAAGATATAACCATTGGAGAAGGTGAGAAACAAGATGATGATAATGAACTAGATTTATTATCAGAGGACCTCCCTGAAGATGATAATGATGATGATGATCATGACATGAATGAGAGAATTGAAGATGAAGATATTAGTAAGACAGAACAATTAGAAGATGAAGAAATTGGGGATGATCCAGAGTCAGCTACTATACAAAATGAACAAGATTATGATATGGATGGTCAAAATAATGAATCCACTATTTATTATGAAGCTATGAATACTACTACAAATGCTGAATCTCCAATTGATTATATATCACCAGAAAAGATAAATGATGATGTGGTAGATAATGAAAACAAATCAATTGAAACTAATGATGATACGGCTAGTGGTCAAGTGGAAGAATTAGATGATGATCAAGCAGATACTACTTTGAATGAACCTCATCAAGATCAAGACCAACATCAAAATTCCACAGAATTAGATGAAATAAACCATGTTGAAGCTTTATCAAATGATAGTATAAACCAAGAACACGAATCAAAAGAGACAATTGATGAAACAAGTAAAAATTCCAATGATGGTGATGATGTGGGTGTTACTTCAAAGATTAAGGGTTCAAATGCTACTACAATCGATGATAAACCTGATCCAGTTGAAGACATAACAACCATTGATAATCTTGAGAATGACTCAAATCAAGAAATATCTAATGATGAACCAGCCAATGGTGATGTATCAGAGGTAAAAGAGTCACACAATGATGTTGCTGATTTGAATAAAGTGGATGGAAATGCTAAAGAAAATGTTGAAGAAGTTGATTTACAAGAACCTATTGAAACTCAAACCGAAGAGAAAGTGGATGAGGTTGAAGTGCCTAAAGAAGATGGAGGAGCTGTACAAGATATCAAAGAAGAGATAGTGGCTGGTGAGGATAAGGAAAATGATGATGATAAACAGGAAATCGAAGAGGAACACCATGAAGCGCTTATACGAGAAGAAAAAGAAGAACAAGAAGAATCCAAAGTTGATGATCAAGAAGGTCACAAGGTTCCACAAGAAGATCAACATAACCAAGAAGAAGAAGAACATGCTGCCATAGATCATACATCCCCAACAAGCTCACAAAATGTTGACTATTGTCCTATTCCAATCTTATTACGTACAAATGTTTTCCCATACTTGTTATGTCCAGTATCACCAGACGTTCATGAAAAATTAACATCAGAACTTGAGAATGTTATAACTTTATTTGATGATTCTTCAGTATTACAATTTACATTAACACAAATCTTGGAACAAGTTAAAGAAATTTTCAAAGAGAATGATAATCCTTTTGATGAAGATGAAGAACTTGTTTTAACATTTAAAGAGTTTGGAAACACTTCAATTGAAGAAACTAGTGTTCTTGCTGATACCTTATATATTTATGATATCATTGAAATGTTTCAAATTGTGATTGATAATGCTGATGGTGAATCAAGACCAGATTGTTTATACATTGACTTGAATTCTAGAAAAAGCTTTAGAAGTCAAATGAGTAAGATATGGGCTTTGAAGAAACATTCAGAGAATGATCATCAAGCTGAAGAAGGTACAACTAATGAAGAATTTAAACGTGATGAAACTATTGATTTTGAGCTGAGTGAGGATGAACCAGATGCTGAAAATGATGTTGTGGATGATGAAAAGGATGAAGAAACCTCTGTGAAGAATGATGTTGATGTTTCTAAATCTTCTGTTGAATCTGGTGATTCTGCTAAACGCCCAATTGATGAGATTGAAAATGGAGAAGACGCTGCTGAATCATCAACAAAGAGACAAAAGGAAGAACAATGAAATTTATCTTATAATTGTATAATCTGTCTACTAAATTATCACATTTCTCTCATGAAGCTGGTCTATTTCTTTTTTTTATTTTCTTGAGTATTGTATCAAATTAAACTTGTTTTTCTGTCACATTTATTTCTTCATATGAAAAATTCAGATGCTTTTTTCATCACGGCGGCTAACAATGAACAACGTTTCAACAACGCAAAAAGACGTCAATAAAGGTTCATGTGGTATGGATTGGCTTAGTGATCTATTGGAAGGTATTCCTTATTGGGATTTTGAGCATCAATTGAAAAAGAATGTCGTTGAAACTTTTGAAAATGAAAGATTAAAGTTTTTATCCAAGTTAAGGGAGAAAATGTCAATAGAAAGAGCTACTGCTAGTTTTTTAAAAGATGCAACTGAAAAGATTGATGCTAGGCAGGTTCAATACAGAGGCTTTGATTCTATTGATTCCATAGATCGATATTTGCTTGAGGTGCAGAATGATATTCCACTTGGTGAACAAAAGGTAAACGCGTTTGAACAATTTCGTGATTCAATTAACGTTAAGAGATTCACTCCAAAATGGAAATCACAAGAGGTTATTAAAGAGACAAATGTGGTTCCGAAAGATATACTCAAAATTACAAGTGAGATAAGCTCCTTTTTGAAAGAAAGTTTGAGATCTGACTTCAAGTTACGGTTCAATCATAAGCCATTGGGCAATGATAAAACATTTATGATCTATCTATTGGATCGTGAAGCTGATGATATTTCTTGTGATATTCGTGAAAGCTCTATTAAACATTTTGAAGTTGACGGATTTGATGAAAATGAGTACATGGAAGAATGTTTGGATTGTGATTCTATTTTCCCTATTGATTTTGGAAAAAGTGTTCCAGATTCTTTCCCAGCTTTCAAAAAAGCTGATCTTATTATTCCAATCATTGAGAGCTTGAACTTGAAGAATGATTCCAAGGAAAAGATAAACACGCACTTTCCAATATGGAATTATCCACCTTTCATCACAACTTCAAAAGAAACATCTTTGCAACTTGAAAAATTTTTGTTACATGAAAATTTACAAAAGGGGGTTGAGTACAGATTAAAAGCTCCATTTATGGATGATGCACCATTGTTTGGTGAACCTAAAAAACCATTGGATCTAATAGATATTGATGAATTGATACCATATCAATACATTAAACCACGAGATGCTGTTGAATTATACACAATAATCAGTGATGTGTCTGAACTGGACTTTATTGAGGAGGAACTTGCTGAGCAAGGTAAAATGTCAGCTCAAGCTTCAGAATCAAAACTACTTCCACAAAAGGAGTTTGATATTTTTTTGATGGATATGGATGTTCAAAATTTGACAGATTCAATAGTTCCAGATGATGAAGGAGAAAAGTTGCAAAGTAACCAACCAGTAAGCCTGGATGACAAGAGTATAGATATATCAAATGATCCAACTGCATTACAGAACTCAAATGTGAAGATGGATGAACTTACAGATTCAACAAATAAAACAAGTATATCAAATTTAGATAATGAAACATCTTTGAATGCCACTAAAATGGTTACAACTATGCAAAATAAAACAGATGCCTTTGTATCTAAAAGATATTTGGATGATGAGCTCGATGATTTGATTGCCAAAAGAAGAAAGAAAACTAACACCAGGGTTAATAATTCAAATATGAAGACTAATAATTCTTTGAACTTAGCTAGTATGTTATTATCCAGTACAAAGATTAATGAAAATTTAGAGGAAGAAGAAGAACCCTCAATTGCTGAAGATGAATTATCAAAAGAAAATTCATCAAAGGCACTTTCCTTATTTCCCAAACCAAAGAGCATATCGAGTCATTATATTGGTATCAATAGCTCTATGATGGATCATGATATGAACTTAAAAATCACTCGATACTTTGATAAACTTGAAAATATAGAAATCATAGAGTTTGAATTGGGTAAAGATGATGTGGACTTTATAATATCAAAAACACATGGTTTGATACTATTAGAGTACAAAGATTGTACACAAACAAATGAGAATGGGGATCTAGTATTTCAGCAAAAGTTATTCAAAAATCTTATGGAATTTAAAAAATTGGATGTTTTATTAATGATTAATCCTAACGTTGATTTTGAAAACTTGTTATATCTCCAAACATGTTTTTCTATGATGGGTGTTGATGTCCATATTACAAATGATTGTATTGATAATATTACACAATGGATACATCAGATTATTATTTCAAATGAAGGAGATCTTGAAAAATTCAAAGATGTTGAAGAACCAGGGGTAAGTTAAAGCTCAAATCATACATGAATCTAGTGTCTAACAAACAAATATAGCCATCGATAAACTTCTTGGAGTCCTGTGGAATCAACAGTATCATAGGGAATGAAATTCTTGAAGAGACCGATATAGCAGAGTTCATAATTATGGACAATCAGATAAGGAAAGAAAGATACAATCATTTATTACCGGATGCTGAACTCGTATGTGATTCTTTGACTTTTGTTTATTTTCATGAAGGTTAACTAACGTAATCTCTAGGAATATATTGAGTCCTTATTCAATTTGGATTGGCAGTGGAATTCAGAGGAATAACATTATATATGTATAGGTTTCTACATAAATAAATAACCCATTTTTGATAATTTCCATCTCTTTTGGTAATCATAACTTCAAATTTTCGAATCAACAAGAAGCGCTTTGTTACTACCTATGTCTTAAATATAATTTCGCACAGGGTGTGAACATGCACCAAGAAATAAACGTAATTAGGAAAATCATTATCTCTTTACTCCAACACTCCAACCAATTTAGGATGAGGTTCGCTAACTAAGTTTCCTTAATAAATTATTTTTAATAAGATACATTAATTATTGAATATCCATTTATGTTTTAAAATTTTACCTGTCTATATTTCCCCCATTTGAACAAGTTCACACCATTGATGGCCGCTAGCAGTTAAATCAACGCCAGCGGCCAATTGGCCGCCAGCTGCTGAAAACCTGCTAGCTGAAGTTTTCAATATCAGTCATGGGGGTGAGCTTCTGCTAACAAATATAATCGCTAAAATGGATGATTTTGTGATATAACTCCATAACCCCGCCATTTGGAGTATCTATGTGCTAACAAACTTTTCTTTAAAACTCTTCATCATTAAGCTGCAGCCACTTTCATATACTCATCCATGTTCTGAACTTTTAAAAAACTTCAAAGGGATCACTTTCAAAAGTGGTCGCAATCCCATACAAAATTTCCTCCGCATATTAGAAAAATTCACACATTACGATTTCCGAAGTATGTTAAAACAAAGAATACAAGCTAATATTAACTATTCAACAAAGGGTACAACATGGTTTGCTAATATATCACATACAACAACTCTGGATTATCAGTATAATAAACTCTCCTCTCATCAAGATCTTAAAATGAGTTGATCCAATTCCTATATGATTTGACGTTGTCGCTTATAAGAAGCACGCATTAAGGTTAAGATTCAGAAAATGCATCTAATGTTTACTCTTCAGAAAATCATAAGTACTTTCTCTAATTTCCATATAAAAAGAGAAATGTGAATTATTATGATTTAAACTCATCATTGGTGTTTTTCATAAGGTTCTTTTAGATCATCAAGTTAATTACAAAGCTCTCTTAGTGTTCTATATCACTGTGCCCTTCCATTTTGCAGGTTACATCTTAGTTGATCTGGGCGGCTAATACTTCATCATGAGCTTAATGCAAGAGTTAGAGAGAGCTACAGAAGATGATGATGGTAATGAGCTCTGGAATGGTCAAGGATCAAACAAGCGCTATGCTCCACCTGGTCCTGCTGAAACACAGACTTGGTACAAGAAAAGAAGAGTTTCAAATCAACCTAACCCTCTGAATTCTACATTTCATACCATCAAATCCATTAATACTGGTGATCCTTCATTTTATGGTGAAGAAAGTGATATCAATAAGTCTTCAATGTCATTTGATGATTCAAGAGATAGTTCAAACATATACCACCACCACTCGAGTTTTAATGATCCATTGGTTTCCACTGCCGCTCTTTCAGATAAAGCTAGAGAAATTTTTAAATTTCAAAATTTCAACAAGATGCAATCCAAATCTTTTCAAACAGTTTATCATGAAACTAATAACTGTGTGATCAGTGCTCCCACAGGATCTGGTAAAACTGTGTTATTTGAACTTGCCATTTTGAAACTTTTAAATTTTGAATCAGATACGAATAATCTCAAGATCTTATACATTGCACCTACAAAATCACTTTGCTTAGAGAAAGAAAATGATTGGAGATCTAAATTTTCTACATTTGGACTAACAGTTGGTGCTTTAACTAGTGATACAAGCTTTACTGAAACTGATAAAGTCAAAAAGGCAAATATTATAATTACTACACCTGAAAAATGGGATTTGATGACAAGAAAATGGAATGATTATTCAAAATTATTCAAGCTTATCAAATTATTGCTTGTGGATGAAATTCACATTTTAAGAGATAATAGAGGTTCAACTTTAGAAGTCGTTGTCACAAGGATGAAGAAAATCTGTAGGCCTCTTAGGATAATTGCACTTTCAGCTACTGTACCAAATATTCAAGACGTTTCAGGCTGGGTGAAATTGAACTCTGAAAGTCCTCAGAATGCAGTAACTTTGGTTTTTGGTGATGATTATAGACCAGTAAAATTGGAAAAGGTAGTTTTGGGCTATAAACAAACAATGAATGATTTTGCTTTTGATACTTTTTTGAATCCTAAACTTGCTGATGTTATAAGAGAACATTCAAATTCAAAACCAGTTTTAGTGTTTTGTCCAACTAGGAATTCTACTGTTTCCACTGCTAAATATCTTGCAAAAAGCTCAGTTCTTTCAGGTGGTAATCATGGGAACTTAGCATCAATAAGAGAAAAAGAGTTAAGAGAATTATCAAATCAGGGTGTTGCTTATCACAATGCTGGATTGTCTCTTCCTGACCGTTTGGCTGTTGAATCTAATTTCATAAATGGAAGTACAAGAATCCTATGCTCTACATCAACATTGGCCGTAGGTGTAAACTTGCCAGCATACCTTGTTGTTATTAAAGGTACAAAAGGTTGGACCGGTATTGCATTCCATGAATATTCTGAGTTAGATCTTTTACAAATGATGGGACGTGCTGGAAGACCACAATTTGAAACTGAAGGTAAAGCTATTTTATTAACATCATCTGAAAAACAATCACAATATGAAAAATTGGTTAAAGGAAATGAAAAATTAGAAAGTCGACTACATGTGAATCTTTCTGAAAATATTGTACCTGAAGTCTACTTGGGTACCATTAAATCAATTGAAGGTGCTATTGAATGGATGAAGTTAACATTTTTTTACTCAAGATTCAAATCAAACCCAACAGCTTATGATGAAATACCATATATACAGAATGGAAGCTTAGATGACCGTTTAATGAATTATACGGAGTCAAAACTTCGTGAGTTGGTTGACTATAAGCTCATTGAGATTGTTAATGGTGAATACCACTGTACACCCTATGGTAATGCAATGACAAGACATTATATTTTATTCAATACAATGAAAATGTTTGTCAAATGTCCTATGGGACTTTCAGTTGCAGATATAATTGTTCTATTATCTAAAAGTGAAGAATTTTCTACAATAAGATTGAAAAGAACTGAAAAGAAACTTTTTAAAGAGATTAATAGCTCACCCATACTTAAGTTTTCTGCGGGGTCTGATAAAAAACATTATGTGGCTTTAAATGAAGAAAAGATTAATCTTTTGATACAGTATGAGCTTGGTGGTCTTGAATTCCCAAACAACTCCGAGTTTTTCAAACTTCAACAAAGTTTTAAGCAAGATAAATTTTATGTTTTCAAGCACATTGGTAGATTGGCAAAATGTTTGGTTGATTGTTTTCTAGAAAAAGGTGATTTCATCTCATTGTTTAATTGTCTATCCTTAACTAGGTGTTTGAATGGTAAATGCTGGGAAGATACTCCAATAGTTTTGAGACAATTAGAAGGTATTGGTATAGCTGCTGTGAGACGCTTCTCCAATCAAAACATTTCATCATTTTCTGATGTAAATTCATTACCGGCAAATAAAATTGAGTATTATCTTAATCAAAGACCTGGATTTGGTGTCAAAGTATTGAACGATATCTCTAACTTACCAAACTTCATGGTAGAAACAAATGTTGTTTCCTCAAGGAATAAAAACAACTCATTATTGGTGAATCTGAGAATCAACTTAAGTTGTGTCGTTAAGATGAATTCATGGCATGGTAAACCTATCACTGTCAATGTGATTTCTGGTTTATCAACTGGTGAATTGGTGGATTTTAGGAGAGCTCATATTAGTAAGTTAGTTGGTAATAAGTCGTTTTCAATAGAATTCCCAATAAATTTCCAAGATGCGCTATTAACCACGAGTATATCGTGCGAAGACATTGGTGAGTATTTGAGTTAATAAGATATTTGATCGCATGTTCTAACGTTATGATATAGCTGGTATTGAAAAATCTTTTACCTTGAATCTATCAGATAAGTTACCAAAGAATCAATTGGATAAATTGAAGAGCACCCAATCTTCAAAAAGTATGCCTTATACCCTTTTATTCAACTTCTTATGATTTTTATGTTCTTATGTTCTAACTTCACACAAGAAAGTACATCCAAACAGAGTACTTTTGAAAAAAATGGAATAGATAATGATGACGATGATAATGGTTTTGATGATGATTTTGATGACATGTTGGTAGAGGCTACTAGTAATACTAAAATCAATAAGTCTAAGAAGATATCCAATCAGATTCAAACAGAACCCCAAGAATTGGACATTAATGGAAATGTTAAATGCAAACATGCATGTAAAGATAAAACAAAGTATGTATTTAATATCGTTTCATCAATCAAGAAAGTTTACTAACTAGTTCCAAGATGTCGTCATTTGTGTTGTCGAGAAGGTATTGCTCCCTCAACAAAAAGATCCAAAACTAAACAAAATCAAGATCAAGATACAAAACCATCAAAAGAATCTAATAGTTCAAAATTGAAGGAAAAGAATTCTACAAATTCTAAAAATGATAAACAATTGACTGGTGTTGGATTGTTAAACAAACTTCATGAAAAGGTTAGTCCAAATAATACAATTACAAAGCCAACACTTTCAAGATTTAAATACCTAGAACCTGATCTAAGTACACATGAACCAGCTGTACAGCGTGCTCCTGATAACACAACAACTATAGACACGGAAAATTCATCAGATGTTATTTCATTACTACGAGATGCAAGACTGAGAGGTAATGTATCAAAAGATAATATCTTGAAAGAAACAATTAATGAACCTGAACCATTTGAAATTAGTAGTGATAATGATGAATCTGAATCATCAATCTTGATGATGGAAGCACCTGTTGCTGACAAAAAAGTCATTGATAAAATTCAACCAACTAATATGAGATCTGTTGATACAAATAACGATGTATATGATGACATTTGGAGTGATGAACCTTTAGATAATCAAGAACAAGGAGATTCATTAGAGTCTATAAGCATGGGTTCTATTCCTGATCACCAAAATTTTAAATCAAATTCTGTACCAGTTGATAAACACAATGATCTGAATCCACAAGCTGGACCTCTTGTTTTTGATCATGATGAAAATGATTTGAATGAATCACAATCATCATTCAGTGGATTAGATGATATACTTGGATCAGATGTTGAAGTTGTTTGAAATAACTTCAATGTCCTAAATAAGTTTCAGTAACTTTTTTCAAAAAATCATCACCAATTGCCATATGTACATCATCAATTGTTAAATAGTCAATTTTTCTTTCATCAAATAATTTTTTTAATCCTAATAAATCTTTTGTATAATACTCTGTATTTGGGAAATTTATTGTATCACCTGTTTGTTTATCTTGATCATAAAACCAAGCACTTTCTTTAGGAACCACAGTTTCATCTTGTCCAAACATTATTAAAACTAATTTATTCAATGATTCTAAATTTTCAATATATGTTTCATTTTTTTCATTTGGTAATTCATTATTAACATCAACAAGGAATGCAGAATTTTCTAAATAAGATTCATAATCTAATGGATCCCTAAAATATTGAGCTGAAACTATTGAATTTTGAATATTTTTCTTCCATACTTGTCTCTTTAATAATGCATTCTTCTGTTTACAAAACCAATCAGAATCAGAACATCTTGGTAAATCAGAAACACCAGAATGTGGAGATCCAAAAGTAATCAAATTATTAACATTTAATCCACATCTTTCAATAGCAGCTCTTGCAAATATACCACCTTGAGAAAATCCAATAAAATCAAATTTTTGATCTTGAAGTTCAATTATTGAATTTAATTGATCACAAACAATTTCAACTTGTTCATTAACATTACCAATCAATGATGCTTGTTGATCTTTGGATTGATCTTCATCAATATAAACTGAATAAATTGAAAGTTCTGGTTTAACTGAATGTAATGCTGAAAATACTCTTTGCATTGCGGATGAATTATAAGTATCCCCCATTCCATGCCAGAAAACAACTGGTCTTGAATCTGATTTTTCATGGGTGATTAAAGGTGATGCAAGTAACGCTTCTGTTATGAGTTTCAAAACAAACATATTGAAACAGGTTTTGGTATCCTTGCACTATTGGCTTATACTTTTAGTTGTGTAGTCCTTCCGAGATTAGTGTTTTTTATTGTTTCTCAAAAACATGGCCTGGCATATAATATATTCGGCCGAGAATTACCACCATCAATTAACTTCTACATTATAAGTTCACCTATATCATCAACTCGTAATATTATTATTATATAATCATTAAACTAATTAAGTCTTCTTATACTTAAAAGACAAATCTTGAAGATTCTTCATCATCTTCTTCATTAATTGGTATTGAACCATAGATTGCTTGTGAAGCTAATAGATTACCATTATTTGTGGCGTTTTCAGAATTATTCATTTCTTCCTCTTCTGTCTTCAATACTTCAACACTTGGGAATGGCATATGAAGAGCACTTATTATTGGTATCTTCAAAGCAATAGTTTCACCTTGAAATCCATCATGTTCATTTTCCACATGAGTTGATTTTATAGTTTTATTTTTTCTTGTTGAATATTGTGAAGTAAATAAAGCAACTTGCATATAAAACACTAATAAATCTAAAGGAATGAACCAGTATTTACTGGGTAATTGTTGTTGACCAATTGTTTGTAAAAAATGATGACCATAAAGATAACCATCTTCATTTGGTATTGGTAATTCTCTTGTTAAATGTAATAATAATGCAAAAAAATTTGAAATCACAATAATATGGAAAGTTGATCTTTTACCTGCATTTCTGGGTATGAGTTGTTGTAATATTGGAGTTGTTTGGAATACTAATATGATCTGTAAATAGTTAGTAAATGCTTTATTATATTGATGTACCAAAATGTAAAACTCACCGATTGTACAAATGATCTCGTTATTAATAAAAGTATTGAACAGTCATATAAATATGTTATTATGAGATAAAGATAAATGGTTACATCTAAACTATTGATGATATCTTTTTTCAATATCTTTTTCCTAGATTTCAGTGATTTCCTAACAGCTTCAAATTCAGGTGTTGACCTTATAGTTCTTGATGTTTGATCTTGCTCATTTGACATCCCCGTGTTCTCATCATCATACATTCCAGGGAATCCACCTGGAAAATCGTTCATCTTGATCTGGAGTGAAACAATATACTGATAGTCTATGTTATTTGTGTATCAGTTAAAAATTAAATATTCGAACTTTCAATTTCTAAGTTTCTAATGATATCAATTTAAATCAAAAGAGATCAAAATAATTTTGACTTATCAAATACGTACAAAATCAAGAAAATTCGCGTAAATATTTAACTATCTATATATCTTACATAATACCTTATTAATCAGTATAACCAATTATTAAGATTAATGGACTTTTGTATAACTATTGATGTACTGCTAATGATATAATTGTGTTGTGATATCAATTGATATAAATTCACATACAAAGTTTCGTTATAAACTGAAAATCGGGTTGGATAAGTATATCATTCTTAAACATATTAAATAACGGAAGTTTCATATATACCATTGGCTTCAATTCAAACACAGTGCCAAATATTTGACATCTAGAGACATTACTCATTTGGTTTAATTCTCTCAAGGTCATAATTCTCGAGATACTTATTACCATCAACAATACTTCGACCAAAATCAACTAATTAATATGCTTGATCAGTTTCATCAAAGCATAAATTGTCCTTTCTTACATTATTATGTTCAATCCCTGCTTTTGAAAGAATTTCAAGTTGTCTGTTCAAATTCTTAGTCCGTTTTGGGTGATCTTTATATTCATTATCCTTTATGAAATCAAGGTACTCTGTACAGATGAATGGCCCCCAGTACGAATATTTTACTTGGCCTTCTGTCAATAATTCAAGATAAGTCCATCCATGTTGTAGCAATTTAGGTGAATTAATTTGTTCTTTGATACCATGTTTTGAATTCCATTCTTTAATCTTTTTTAGAGCCGTAATTTCTCTAATGTAACTCTTTTTTAAACTTTCGATGAAGTGTTTGAAATCATATTTGGAACAATCTTCTAGTGAGAATAAAATGCATATTTCAGAATCAGTAAACCCTTTACAATCTTCTTCATAATACGGCATACCAGCAGTTTTTACATAACTATGAAGATATTTCAAATTAGCCAAATCAAACATTTTGAAGAACACTTTATTCGAAATGTTTGTATTGCTTTTAAATATGTCAAAACCTTCAATTATAAGTTTTGTACCTCTGGTGTTTGAATACTCATTCAATATTTCATGATTTGAAACTTTCAAATTAGTATTTATTGGGAACAGCTTCGTTGTATCAAACTTTATGTCATTTCCACTTGTAAAATCTCCAAAAGGTGATGTACCATCGAATGATTCTTTTCCAACTTTTAACCTCTTTGGGGCATTTCCTGTCTCTTCTATTATATTTCCCAATGGAAATTTTGTTGCTTCCACTGGAATCCTATCCAATTTATCCATTGCAATTTTCTTCTTGAACCCATATCTAAACTGTGATATAATAAATGGGTTGAAAACCTTTTCATTCCATCCTTGATCCAGTAATCTATATGATCCTTCATGTAATATGTCTTCACCATTGGAAACTTTTAGCCATTTATCCACAGGTAACACTCTTCTAATTGTGTCATAAAATTTTAGTATCAACAAAAGCTGTAATGAAATACGATCAGCTGGAGTAGTACCACTATTGTCAAATAATTTAAACTTAACTGGTGCACCACTAATGTGAACTTCATCTTCATCATTACTCCACCATTTACCATCACCCAATGGATATTCGAAATATAAGCTCATATTGAAATCACTAATAATGTAACTACTAAATTTATTAAAAATTTGAAAGGGAACAACTTCACGGAAGATTTTTGATAACTTTGCAAAGTTATCAATCTTGTTTGATTCAAGAATTTTAGAAAGCTCATGACATTCCATATCTATCCCACAAATGGGTGTATTTGTATGATTTGAGTGAATTAGTGTCAATAAAAAATCTGGCTTGTATAAATGAAACATTTCTTCATTTCTCAAAATTCTAGGGTATGGTTCACCACTAGATGATAAAGATTCCCAAATTATACTTGGACGTGTTTTCTTGGTCATGTCTATGCTTCTAGAACGAACACCATATTCATCATGAACTAAAAGTAGCTGATTAACGAAGTAGAGCATTGGTTTGACAGTAAATTCATAAAAGGCACTTTTCCTCTTAAATTCAGAATCTTGTCTATCTGAGAATGAATTACCAAAATGAGCTCCCGAATTATGAGCTTGAAGGAAGGAGAAGGTACCTAATAGTGTACGTGATGTATCCGCAGCAGTTCTCACATCCATTTTGTTTAATGAATATTCAATAAACGATTCTAATTCATGAATGTTCCCAGCAAAATCATCGTCATTTATCTCATCAATAGAATCAAAAAGAATAGATTTGAAAGCATCACTGAAAATGGAACCTTCATCTGTTTTTTTATTCAATACTTCATTACCAGTAGTCATTGGAACATCATTTGAAATCCAATCGTGTACTATTTGAGCAGCATAATAAATCTTCCACAGGTTATTAAAATAATTCGGTCTTTCGTCTTTCTTTAGCTTAAGCCTTTTAATGATTTTGGATTTCAGTCGACCTTCACTTCGTGCACAAAATACAAACTTAATAACAATAATAGCTATAAAATTCAGTAAAGTTAGTTCTCTTTCCTCTTATAAATATCATCATCAAAGAGAGAATGCAACTCACCATCGTAAAATTCTTTCCTATTATTAACATCAAGATAATATTCATATTCAGTATGTAATTTCTCTTGTTGACGTATTCTGAACAAATCTTGAAGGTTAAATTCATTTAAAGATTGTGGTAAATATTCATTCAAATTATCAATAGTGTCTTCTAATAAAATGGGATCATCAGCAAAAGTGTACTTATATCCTGTGTATGCATTCACCATCTTCTTTGCCTCTTTCAGTTCACAATCACCAGTATGTTCAATCAAGATATCAGTTGAATTCTCAATATTTTGTAGTTGATTATATGGGCTTCCCACCAAACGAACATAACCATCCAGATGAAAATTCGCGACTTTTTTCTAGATTTTAAAAATTTAAAGTCATCGAATGCAATTAATCAACAAAGATCTCGACAAGTTTTTTTGGATATCAGCCATTAAAGAAGGTATTGAAGCTCTATAAATACTGATTTTGGTCAATTAGATAATTCAAAAGTGAGTCTAATGGTTTTAATAATGGTTTAATGGTCTTCAAAGGTTACAAAAGCAAGATTTAAGTGTCGCCATCATGTTTATTACCCGATTCTTTTATACCGCATAAAAATTCAATGATCATCACAATTATCAAATTTGAATCGGACGAATCCCAGCAAAGACGTTGAGTTCGAGAACTTTGACAGGTGAATGTCAAGTTGACAACTAGGGAAATCATAAACGCTTTGATTTTGTACTTTTTAAAAGTTTTTTTGGTCCATTTTCCATTATAATCCAATCTTGAGTCTTGACATATACTAACTAACATTGCAATAGAAAATTGGAATAAAGTTAATCTTTTGACAACACAAAACACCACATAATATTAAGAAACCTTCAAAAGAAAAATCCTTGTATCCAAACAAGTGATGATTCGTGTTTTAAGAAATCCATTATTGTCACATGGCCATTTAGTTAAATCTTCAATATTACTAAGTGCTTCATATCAATTTAATTCATTAAATCATTTCTCCACAAATTCTTCAAAATTTCAACAACAACAAAGAACTAAAAATGCATCAAGTGAACCCAATTTAGAAACTGATTTAGATAGATTAAAACAAGATGATCCAACAATTCCAAAAGTCCCAGTTCAAAATAATCTTGAAACTATTCCAAAACCTCCATTAATGGAAAGAATTAAACATGAAATTAAACATTATTGGGATGGTACAAAATTATTAGGTTATGAAGTTAAAATCTCAACTAAATTATTATTCAAGATGATTAGAGGTTATGAATTAACAAGAAGAGAACAAACTCAATTATCAAGAACCACGACTGATATTTTTAGATTAGTTCCATTTTCTGCATTTATTTTAATTCCATTTGCTGAATTATTATTACCAATTGCTTTAAAAATTTTCCCAAATTTATTACCTTCAACTTATGAATCAAAAGCTGAAAAAAATAAAAAAAATGAAAAATTATTGAAAACAAGAACTCAAACTTCAAGTTTCCTTAGACAAACATTTGAAGAAAGTGGTATGAGATTACCAAAAGCTGTTACAAAGGAGGAAAGATTAGAATTTATTCAATTTTTTAGAATTTTAAATACATTAGGTGAAAATCCTACAAAGGAACAAGTTGTTAAAATTGCAAGATTATTTAAAAATGATGCAGTATTAGATAATTTATCAAGACCTCAATTAGTTGCAATGGCAAAATATATGAATTTAACTTCATTTGGTTCAGATCAAATATTACGTTATCAAATTAGATATAGATTATTACAAATTATTAAAGATGATCGAGCTATTGATTATGAAGGTGTTGAATCTTTATCCAAGAGAGAATTAACAAGTGCATGTGTTTCAAGAGGTATTAAGACCCAAGGAGTTTCACCAGCAAGATTAAAAGATGATTTAAAAATTTGGTTAGATCTTAGATTAAGACAAAAAATTCCATCAACTTTATTAATTTTATCAAGTGTTTATACATACGGTGAAGCTTCAAATAATTTAGATAGTTATTATGATGCATTAGTTCAAGTTTTACGTTCAATTCCTGATCAAGTTTATAATGTTACAAAATCAGAAGTTGATGATGATGCTAAATTAAAATTAGATATTATTAAAGAACAAGAAGAATTAATTAAAGAAGAACAAGAACAAGATGATGAATCTAAAACTCATGTTAAAGATGATATTAAATTAGAAGATTATGAAAAAGATGAAGATCAACAAAGTTCAAATGAAAATATAAAACAAAATGAAAATTCAAATGAAAAAATTGAATCAAAAGATAAATAGATTCATTATACATTTTTTAGATATACAAAAAATTACATAAATCCCTAAGGGATAAAATTACTTATATATATACATATACCATTACATTTTTTTTATTACCAATATTATTTATTTATTCATTTATTCATTAGATATATCTTATTTACCTGTAGAACCAAATCCACCAACACCACGTTCAGTATTATCTAATTCATCAATATTAATTTCCTGTATATCAGCATTAACAATTTTTTCTAAAACTAATTGAGCAATCCTTTCACCTTTTTTAATTTGAAAATCAACTTTGGAATGATTAAAAAGTACAATTTTAACTTCACCTCTATAATCTGCATCAATAACACCTGCACCTGTTGAAATACCATGTTTAACAGCAAGACCAGAACGAGGAGCAACACGACCATAAGTACCAACTGGAACAATGATGGAAATATCAGTAGAGACTAAAGCTTGACCATAAGATGGAACTAAAGATTCTTCAGAACTATAAATATCATAACCAGCTGCTAAAACTGAACCTTTTGTTGGTAATGTTGCATTTTCTGATCTTTTATAAATTTTTAAAGTATCATTAATTTTAGTTTTTTTCAAATCTTGTTCAGTAGACATTGTGTTGTGTTGTATAGTTAATTGAGTATTAAATAAATTGTGAATAGTAAAAGTTTAAAAGTATAAAATTTCAATTTAAATTTATTCCATCGCGTTTTATACCTTGATAATTACGCGTATATTCAATTTTTTACGCGTACTACTTATACTGATTATATAATGATTATATAGTGATTATATAATAACTATATATAAACTACAATTTATAATTAAATCATCTTAATGACATTTATATTCATTTATTTATATTCTAATTTATCACTAAAAGGTTATCAATAAAACACCCATTTTAAAACTTTCCAAAAAATCATGAAAAAAAATTTGAAAATCCTACCAATTGAAAACCCAATCCATATAGTCCATAACACCAATACAATAAAATTTTCTAATAGCCAATAAGCTAATTCCACTAAAGAACCTGATCTTTTATATGAAGGACCTAATTTTTCTAATCTTTCATTTAATTTCCTTACTTCTAATGATAATGTAGTATTAACTTCACCGATGGTTCTATCTGATAATAATAATAATTTATCAATTCTTGGGGAATAATTATTTGTTAATTTTGATTGAATTGATTCTAAATATTCAGTCTTGTCTAATATTAAATCTTCATATTTATTCAACACTTGAGTTTTTAAGAAGTTGGAATTTGTTTTTATTTCTTCATAATCTTTATTAATTTGTTCAAGATTTATAATATTTGAATATTCATTATCTTTAATAAATAAATAATGTTTACCAAAATTTATTAAATCATTTAGTTTTACCAATTTCTTTGAATATAAATTTAAATCCTTATTATTATCAACATGCTCCAGATTATTTGATGAAGATAATGATGATGATCTTTGATGTTCTTCCAATGGTGATTCATTATCTGTATTAAATTGACTATTTGATATAACACGTTGTGATTTTATTGGTTCAATTGATATATCATTAAGTAAATTATTCTTATATTTCAAATCATTTTGATTTTTTTCATCTGGTAAATTTAAAAATGATTCATTTTTATCAAATTGGAAACCTGGATCTAATTCTTTATTTTGATTAGATCTTTTTTTAAATGGAGATTTTGATCTTTTACGAATTTTAGAAGCTAATCTATCTCTTTTTCTTGATCTTGATTCTGATAAATCTTCTTTTGAACTTCCTAAACTTTGATTATCCAATAATTCTTTTTCACTTTCACTTCCATTTTCCACTTGATCTTCATCATTTGAATTAAATTCAAATAATTTATCATGAATATATGAAATATCCATTTCTGATGAATCATCATTACGATGTAAATAAGGTCTATGACTATGACGATGATTATGATGTCTATGATGTCTATGATGACCATGTTGATCATGACCATGTTGTTGCCTTTTAGGTATTGGGAACCATAATTCACCTTTTGAATTTTTCAATTCATGCCAATGTTGAGCTCTCCAATTAAAATCATAAGTTAATTCAGTTAAATCAACTTGCCATTTTAATTTATTTTTTGATCTTGAAAAAACTGATGATGCATAAGGTAATGTCTTTATAGCTAATTTAGGAGGATTATGATATTTTTTCCTTATTGATCTATTTCTAATAACTTGTAAAGGGTTAAAAATTCCATCAACACCTTGATATCTTGTATTTGTTGATTTTTGTGAATTGAAAAGATAAAAATAATATAAATTAAACATTACTTTAACTTTTTCACATCTTTGAATAGTTGATCTTGATATATTTTTCAATTTAATTTGTCCTGGTATATTTCGATCTCTTTCTAAATCTAAATTTTCATTATGATTTAAATCTATATTATAATCAGTTGTTATATTTTTTCTCATTTCTAATAAAACACTAGCTAATTGACCAGCTTCTTTAATTAAATTTTTATCATCATTTGAAGATACTAATAAACCTGAATTGGAGTTGGAATTATTACTATCTTGATCATTTGCAGTTGAAGATCCATTTTCAGAACTTGTTAAACTTGAATTTCTTTTTTGTTTAGTATTCTTAGGGAACCCAAGTGGATCAAATTCAAAACTTTCATTTTTATATTTAGAACTCCATTTTCTTCTACCATTGCCATTGCCATTATTACTATTACCACCATTTGAATATCCATTTTCACCAGGGTTCCTCACCTGTGTATTTGTATGAACTATTGATTTTCTTCTTATATCCTTGGTCTTTGGATTATAACTACTTCTTCTTGATTTATTATAATCTATTTCATTACCATTATTACCACCATTACCACCATCATAATTTGAGTATTTCGATATCCATTCATCAAAATTAGGAGATTCCACCTGGGAATCCCCCGTGCTCCTTATTCGACCAGACATTACCCCCTTTGTTTTGTTATCTAGTACTTTCCCAGTTCTTTGTTCTTCCTTTGATACTTTGAATGTGTTACTTATTAATATCCTGTCATTCTCATATCTTTTAAAATCAGGTCGCGAATTTTAATTAAAATAAATAAACATCACCAAGAACATCACCATCAACTAGATCAAGACCAAAGACCAACTAGACACAGACCAAAGACCACACAATGTCGTACTACCTCGCCATGATAGGAACCACGGATAACCCGATCTATGAATCAGAATTCGGGACTCATAGACATGGAGGTGATGGAACTTCAAAAGTATGTGTTAACAAAAACTAGAACCCAGAACCAATACTAATGATTTTATAAAGTTCTCACCAGAAATGAAGGAATTAAATCCATTTATATTACATTCTTCACTAGATATCGTAGAGGATATTCAATGGAAAACATCACAATTATACCTCAAAACAATTGATAATTTTTATGGATATTATATAAGTGGATTTTTAACATCTGGTAATATTAAATTTTTATTAATTCATGAAACTAAGAATGAAGAAAGTATAAGGCAATTTTTCAATGATTTAAATGATTTATATGTTAAAGTTTTATTGAATCCTTTTTATAAAGTTAATGATGCTATAACTTCTCCAGTATTTGATTTAAAAGTTAAAGGATTTGCTAAAAAGTATTTATGAAGGTGTTTAGGTTTAATTTACGAGAAATATTATAAAAACATGTAATAACTTCAAATTATAAAACATAAACAATAACTCCATAAAAAACAATATAATAATACAATATTAAAACAATTAGGGTGGTAAGGATAACAATTAGGATGGGGGTTAAGGTTTTTCATCAAGTTTTGAAATACCTTTTAATAAAGAATGTGTATCAGGTTTTTTCAAATTTTGTAAGCTTTGTGAATCTTTTGAATTATTTAATTGATTAAATTTAATTAATTCTAAAGTATCATCATCAAAAGTTGAATCTAATAAATTATTTAATTCTTTTGTTTTTAAAAATTGATAATTTTGTCTTAAATTTTGAGATTTTTTTTGTAAATGAATAAAATTTATTAAAGAATCAATTGATGATTCTAATGTATTTATTTTATTAAATGTTGAATTTTCTATATTTGATAAATTTGAAATTTTGGAGGAATTTAAAACATCATTATATAATTCTATTGATGATGAAGAACTTGGTGGTGAATCTGATATATTATCTGAAACTTGTGGAATTTCAATTTTTTTATTAATATTTGATTCCCAATTTTCAGATTCTTTTTTCAATGATTCTAATTTCAATTTTAAATCTTCCAATACTTTTAAATTCTTTAAATTTTTTTCATTTGGTAATAATACATTAGGTTTATCCTTTTGATCTTCTTCATCATCATCTAATCTATTCCACCAACTTATATTAATTTTCCCCTGACTTAGGTCATTAACTAATTCTTCCTTTATGAACTTTGCAATATTTAAAGCAGTTAATTCTTCATTTGGTAATTTATTTTTTCTCTTGATATGTTTATTTTTATCATCTTCCAAAACTCTTTTAGAGATCCAAGTTAATAATTGTCTCATTTTAATTGGATCTGATAATTCAAAATTTAAATGTTTAAAAAATTCATTCATCGGGATTTGATCATGTGGTATAGCTTGGAAACCATTACCTATTGATGAAACTCTTTTACCTCTATTATTTAATGAAGATCTCCTTATATTATTGTTCTGTTCTCTAAATTGTTTATTTTTGGTAATTATTGGAGTATCTTGTACTGGTAATGAAATTTGGAATGAAGTTGATTCTTCTTGATAATCATCTTGATCATTATGATGTAATTTTTGTCTTTTAGGTGGAGGTGTTGATTGTTTATGTTTGGGTATAGATGAATTTTTTGAATTTGGTCTTGAATTTGGTTTTGAATTTGGTTTTGAATTTGGTTTTGAATTTGGTTTTGATTGTTTTGAATTTGGTCTTGATGATTGTTTTGAAGAGCTCTTTGACGAGCTCTTTGATTCACTCTTTGTTTTCAATTTTTTTTCAAAATCAGTTATTGGTTGAGATAACCCAGATCTCTTGAATATAAAATCACCATCATATTCAATTGAATTATCATTATTACTATTATTAGGTTGTTGTTGTGATGAGGATAAATTTGAATTATTTTTAGTTAATAAATCTTTTAAATTTGTTCTTTTAGATTTTTCATCTTGTTTATTTTGTATTCTTAATGAACGTCTTCGTCCTTGAGATTGTTTCTTTGGAGGCATATTGGTTTAGATGGAATTGAAATGGAATGGATATTGATATTGATATTGATATTGATATTGATATTGATACAAGGTAATGGTTAAAAGCAACAGCAAATAATTATGAATATTATATCAATAGCATTCAGAAATAAGCCTTTATCTTTATAATTATTCTTCTTTCCAATAATCTGCCACAATGATAATTAATTTTCTTTATGTAACGGACAACAAATATTATAGTACCGAGATTTTAATCAAATAAGTAACGCACACACCAAAACACACACAAACTTTGAATAATAGCAGCAGTATATCTTGTATCTCTTTAATCCAATAGTAATGTAATCTTTATTGTATAATTTGGTCTAATTACTCGTACTTTCTTCTTTATTATTGTTTTGTTTTTGTTTTGTTTTGATTTTTTTGTTTTTCACGGTGATAATATGGAAATGGTAGGGGGCGTATAATGTATAGTTGCTATGGTTACGTATGTCATTAATAATTGGATTAACTATGAATAATTGTATGAAAGTATAGTTTAATTATATTTTAGTTATATTTCTGATGTTTCAAGGACTAGAATGGTATAAGTTACATTGTGATTGAAATGGTTTTGAAAATTGAGGTTTTTGAAGTTTTATAATTTTATAGTAAATATAAAAAATTGGAGGTTAACAAACTTATGAGTTTATTAAGAATTGAAATTTCAAACATGGAATATGACTTTACTTACTAGTCTTTCAGATAATGCAATCCATTCTAATAATAGTAATATAATAAAATTGCTATCATTGTATATTAAAATATTGAGTTATTATAATATTTAGTTGATTATACACGTGACTAATAACTTACATAATCAGTATAATCAATTACTAGTACTATCATAAGAGAATATTTATGAAGAATAACTAAAATAAATACGATAATGAATAACACATAAAGTAAAGCTATATAGAATTATAAATGGGGATACGGGGATACAACCACACTTAATTTAGTTCCATCTCCATCTCTTGTTCTGCAATCGATTAATCTTATGATCTTTAATGCAGGTAGATCTTTAACCAGGGTTAATCCCTGTACATTGTATATAATTGACTAGGATATATTTTACTATATATAAGAAGATAATCTTGTTTATTATATTAGTTATTATACGATTATATTATTATCATAGTCCATTGTTATTACTACTGATTATTACTTATTACTACTAGTTATCACTTACTAGTTATTCATTATTCATTATAGGGGTATATTCTCATTCCATCGCGAACATTTCAAAACAATTTCAACGGGTTTAAACACAATAAACAAAACACTTCTCAAACACAACATCACAACACATCAAATGATCACAAGAACTATGGATCCCATCCCTTTCCCAGACTCAAATGATACTGATAGTGATACTGAACAATATAACAACAATGATCAAACATTAAAATCAAGACCAAATCATCTTGGAAAAAATTCATCTACATCATCAATAACATCAAATCAATCAAATCAATCATCAATAACTCCCATTTCTGAAAAACCTCAACCTATCCCCCATGATAAATTCTCTCATTTAAACGATTTCAAATCAAAACATGAATATTCAGATTCCGGTAATTATCCAACAATTCATTATAAAACAAAGATAAATCCATATAGATTTAAATTTAGACAATTTTTATTACCATGGATAAGATCAGAATCACCCATTTTATCCTCAATACAATCCAACATTAGAACAAATTTCTTAGATTATTTCTTTGCCTATACGGCAAATTTTGCATCTCATACATTTTATGTATTAATGTTACCATTACCTATTTGGTGTGGATATGGACGTGAAGCAAGAGATTTAATCTTTATTATAGGTTATGGAATTTATTTCACTGGATTCTTAAAAGATTTTTGTTGTTTACCAAGACCAAGATCTCCTCCATTACATAGAATTACATTATCTGGGTATACCGCTAAGGAATATGGATTCCCTTCATCTCATAGTGCAAATGCTACAGCGGTTTCATTATATTTATTAACCAAGATTATAAATAATTTTAATGAATTTAATTCAAAATGGACATCAATTTCTTTACTAATTTCATTATTTATTTATTATTTTTCTTTAATCTTGGGAAGAATTTATTGTGGTATGCATGGTTTCAGTGATCTTTTAGTTGGTTCAATTATTGGTACTACAGTTTTCCTCACAAGACAATTAACAAGAGATTGGTATGATTCATTAATCCTTCAAGATTCATGGTGGATCCCTCTAGTAACAACTTTAATAAATTATTCATTAATTTATATTCATGTCACTCCAGTTGATGATTGTCCATGTTTTGATGATTCTGTTGCATTTATTGGTGTTATTATCGGATTAGAATTTTCTCATTGGAGTTTTATTAAAAGTTCATATAGTTATGGTGGTGTGGAATATGGTTTACATTCATTAGATTTACCATATTCATTATCGGAATTAGGTTTGTTGAAAACTATTGGTCGAATCTTTGTTGGTGTTATATTAGTTATCATTTGGAAAGAAATTTCAAAACCTTTATTATTATCAATATTAAAACCTTTTTATAATTTAATCATATCGACAGATAAAGAAAGTATAACTTTTAATAGAATAAGAAGTGATACCTTGGAGAAACGTGAAAAATTTGATGATTTATCAAAAGTTGTTAGAAAATTAAGTCATGGTGAAAAACCAATAAAAAGAGATACTGTGGGACCACAATCATCAATTGATTTAACAGAATTAGAAGAATTAAAAAATCATAAAGATTATTTTAATGAATTAGATAAATTACAAAAATCAAATATCTTGTTTACATGTGGTGCATTCAAGAAAAGATATGACCTGGAAATTTTGGTTAGATTAATTGTTTATGCTGGAATTCCAACTATTGTTGTTATTGGTTGTCCTCCTGTTTTTGCAAAATTAGGGTTATTTTATATACCCAATGTTATTGTATGAAAATAGGGAAATGATTGTATAAGATTGGTTTAATTAATGACATTATGTTATGTATTGAGTAGATTATGAGAAATTTAGTAGTCAATAGAAGATATAACTCAAGATATTATAGGCATATAATCATTAAGGTAACTTTTGATTATGAAATACTTATAACTCAAATTACTATTAAATATACTTTTTTTTTCAAACAATAGAAATTAGAATTCATTGTATTGGTTATTATGTCTTATCTTGTGTCCGAAACAAACTGATAAGATTTCGGTCCTATGAAAATTTAAGGAAATGAGGAAAAATTCCTCGAGATTTATTACTCATCCCCATAAACTTTAACAATACAGTTATTTTCAAAAGGAACGTTTTATATCATGAAATCTCAATTGGTTTTATTTTCCCTAGTTTCAATTGTATTATCAGCTTCAATTTTCCAATCTTTTTTAAAAGGTTTTGAACAATTAAATTCTATATCACAAGAAGTTCTCCAACAAGATGAAGAAACTGAATTAATTAAATTACATAGAAACCTAGTTGAAATTTCTTCAATTTCACAAAATGAAACTTCAGTTAGTGAATTCTTAGCAAATTACCTCAAAAAACAAGGATTAACTGTGGAAACTCAATCAATTGATGATTCTGGCAAGAGACAAAATATTTATGCATATTTTGGTGATTCTAAAGATGCAAAAGTGCTAATTTCATCTCATATTGATACAGTCCCTCCATTTATTCCTTATCGTAGAGAAGGTGATTTAATTTATGGTAGAGGTTCAGTTGATGCAAAAGGTTCTGTTGCAACTCAAATTTTATCAACTTTAAACTTATTCCAAAATGGTGAAATTCAAAATGGTGATGTTGCCTTGCTATTTGTTGTTAGTGAAGAATTAGATGGTGCTGGTATGAAATTTGTTAATGAACATTTAGATGCTAATTGGGATCATGCTATATTTGGTGAACCAACCGAGGGGAAATTAGGTGTGGGACATAAAGGTATTTATAATTTTGCAATTGAAGTTCAAGGGAAAGCTTCTCATTCAGGTTATCCAGAATTAGGTATTGATGCAAATACCAAACTAATCAATATTTTACACAAGATTATTCATTCTGAATATCCAACTAATGAATTATTAGGTAATTCTACAATAAACCCGGGGATTATTGATGCTGGAGTAGCAAGTAATGTTGTTTCACCAATTGCTAAAGCTAGAGTATTAATTAGAGTAGCAAGTGATGCATCAAAAGTTGTTGAAATTATTTCCAATATAATTGAAGAAGAAAATCAAGAATATCATAATATAAATTTAATTCAATCTCAATATTCTGAACCTGCTTATTTAAATTTTACAGTTCCAGGTTTTGAATCAATTGTCCTGGCATATGCTACTGATATTCCTTATTTAACTAGAGATTTTAAATCAAGATATCTTTATGGTCCTGGTACTATTCATGTTGCACATTCTGCAAATGAATATTTATCAATTAAAGATTTAGAAAATGCAGTTATTGGTTATGAAAATTTAACAAAATATTTGTTACATAAACAAGATTAATAAATAAAAGTTCAAGGCACCTTATTAAAAATAAAGATGTAGATAAATAACCAGTATAATCATTCAAATTGATAATGTTGTTAGTAAAAAATTTGGACTCAATGCAAAAAAAAAGAAGTCTCCCGGGTGTGAGTCGAACACACGATCTCAAGATGTCTTGATTCCATTACAGTCTTGCGCCTTAAACCAACTTGGCGACCGAGAGTTGTTTTTGATTTTGGAAATACGCTGAGGCCACAAGTTGTGCCTCATTGATGACATAATTGCTGAGTAAGCAACAGGCGCGTATATATGTTTTTGAACGCGTATTAACAGTTTTATTTATTTACTTTTAACTTTTTGTGTCAAGAATTATAGAGATTATATTATTTTGAAGATGTCTCGTGGTGCTTTGATATTGATAGAAGGTTTAGATAGAGCAGGGAAAACAACACAAACTGAAAGACTTGTTGAAAGACTAAAGAAAGAAGGTAAAGATGTTGAACTTATAAAATTTCCAGGTATGTTCACAGTGTCTTATTTGATATAATTGAATACTAATGCATTAAAATAGATAGATCTACACCAATTGGTAAAATCATAAATTCATACTTGGTTGATCGTTCTTTCAATTTATCAGATGAATCAGCTCATTTATTATTTTCTGCAAATAGATGGGAATTAGCTAATGTTATTAAAGATAAATTAACACAAGGCAAATACATTGTATTAGATAGATATGTTTATTCTGGTGTTGCATATACAGCTGCTAAAGGGCTTGATCATCAATGGTGTTTAAATCCAGATATTGGATTACCAAAACCTGATTTAACTTTATTTTTAAAATTAAATGATTCAAGTAATCGTGAAGGATTTGGTGATGAAAGATATGAAGTTAAAGAATTTCAATTAAAAGTTAGACAACAATTTGAAAAATTCTATAATGAATCAAATTGGAATACTATAATTGTTGATGGTAAAAATATTGAACAAGTTGAAAATGAAATTTGGAATTTATTAGAAAAAAAATTATTTGAACCTGGTGTTAATGATGAGATAAATAAATTTTAATGTATATATATAATATAGACTACGATACTTAATGCATATAATCATAAAATTGTTCATTAAATATATACCTTCATTCCAAAGAATCAATATATTCTAATCTCTTCAGTATCAGATCTTTTGAAGTTTCTTGAATTTCACCAGCTAAAAACATTTCATCTAAAACTGCATAAATTTTATGAAAATTGAAAACTAAATCTAATTCACAAACATTTTCAAAATAAGCATCAAGTATTTCCACTAATAAATGTATAGATGAAAGATAAATCAATTCATTATCAGCTAAATCAATACCAGCAATGAAATATAGTCCAGCATATCTTTTATATACAAGTTTATTATTTTGGAACTCAACGAAATTACTTTGATGTTTTTGATCTCTTGAAGATATAAGCTTGTGTACATCAACATTAAGTCTATATTTTTCTTCATTCTATAAATCACGGATTAGTATTTATGTCTTGACGTGTATCATCACATTCCATACTTACCGAATAGTCCGAGTACCATTTGGCAAACCGCACTTTGCCCTGTCTGTTCATACAAATGATATATCTGAGTGTCATTGTAGCCTAAATGACCAACCTAGTCCTAGTTTCTTTCTAACTTTTGTCTATTTATAAACCATTCTTAGTTTTGATTTGATTTGATTTTGATTTTGAATCCGGCTAAAATTGTTGGTAAGCGCAGAACCGCTGTCTTTTTTGGATTTCTTTGATTTCCCCCAGACAAAGAAAATGGAAATATCAACACTTTTTTGAGTTTCAACAATAACGAAGGCGAACGAAGGATCCAAGTGATTGGTATTGAGATAAAGATGTCTATTCACGAAGGACAGGTCTCTGTGGAACTGGTGCCATTGAAGACCAACTTGGTCAATTTACCTTCTGATTTGGTGGAGCAGCTGTTCAGTTTGAATAAGGTATGGGTTTAAATCAATATTACAATGGAACAATAGGTTACTAACCAATTATTAGCCAGTTCAAGATTTTATAGTGGAATTGTTTTTCACTGCTCCAACTCCAAAATTCATATATACTGGATGGTCTGGTTATACTAGTGCTTCAGGTGCTAAATCAATTGAAATGGATCCTGCTTTGGCAAATGCTTATGGATTGAAGGAAAAAACAAAAATCAAAGTGACAGCTATTTGGGAATATGAAGAAGTTACAAAAATTCATGTTGAACCAAAAAGCGCCTCTGATTGGGAAGTTACAGAATTACACGCAGTTGCTTTAGAATATAAGTTATTATCACAAATAAGAAGTGTTCAATTAAATGCACCAATTATTGTATATCCAACAGGTTCTATAACTGCAACTTTAAATGTCAAGAAATTAGAACCAGAACTTCAAAATCCTAAAAAATTTGCTAAAGTTTCACCAAATGCTGAAGTTATAGTGGCTCCAAGAACGAGGAAAGTTAAAAAATCCAAATCTGTAAGTTCAAGATCAAGTTCAAGAACAAGAAAATCAAATGAAATTTCTCAAATTGTTTTGAAAAGAGGTATATCATTACCACATGAATATTTCAAAGATGTTAAAGAAACAAATACTTATGAATTGTATGCAAATTTTAATGAAGTCATTCATACATTGGGTAAAGCTGAATATGTTAAAGTTTCTATAATCCCAGGTCCTGGATCAAATAATAATAATAAACAACAAGCTGATCAATCTCAACAAGTTAATTTAGAAACAGGATCAACCTATGTATATGCTAAACTAACACATAATGGGAATATTCATAATCATGTTGGTTTATCAAGATTATTAGCTATTGGTCTTGGTGTTGAAGATAAAGTTGGTGATGTTGTTAAAATTGAACCTGCTCATGTAAATCTTGAAACAAAATGGAAATTCATTATTCATCCATATACAACAGTATCACAACCACAGCAATCTGATCAAATTTCATTAAATGATGCTAAATCAAAAGCTGAAAAAGAGGCAAAACGTCAAAAAAATAATGAATTGAAAATTGAATTATCTGAAGGATTTTTAGACAGATCAAGACTTACATCACCACTAACTAATGGATTGAAATTACCAAGTATGGATCATTTACCACAAGGTGGGATATTAGAATTTAAAAATTCAAAATCTGATATGTTTTTATGTTTTCCTAGTACCAAATATGACATAGATATTGGTGATGAATATCTAATACAAGAGTCACTAGTACCCTCAACAATCGAAAAGGAAGAAGTTCATATAGAAAAGGCAATTGGACAAGATGAATTATTGAAAAAAATTGAAAAATCATTGAAAAGAAGTAAAATTGGTGCATTAATATTTGGTGCATCTGGATCAGGTAAATCTTTAATAATTAATCAAATTTCTCAAAAATTACATGATAATGGTGTTTATAGATTAGAAATTGATTGTTCAGATTTTGCAAGAGAATCAGTTACAAATTTGAAAGAGAAAATCAAAAATTGGCTAGCAAAATGTGCATGGTATACACCAAGTGTCCTGGTATTGGAAGGATTAGAATCAATTTTCCCTGCTGAAGGTGAAAATGCTGATAATGGACAAACAAGACAATTAACAGAATTTTTCGTTCAATCAGTAAATTCAATATCAAAATCTAAGAATTTAATAATTTTAGCAACAGCAAGATCCAAAGAATCTATTAATTCATATCTATTTTCAAGTCATTGTATTGAAGAATCTTTCAATCTAAGAGCTCCAAATAAAGAAGTTAGACATTCATTAATTGAATCATTTTTGGAAAAAGATGGATTGAAATTATCCAAGGAATTTGATATTTCTCAACTCTCTGCTGAAACTGAAGGTTATTTACCAAGTGATTTAAAAGTTCTTGTGGATAGAATAAATCATGAAGCTTTATCACAAGCTATTGAGAAAGGACAATCCATACCTGAAAAATCAATTTCAAATGATTTATTCACAAAAGCTATAACTGGTTATGTTCCATCAAATCTTAGAGGTGTTAAATTACAGAAATCAACAACAAGTTGGATTGATATTGGTGGGTTAACTGAAGCAAAATCTATATTATTAGAAACTTTGGAATGGCCAACTAAATATGCACCAATTTTCAAATCTGCTACATTAAGACTTAGATCAGGTATTTTACTTTATGGTTATCCAGGTTGTGGTAAAACTTTATTAGCATCTGCAGTTGCTGGTCAATGTGGATTAAATTTCATTTCTGTTAAAGGTCCTGAAATTTTAAATAAATATATTGGTGCAAGTGAACAATCTGTTCGTGAATTATTTGAAAGAGCACAAGCTGCTAAACCATGTATTTTATTCTTTGATGAATTTGATTCTATTGCTCCTAAAAGAGGTCATGATTCTACAGGTGTCACGGATAGAGTTGTTAATCAAATGTTGACACAAATGGATGGTGCTGAAGGTTTAGATGGGGTTTATGTTTTAGCTGCTACAAGTAGACCTGATTTAATTGACTCTGCTCTTTTACGTCCTGGTAGATTAGATAAAAGTGTTATTTGTGATATGCCACATAAAGATGATAGATTAGATATATTGAAATCAATTACAAGAAAAATGAATCTTGATGAAGGTGTTGATTTAGATGAAGTTGCTGATAAGACTGAAGGATTTTCTGGTGCTGATTTACAAGCGGTTGGATATAATGCATATTTACAAGCTGTTCATGAAAAATTGGAACAAGATAAGCTAGAGAGTGAAGGTGAAGTAAAATCATCAGATCAAGATGTTCAAGAATTTGTTCAATTATCATTAAACCAAATCAAAAAGAAACAAGATTTAAAACCTCTTGAAAGAACCCAATTATTACGTCAAATCAAACCTTTATTAGAAAATATCCAATCTTCGAAAGAATCACAATCTGCAAATCCAAAACCAACAAAGAAAGATAGTGGTGTTATAATCAAGCATAGTGATTTCATTACATCTTTGAATGACACAAAACCAAGTATTTCAGTATCTGAAAAGCTAAAACTTGGCTCAATTTATAACCAATTTGTTTCTGGCAGAGATGGCAATATGCCTGATGGATCATCAAGTAATGAAATAGGTGCAAGATCAACCCTTATGTAAATAAATCAACCAAATGTTAAAACTTATTTATACCGTTAAAATTTCACAGTAGTTTATCTACCCGCGAATGTATTTTGTATACTTTGGCGACGCGTAACCGGAGAAACCAAAGTTTGGTAGGATTTTTTTGTTTTGGTTCGATCGTGGAAAATGAAAGGTAAACAAACCAGAAAAGAAAAAACGTATAAGGAATCAATTTTTAAAACAGGATACTACCAAAAGAATAACCATCAATCAAGCGCTACGCAAACAATCAGCTGAAGATGGGACTCTGGAGTATTCAGGCTGCTACAAAGCGAGACGAGGTCCCAGGGTCATCGAAATGGGTCTTGGAGGAGCTGCATAATTTACACGAGAATATGTTTCAAGATGTTGAGCAGTTCACATATTCTGTTGCCTCTGAGATAACTTGGGCCCATGAAGCGTTAGATGAAATCTTGAATGATGAAGAGAAGTGAGTTCTGCTATTGTTAAGCCATTAAGTATGACCTTATTTACTAACATTTCCATTAGAAACCCCAAATTGCTATTAGAATCACCAAAGAAACTGAGAGGTAGTGAATCTCCTGTTAAGAAGATTAGAGACCATGCCCTGCTATTGAAATCACCTTTGAAAGATAAAACAAATATTACATTGTCACCAATTAGATATAATCAAAAACAAAATATGGTGAAAAGCCCCCAAGATAAACCTGATTATAAAGAAAAAAGTAAATCTCCAATCAAACCAATTAATTTGATGAATTTAGGAACCAGTACTATATTGAAACCTACAACTCAACATAACGATTGGCTAAGAAAATCACAAAGTCCCTTTTTAAGCAAGGTCAATGAACAATCAGATAAAGGTAGTTTAGGTCTGGAATCAAGTCCATCTTTAGAGCATTTACATCATAGTACACCAAGCAGGGGTTCATCAAAAACATTAACCAGAGAGCTTTCACACAAAACAACAGAAGATTTAAGAGGAGATCATGATGTTAATCTGGAAGATAAAGAAGCTGATCTGAAAGAAAATGAGTATGAACTTTTTGATAAAGTTGAAGTTGAAGGCAAGAAGGAAACATCTAAAGATGATGAAGCTAAACATGATTCCAAGTCCTTGAAAGAGCCTGTTAAGATGTTTGAATTTGAACAAGATAATGAACCTGCTAAAATTTTGAATGATGACAAATTGAGTGATGATGATAATGATTATGATGCATCAATGGAAGATCAGTCATTCCAAGCCATTAGAAAATCTATAAGAAGAAGTATTTTGAGGAAGAGTAAAGCATCTGAAGAGGTTTCAACTGATATATCATTTAAAGATGCATTAGATAATGAACCTCAGCAATCATCTCTTGTGGCTAATCAAGGGTCAATAGCAACATCGCGTCCAAATTCAAAAGATCTTACAAATGAACCAAAAACTCAATCAGAACCTGTTGTTGATAAAGATGAATTTACAAAATCCAAGACCCCAACATATCAAGCACCCCAACCTCAACCACAACATCGTAAAAGTCAAGGCTTTGCGTTGTTACCTCATAGAGATCCATTAACTGTTAAATCTGCAAAAAAGGCGCCACCACCAAATACAAATAAAGGTGAAAACAAGAACGTCGAAAGCCAAAGCGCATCTGAAAGCCCACAAGAAAAATTATCACCTCTAGTATTCAAAGGTCTGTATCCAACAATAAGTCCCCAGAAAGATGCTCAGCTAGGCTCATCACCTTCCAAAATTGCCAAACCAAAAGCTCAAACTGCTATAGAAAAATCACCATCAAAATCTTCAGTAAATGACAAAAAAAGTACCGTTCACATTGAATCAACAAAACCACTTATTCACAGCCCGCCAAATGAAAAAGTAGTGGACTCTACTAAAACTACATTTAATTCACCACTGTCAGGTTTATTTGCATCAGTTCATTCAAGTGTGAAAAAAGTTACAAGTAAATTTACAAGAGATCCCAAAGCTGAAAAAGTTAAAGTTGATGATAAATTTAAAGTTAATAAGAAAAGGAAATCAAGTACAGGGACTTCTAAAAAGCCAAACTTGGCTCGTGATGATTCTCCAAGTAAAAGAATTGTCTCTAATTCAGAATCTATTTTTACAAGATTAGCAGCACCAACTGAAGCAAGTAAAGCTAAAAGTGTTAAAAGAGTTATAAGTGGTACATCAAATGCTCTCACTGAAAGTCCAATCAAGGCAAATGATGACGATTTTAGCTCAAAATTATCACCTGTGAAATTCAATTATGAACCATTAAGATTTGAAATGAATAAAAATTTCCCCAAATCACCAACAAAATCACCTCAAAAATCGCCTATAAAATCATTAGCCCAATCACCAATTAAATCACCAGTTAAATTACCAATGAAATCACCAGTTAAAGCAGTATCAAAATCACCATCAAAGAAATCACCAACAAAGGTTTCCAAACAAGATAAATTGGATGAGCCAATAGATCAAGAAGAATCAAGAAAATCTTATGGACTAAAACCTAAGAATCTTACTAGAATGTCTTTAACAAAACCCAAAGGTGATATGAACAACAATAAATCTAATAATCTAACTAGAAAATCTCTGAGTAAAGGTTTAACAAGTATACCATTGATACCATCAAATAAGAATCTTAATAAACCTCGTGCAAAATCATTTGTTGGCCAAATGAAACGTAAGACACAATCAGAAGATGAAATTAAGACAAATACAATTCAAAATCAACAAAAGCATCAACAACAAACTCAGTTATTACAACCAAGACCACAACCACAACCAAAGAAACTCATTACTAAAGTTCCTCCACCTTCAACTAATCAAAAATTAGAACAAGATATTAAACGTCAACGTACAAGTGAAGAAGCTCGTACAATGTTTAAGAAAAGAGCATCAAGAATTTCTGATAATAATGATCATTTAAAAGATGATTCAAAACAACAACAACAACAACAACCAAGGAAACCAATTCAAATCTCTAATGATGATATTCCAACACATCAACAATCTTCAAGATTACCACCTTCAAATACTAAACATTCTAAATATGGACCAAATGCAAATACATCAACTTTAATGAGAACTGCGGTAATACAACATGCAAAGGAAAATAATAAAAATAATCCATTTCAAAATGGTTCAATTAATAAACTTGGGAATAATTATCAATCAATTCCAGTTACACCTAAAACACCAACAGTTTTACCAGAAATTTTTTCAGAATCTGAAGATGATGAAGAAGGTGTAATATTAAAAGATTGGGCAAATACCCCAGAATTAAGAGATAAATTAATGAAACAAAGAAGAATAGATCCAGATCAAGTATTTGGACCAATGGCACCATTACAAATGGAAGATATTTTTAAAAATTCAAGATTATCAAGATTTAAACATCGTGGATCATCAGCTCAATGGGTTGGACAAGATGCACTGACTTCACAAGAAGTTGAAAATTATAAAAATAAAACTTATAAAAAATAGTTACGTATATATAAAACCATAATGAAATTAATGATCTTTTTTTAACATATAATGGTTGTTATTATTTGTAGATCTATATACTTGCATCATATCTTTTCTTTAATGTAACTTCTTTATCCCAACTACTTAACCATTTTTCAGCATCAATTCTTGGAACAAAATAAATTTTTAAAGCATCATCAAATAAAGGAATTTTAGGTTTTAAAGTTGATAAAGCTTTATTTAATGTAGCTTTTTTACCAATTTTAATTAAACCACCAGATTCAGATTCCATATAAGCATCTAATTTTTTTGGAGAGAAATTTTCATGTTTTGGATCTTTAAACCATTCTTCAGGTCTTTGTAATACTAATTCCATAATTTCCCATGGTGAAGATAATTCACTTACACTTGCCACAAAATCAAATTCATCAGTTGTTGGATAAATAATCATTGCGGGGAAAATTAATTGAGATTCTATATCATCAGGATCTTCTAATGATAATTTAGCATCAGATAACATTTCTGCTGGACGAGCAGTTTTAATTATGGTATAATTTCTACCATTTATGGCAGTTTTCAATTTATCTTGTAAAATTTGTTTACGTAAAATTTCAGCTTCTCTTTTAGCAGCTAAAGTTTCTAATTCATGTTTTCTTTTTTCAATTTGATTTAATAATTGTTTTGAAGCTAAATTTTCTGGATCTAAAGCTAATGAAAATTGTAAAGATTCAATTGATTCATCAAATTTTTCAATTGCAAAAAAAGCTTTTGACATTCTATAAAAAGCTTTAACATTTCTTGGATTGATTTTTAAACATTCTCTACAATCATTAATTGTAGTTCTATAGTTTTTCAATTCTAAATTACAAGCAGCTCTGTTTAAAAATAATGAAGCAACAAGATTTTCATCAAGACAATTCATAGCAAGACCTTTATTATAAAATTCAATAGCACTTTTATATTGTTTAATTTTAAATTGTTCATTACCTTGATTTTTAAAATTTATAGCAACATCATAAGGAGAACCTTCATAAGCCAAAGCTTTTAAAGCTTCTAATTCAACATTTTCACCACCATCACCATTACTTTCATCTAGTTGTGTCATAAAGAATGGAGATCTATTTAATTCTTTCATAACATCTTCAGTTGTCTTTTCAGATAGTTGAGCTAATTGTGGAGGTAAAGCAGGATCACCTGGACCTGGGACATATCTTTTTGGTTTTTCAAATTCTTTTGACATATTTTATTGATCTTCTAGTTATTTGATAATGATGTATATGATCCAAGATAACGGTAATATAATTTTTCCAAGCTCATCGGGTACTATTCTTTGTAATCAGTATACCTATGAAAAATTTGTGATTATGTAAATCTTGTACTGTCGCTTACATCATCATAATAATGTCAAAAATTAAAATCTTAAATTCAAAGAAGAAAGTTAAAATTCTTTTCTTGCAGTCGATCAAAAGTTTGTTTTACAGGGTCTTTAAAATTAAAGTATTTGATCAAATGTTATAAAATTGCATCAACAGAAGTACAGAAGTACAGAACAACAGGCACAAGACACAAGATCTATTGCACAATGAATTGAGTGGCACTTCCACAATATTATTATACTATGTTCTACGTTGATTCATTGTTTCTGTTGATTAACTACAATTATGACACGTCAAATTACGATGATAACTTGTAGAATCTCAAGTTTCTACTGCAAAAGTGGAATTGGACGCATTTTATTATTCAAGTGACAGCGGCTGAATTGTGTATATAAACAATTGAATATCCACTGAAGAAATTATCATCAATATTATCATCATCATCATCATCATCATCATCAAAAGATCAAAAGATCAAAAGATTACTGATTTCATTCATTCATTTTGAGATTTATCCCAGTTTAATATCTGAGACAAGCGCACTTAAAGTTACAAACTTTGAAAATGGAATTGAGAAACAGATTTGACCACAGCGGTAAACAACAAGACACACAGGAAGACACTCAGGAAGATTATTATCAAGGAGTCTCTCACAGCGGTTATCAAAGTGGTTCTTCAGCAGTGGATAGTGGTGTTGGTATGTCCAAGGACTTGGATCTTGAACAGGGCGGTAAAAGATCTGATGATGTTGCTGAAGGAAAGAACATTATCATTTGCTTTGATGGAACTCATAACAAATTTGGACCTTCTCCTTATACAAATCTGTTGAAATTCTTTAGAATGTTGAATAAAGATAATCCTGAAAGGCAAATTTGTTATTATCAACCTGGAATCGGTGCTTCAATGAGTGTGGAATCTGAATCTTTATTTGAAAGGTATCTATCTAAGCAAAGTATTATGGATAATTTGGATGCTGCTATTGCATTTTCTTTGGATCAACATATAATTGATGCTTATAAATATCTTGTGAGATTTTATAGAAATGGTGATAAGATATATCTTTTTGGATTTAGGTAAATTTTGATACCATTATGATGAACTTTCAATATTTATTCAGTTCATATACTAACTTTTTCGGATGCATAGTCGTGGTGCCTTCACTGCTAGAGTTTTAAGTTCAATGATTGATAGAGTTGGTTTATTAAATTGTGGATTAGAAGATTTAACTGAAAGTGCTTGGTCAATTTATAGTGCATGGGAATATGCTCTGCAACCAAGTCAACCTGATTATACTACAACTTTAATTAATGAATATAAAAAAACATTTTCAAGAGAAACACCACCTGAAATTGAATTATTAGGTTTATTTGATTGTGTTAATTCAGTTGGATTAATTAGAGATCGTCTTTTCCCTCTTTCAACAAAATCTGGTCTTGTTAAGAATATTAGACATGCAGTTAGTCTTGATGAACGTCGTGGTAAATATAGACAAAATTTAATATTCCCATTTTCTTATAAACCATCATTTTTTTCATTAAATTCAACTGAAAAAAATTCATCATTAAATTCAAAACAAATTTCAAATAATAATTCACAAAGTTCAATTGGTTCAATTTTAACAAAACATTTTGGTGAATCTTCAAGAGAACGTATTAATGATGCTAAAATTTTATTAAATGATATTGAATTAAAATTAAAAGAAACTTCAAAATTATCAATAAATAATAGACTGTATAAACTGACAAAATCTCATAAAAATCAAAATTTAAATCAATCAACTCGTTCATCACTTGCCACTATTGATAAACAAAAATTATTAGATGGTTCTTATCAAGAAATTTGGTTCCCAGGTAATCATGGTGATGTTGGTGGTGGATTCCCACCTGATGTTAATGGTCATTTCTTATCACATATCCCATTGAGATGGATGTTTGGTCAATCAATTACAAAAGGTGTGCTTTTCCAAAAGCAAAGACTTATTAATTTTAACAAACGTTATTCATCAATTGATAGTATGTTATCATGTAATCATGATATGTTATCTTTCCAACCTGGTACTTTAACTCATTCAATAACAATTGATGAAACTAAAACTATATTAGAATTATCTCAAAAAATTTATAAAAAATCTTATATACCTGAATTTATTTCATGTGGTTTAGATAAAGAAACTTTAACATTTGAAGAATTATTAAATAATGGTGCTTATTTAACAAGTTTGAAAAAAATTAAATCTGATTTATTCACCAATGATAAAAATGATAATAAGATTCATATTGATGATTCAAATACAAAATTATCACCTGAATTATTACATAAATTAGAAGATATTTTTGGTCATTATAAAGAATTACCTAAAACCCCAATCCAAGGTTTTGATGGTAGAGGTCGTTCAAATTTTTTACAAACTTTAATTTGGTGGTTTGTTGAATTAATTCCAATTGGTACAAAAATTGAAGATGAAGATGATCATTGGAAAAATGTTTATATACCAAATTTTGGTAGATCAAGATCTGTACCACAATATTCAAAATTACATTGGAGTATTTATTGGAGATTAAAATATTGTTTTGATTATAATCCTTCAAATTTACCAGAATATTCAAAACGTATAATTGATGAATATAAAGATAGAAATTTTATAAAACCTATGAAACAATCAGTGGATAATAATAATGATGATGATTCAAATTATGAACCAATTGATCAAATTATTGAATTAATTAAAAAACATAATCAACAACTTAAACAAGATTTTGATCAATGGGAATTAGAAAATTGGGAAAAAGTTCCTGATGATTTAACTTTTATCTTAGAAGAGTATGGTTATACATCTTAGTTATGATCTAAACGAGATCTTGTTTATGATTAGATCATGATTGGATATGAATTGAATATATGTTTTTATGTATTCATGGAATATGAACATGTAGTTTGTTATTCCATGATATTGATACTAAATATGTTCAAATATCATAACCAAGACACCAATATTACTCTGATAAGCTATAACTACACAATAAATTTCAAATTAAGAATGACATGTATAATAATAATTTAATAAAGAAATTTCAAAACAAAAAAACAAAATATATATAACAAAAAATGACTTTCAAATATTATCTTTTCCAATATTAATCCAATGATATGAGGTGGTTTTTTTTTTAAATGCAATTAAAATTAAATGTACTATTTACAATAAAAGTATAAATTAATAATATGATGAAAAAAGGTTTAAATGCTTGAAAAGTCTTGAAATAATTTTGTCTTTTAATTAATTGAATTGATTGATTTCTTTCTTTTTATGAAACTTTATTGTTATTGTTTTTCTTTATTTTTGAATCAGAAAAAAAAAAACTTAATTTCCTAAAAATGTTGATAAATAATTGTTGTTTTTTATAATATAAAAAAAAAATAATGAAATTTAAAAATTATGTCATAAAATTTTTGGTCTTTTTTTTTTAAATTGATTTCTATGATATATTTATAGTAAAATACGTAAACTCTTCTTCTCTTTTGTTCTTCCCCTTTATAATTTTTCTTTTTTGATTAAGAATATATGATATATTTGAATTTTTTATGGTTTTTTTTGTGTGTGTATAATAATGATCGTGAAACTTGTTGAATATGATAAAATATTAATTATTATTGTTATTTGTTTAACCAATAACTAAGTTATCACCATCAAATTGATATTGTGGAATTTCTAAATTCAATGGAGCTGGACCTTTTCTAATTCTACCAGAGATATCATAATGAGAACCATGACAAGGACAGAACCAACCACCGAAATCACCAGCTTCACCAATTGGAACACAACCTAAATGAGTACAAATACCCAACATAATTAACCATTCAGGATTTTGAGCACGATCAGAATCTTGTTGAGGATCTCTTAAGGCATTGATATCAACTTTATTAGCTTCATCAATTTCACCTTGAGTTCTATGACGAATGAAAACAGGTTTACCTTGCCATTTAACAACAACATTTTTACCTTCTGGAATAGCAGCTAAACCAACTTCAACTTTAGCCATAGCTAAAACATCAGCAGAAGCAGACATTGTGGTTAAGAAAGCTTCAACAGTGGATTTAGCACCAGCAGCAGATAATAAACCTAAAGAACCAACAGTGAAATAAGTGAAAACACGACTTTTATCATCAGTACCTTGTGGTCTAACATAATCACCAAAATCTGGTGTACGATAAGTTGATTTGTTTTGTAATGAAGTTGAAGATAATAATCTTGATTGAGTACCTAAAGTTCTTAAAGAACAGGTGTTACGTAAAGCTGATCTTAATGAAAGCATTTTTGATATCTTTTTTGAACTGATATTAATCTTAAAATTAGTTAGACCTTGTTACTCGTTGTTGCTGAATAGTTTTAGTTATTTACAAATTATTTTTACCTTGATTTTTCCAGGGCAGAAAAAAAAATCAAAATTAAAATCAACTAAATCGTGATTGGCTTGGGAAATGATTATGTAACAGTTGCGCTTGTGATTATGTAACGGATTAACAAGTTGGAAATTACGCGATAATGATTGGTTAGGCTATTTTTTTATGTTTTGAAATTTGAATAGACTAAATTGGCGATATAGCCGTAAGCGGTAATGGTTACATAGACACTGGGGAAATTGTTTTATTATATACGTACATTTGATATCATCTAAATGCATTTCTCATTGGGATGAATTCTTTGAAAGTCATACTTCTTAAGATACCGATTATCATCAATGACACTTTGATCAAAATCAACAAAGAATGCTTGATCAAATTTATTAAAGCAAAAATTATCTTTTTTAAAATCATTGTGATCAATTCCTGCTTTGGAAAGAATTTCCATTTGTCTGTTCAAGTTCTTAATTCGTTTTGGATTATTTTTATATTTATTATCATTTATGAATTCAAGGTATTCTGTACATATGAAAGGTCCCCAATAAGCATATCCAGACTTACCTTCTAACGGTAATTCAAGATAAGTCCATCCATATTGCAGTAATTTAGGTGAATTTATACGATTTTTGATACCATGTGTTGAATTCCATTGATTGATCTTTTTTAAAGCTGTGACTTCTCTTATGTAACTTCTTTTTAAACTTTCCAAAATGTATTTGAAATCTCTAGGTTTATCAGCTAGTGTAACCAATATATTAATTTCTGATTCAGTTAATTTCTGAAATTCTTTTTCATAACATGGCATACCAGCAGCATGAAGATTTTGTAAGTTTGCTAGATCAAACATTTTGAAGAATACTTTATTCGAAATGTTTGTATTACTTTTAAATATATCACCGCCTTCAATTATAATTTTTATACCTCTACTATTTGAGTATTCATTTAATAACTTGTAATTTGAAAGCTTTAGATTGGTATTGGTTGGGAACAATTTCGATGAATCAAAATTTATGTCATTTCCATCAACTTTTAACCTTTTTGAGGCATTTCTTCCTCCTTTTTCTCTCTCAAAATCTTTAGCTGGAAATTCCAAGGGGGTTTTAGTTATTTCCCCTGGAATCTTATCCATCTTCTCCATTGCAACTTTCTTTTTAAACCCATTTCTAAATAATGATATGATAAATGAATTGAAAAGATTTGGGTTGTCTTTTTCATCCAGATCTGAGGATTCCGTTAACTCATCTTTACCATTGTATTCTTTTAACCATTTATATGTAGGTACCGTTCTTTTAAAAGCGTCATAAAATTTCAACATTAAAAAAAGCTGTAACTGGATTGGATTTGTTGAAGTATAAGTTCCACAATTATCAAAGATCTTATATTTTACTGGAGCACCTGTGAAAAAAACCTTTTCTTCATCATCACTTTCCCATTTACCTGATCTCAATGGATACTCAAAATATATGGTTCTATTAAAATCACTCACCATAAAACTATTTAATTTCATAAAAATTTGATATTGAATTGACTGACGAGAAAATTTTGATATATTAGGAAAATTATCACTATGTTTGAGATCTTCAAGTATACCAGATACATCTTTTCCCTTCATCTCTATGGCACAAACAGATTTTTTATTATTTCCACTCTCAAGTGTTACGGGAAAATCTGGTTGACAATTGTGAAACATTATGTCATCTATAAGTTCTTTAGGGTATTTCCCATCACTGTGAGTTTTGTAAGATTCCCAAACTTCACTTGGTCTTTTTGGTTTGATCCTTTTTGGCATAAAAGTTTTAAGTGAATATTCAACATCATGGACTTTAAGTAGCTTATTAATGAAATTGTTTATTGGGTTTACGATCAAATTTTTCATTGCATCTTTTCTCCAGTTATCTAAATCTTGTTCATCTGAATGTAAAGCATCATCAAAATGGTAGAAAGTCCTTAGTAATGTGCTTAAAGCAAGTACAGCTTTGTTTTCTGGCATTCTATTTAGTGAATACTCAATAAATAATTCTAATTCATCAATATTCTCCAAAAGGTCTTCATCCTTTATTTCCTCATGTTTATATTTTGGGTCAAGATAAATGGATTTAAATGATTGATTGAATATTGAATCATTATCTGAAATGGCATTTATATGACCATCAGTAGTCATTGGTAGCTCATTTGGGAGTTGGTCATCAACAATATTTGCAGCACAATATATCTTCCATAATGAAAATAAATACTTTGGTCTTTCATCTTCCTTTAATTCAAGTTTTTCAACAATTTTGGGGTTTAAATCTTCACTTGTGGTACAAAATATCATTTCAATAACCGAAATAGCTATCAAATATCCAGTTAGTTCTATCTAATACATAATTCATCAAAAAAGGGGATGGCAACTCACCATTATATAATTCCATCCTATTATTGACATCAAGGTAATATTCATATTTCTCCTCTGTATCTTCTTGTTGTCCACGAATCTTGAATAAATTTTGAATGTTGAATTCATTTAAAGAACCAGGTAAATATTCATTTAAATTAAGAATGGTGTCTTCATATAAAGTAGGATCAGCTTTAAAGTTATAGATGTAACCTGTGTGTGCTTTAACCATCTTTGCCTCTTATAATTCACCACTTCAGCTCGTAAAACGAAACGAATATGTTTTTTCATATTCTCAAAAGTTTGAGAGTTATTGAAATTCAATATGTATGTACAAAATCGCGAAATCAGTATACAGATAATTTGCATACAAATGCTAGCTGAAGGTGAAATATTTATAGTACGGATGGGTATATAAAAAGTAGCTGAGATGATTGCTATTGAATTGTACACTATTGTTTACTATGAGGAACATATCCATAAACTCCACTGTTAATAAGTTATTCTCTAAATACAACCTTATAACCTCCAATCCGTTGTTAGTAACCACTTGGAATGGGATTTTTTATTCCAAATCCACCATTAACTAGTCGCTAGCGCCATGCCATACAAGTATAATCAATAATTACACTGTGATTTGATTATTAGTATACTATAGAATCTAGATTCATTCATTCATACTTGTTTATTGGAATTAAATTGATAGTCTTCTCTCAATTTACATAATCATTGTACCACTGATTATATAACCAATAACCAGGTAACCCCTTAACACCACATCATCTGGTACACACCACCAAACCCATTTCCGCGAATTAAATTTCTATTGCAAAAATTTTAAACTGGTATATACTGAAAAAAAAAATTTATTATGCACTTCTTTTACTTTGTACTCTTTTTGATTCTTTAGATCAATATCTCATTAGAGGCGAGCTATTTGAAAAGAAAAAGTTATACTATAAACGTGCTGTTTGTTATTTTGCAAGGAACCTCTTCTTTAAAAACAACACTATCTCTACACAACTTATTATTTCATCAAGTTATTTCATCAAAGTATTAAAATGTCTGCTCCAAATCCAAAAGCTTTCCCATTAGCTGATTCTGCTTTAACTCAACAAATTTTAGATGTTGCTCAACAATCTCAAAATTTACGTCAATTGAAAAAAGGTGCTAATGAAGCTACTAAAACTTTAAATAGAGGTATTTCTGAATTTATTATTATGGCTGCTGATACTGAACCAATTGAAATTTTATTACATTTACCTTTATTATGTGAAGATAAAAATGTTCCTTATGTTTTCGTCCCATCAAAAACTGCTTTAGGTAGAGCTTGTGGTGTTTCAAGACCTGTTATTGCTGCTTCAATTACTACAAATGAAGGTTCAACTTTAAAAAATCAAATTTATGCTGTTAAAGATAAAATTGAAACTTTACTTATCTAAGTTTAGTTTGTTGTTAAACTGTATAATATAAATTAAATTAATAATTTTAATTCATAGTAGTACACATTTACTTTTAACTAAATTCCCAGATATATCATCATCATATTTCTTAATCAAATCACCATCAATAAACCCAATTGATGAATGATCTAATGTCTGTCTTGTTCCCTTAACACTCTTGAATTGTTCAAATCCAATCAATTTTCCATCTGATGACGTATCATTAATAATTAAATTATCATGTTTTGATTTAATTATTAAATCTTGAGAATCTTTTAAAATTTTGGATAAATCTTCTGCAAGTACTATACTAATTAAATAAACTCCACCATTTATAGAACCAAGCACAAATAATGTTATAATATCATCTAATTCATTATTCATACTACCACTCATTAAAACTTGATTAATTTTATCCATCACTGTTTTATCTTTATTTATAAATCTAATACAATTAATTTGATCATCTAAATTAAATTCAGAAATTAATAAACATTCATCACCATTCGCAAATTGGATTTTAATATTTCTTAAAGAATCTGAAGTTATAATTAAATTTCCCCAAGTTTCTAACCCAGTTAAAAAATGAACTTGTTCTAAATTTTGTAAACTTTCTTCAAATTGGAAAATCATATCTTCTTCATCCAATCTGTTTGGTTTAACTTTTAATGATAATTTAGAAACACCATGGATTAAATCACCAACAACAATTTCAGAACCACAACTTTTAATATGTGATGTAAAATATCGAGTCTTATAAACATCAGTTATCTTTTTCAATGAAAATTTTGAATCAGTTATAGAATAATCTAATTTATACCCAACAATTGAATCTCCAACACCAATTATAATTCTATTCCCATGATTTGTTAAACTTTGAAATGAATATTTTTGATTCTTTGGAGATGAACATTGATATTGTAATTGACCAAATTCATCAACTGAAAATAACATTAATGAAGGTCCTATATCATCTTGATTTGTATATGAACATGAAACAATAAAACATTGTGAAAAAATATTCTCCATTGCTAACCCTATTGGTTCTTCTTCATATGTATCAATTAATTCTTTATGATATTGAGTATTAACAACATCTGTTATTTCAATACCTGGAGGGAATTTATATATACATTTGGTTTGATAATTATTGTTATCTATAACGTGTAATTCACAATTCCAAGTTTCTTCATTTGTTTTAGGATTTATCGTGGTACCATTGATTAGAAATAAACTTAGGTGTAAGAAATTCTTAAAATTAATTGATTTCCTAACTAATTTGTTCAATTTTGTGTCATCTGTTAAAAGTTTAGATGAATTTTCCATTGATATTTGATATAATCCTTTATCATTAACCCCCCATATTTGATCTAACTCTGGATAATAATTTAAATATAATGGTGATTCAACATTTAAATAACCACGATTTGACAAATCACCTGTCTCATTATCAAATTCAATTTTAATCAAATTTTCAACATTATAAACTAATATAGAATTAGATTCATAATCAACAATTGTAACAGGCGCATCACCAATATTTAAAATACTTATTGTATCAGTTAAGTTCATTATTTTAATATTACCTTCAACATCACCAACAATATAATTTAAATTTGAACCAATTTTTTTAATTAATACTGAATTTATAGCCATATTTGATTTTTTAAATGTTTTCTTGATACCATTAATAAATATTTCAATTGAACCATCCCAATGTCCAATAAGTATATGAATGGTTTTATTATCTTGGAAAATATTCAAGACTGAAACATCATCAGTTACTGGATATTTTTCATTTTTATAATATAAGTTTGAACCAGATACATAGATTGGTATCAAATTATTTAAAATTTTCCCAGTTGATATATTTAATTTTTGAATTTGTTTTCCATTTTGGAAAATACCTTGGTCTGTAATGACAATTAATTTACCTTGGGTAAAACCTAAATCAATAATATTACCATTGATATTTGTTAATCCATAAAAATCATTTGAAAATTTATGATATCCTCCAAATTTTTTTTCAAATATATGAATGCCTTCCAAAGTATTGATTAAAATTTTATCATCAATGTGCCAAATATTTAAAACACCTTGAATTTCATTAAAATTATCAAATATCGAGGTTAAACTCGTTTCAAATCCATTGAATTCAGTTTTGATAAACCCTGTATGTAAATCTGATCCACCACATATTTGAATCTTGGGTAATGTCGTTCCTGAAATATTAAAATCTAAAATTGATGAAGTTATATTCCATGATTGTGATGTATTAAATTTTGAGAAATCTGAATGTAATTGTTTGATTTCAATTGATGATGAATTTTTTATAATAAATTGATTTGAATTATTCAATAATTTGATTATTGAAGGGGATTCTGGGAATTGACCTTCCAGTTTATGTAAAGTCCAAGAATCAACATATAATTCACCAGTAATTGTATCTTTTGCAGCTTTGAAAACTGAAATATAATATTCACCTGTCTCTGTAACCAAAATGAATTTTATAGAATCATCATTATCATTCGTGGGTATTATTGTTGCAGATTTAATTTCCCATGTTGATCCCATTGGTAATTTTTTTTGAATATAAGTTTGTTGATCATCATTTACTATATGAATAGTTGAATTTTGATTTTTATCATCTAAGAAACTACTCCTGCTCCAATATGGTGCAATGCTCAATATTACCCCATTTTTACTCATCATGAATGTACCTAATTCATGCACAGGTAATACAACGTTTGGTTTAATAGTATCTGGTAATTTCAATTTATTCCAAAAATCTAGTTTATTGTTCTCTTTGGAATATGTCTTCAAATAATATTGGAATAAATCATCTCTATAAAGAACTGAAATATATGAATATTCTCTATCATTCAGCAATACCAATCTCTCCACAAGCATAGGATCTCTTGTTTCTCTTTTGTGTTTGGGAAATGATGATACTATTGGTTTTTTGAATAATTGTTTCTTCTTCTTTTTTTGATGTAAATATGTGTTGAGGTTTAATTTTGAAACTTTCTGATCCAATTCATAAGTCACCAGTAATCCTTCATTTGTGAAAACAACAATATATTGATTTGAAGGATCAATCCCTAATGTACCTTGTTGAATCGTGAGATATACTTCATCATCTTTCAATTTGATTTCTTCCAGTACGAAACCTTCACTAAGCGAATTGAAACCAATAATCAGTAATTTATTTGAAGCAGTAGCCAAAACAAGAAATTCTTTATCATCAAAGAGTTTTATAAGCCTAACATCCAAGATATGTTCATTAATATCAAAACTATTCTGTAGTTCAACCTTGTTTTCCAATTCGAATGAATATAATTCTATTGAGTTTCTCTTTGCAATCACCAATAATTCTGTGTTTCCCAACAGCTTTGCCACCAATATATCCACCACTTCATTCGGTTCCACCACTGTGTTCACCACAAACGACATATCCAAGAGCCAGCAGGATACAGACAACTTTTTTTTAAAGTAGAAATTCATTCAAATCATATATTATAAACATCTATCAAAAGTTCATGGTCGCGGTGGTTATGTTCACTTGGTGCGATGGCCTATCAATTTAACCCAAAGCGAAGATAAAATCATGAACTTGATATTGAATTTGCTTTATAAGCTGTTTGTGATTGTAAACTGAAAGAGACAAAGATGGTGAATGCATACACAGGATATAACTACGATTTTCATGATGATTCCATTTTATTTGAAGACACCATTGATAACCTAAATGAATATTTACCACAATCTTTAAATGAATTTAACCTTCAAGATTTGTTCAGAATCCGTCAACAAGAGAGGTTAAAAACTGAATATGAATATTATCTTGATGTCAATAATAGGAAAGAATTATACGATGGTGAGTTGCCTTCTCTCTTTGATGATGGTATTCATAACAGAAAAGAGAATTAACTAACTGATCTCGATAGCTATTTTGTCTATTGCGGGAAAGTTTTGTACAGAAAGTCATGGACCAAACACCAAAATCACTAAGAGGCTTAAGCTAAAGAAAGATGAAAGACCGAATTATTTTAATAACCTGTGGAAGATTTATTATGCTGCTCAAATAGTTAACGATTGGATTTCAAGTGATGTTCCAATGACTGCTGGTGGTGATGAAATATTGAATAAAAAAACAGATGCAGGTTCAATTTTCAGTGATGCTTTTAAATGTATTCATTTTGGTTCTATTGATGAGATAAATGATGATGAATTTGCTCGGAATATCTATGAATTAGAATTGTTTATTGAATATTCATTAAACAAAATGGATGGGGGTAGTGCTGAGTGTGTTTTACGCCCATTATTAAATACATTCTCCCGCCTTAGAATTCATAATTTAGGAGCTAATAAGGTTAATCCATCTTTAGAAAGACAAGATTCCGAATTCATTAGAAAAGATGCCTCATATGAATTTACTGTCAAACCAATGATCTACTTTGTTTCTCAGTTACTTTTAGTTCATGATGAATATGACGTTGGCTATAGAAGTATAGACATAACCAAGAAAACACGTCCAAGTGTAATTTGGGAATCTTTATCGTCTAATGGTGAACCATACCCCAGAAGTTTGAGAAATGAAGAGATGTTTCATTTATTCAAGCCAGATTTTTTGATTACACTGATTCACCCAAATGATACAATAATACCCGTTTGTGGGATAGATATGGAATGTCATGAACTTTCTGGGATTATTGAATCAAACAAAATTGATAATTTTACAAAGTTATCAAAAATTTTCCGTGAAGTTGCTCCCTTTCAAATTTTTAATAAATTTAGTAGTTACATTATTAGTGATTTCAATATGAGCTTATATTTTGAATATCCATTGGGTGATGGTAAATGGTGGAGTAATGATGAAGATGAAGTTCACATTACTGGTGCACCAGTTAAGTTTAAAATTTTCAACAATAGTGGTACTACTCCAGCTGATCGTATTCCATTACAGCTTTTGTTGATGCTAAAAATTTATGACACGATTAGAAGAGTGTTACCTATGGATACATGGTTAAAAGATTCCAATGGTGAAGACATATTACATGAAGGATCATATAGATTACTGGATCAAGGATGGAATGAAAAGGTTTTCAACCCATTTACAATATCACAATTTAGATATGGGTTTAAGAGGAAAATTGCAGTGGATAAATTGGGTATGATTCCAGTGGAAGCAACAAGAAGTCCACCCGGAAATGTAACAGAAGAGAAAGGAAATGCTACAAAGAGGTTAAAAACTGGAAAGAAAAATTCTGATTCAACGAAGCTGTTCCCAATCAATACCAGTTTGAAGATTTCAAATTATAGATTATTGACTGAATATTCAAACAGCAGAGGTATAAAACTGGTAATTGAAGGTGTGGACATATTTAAAAGCAATACAAACATTTCGAATAAAGTATTCTTCAAAATGTTTGATGTGGCTAATTTAAAATATCTTCATAGTTATGTAAACATTGTTGGTATGCCGTATTATGAAGAAGAATTCCAAGGGTTTACTGATTCTGAAATAGCTGTTTTATTTTCACTAGAATATGACTTCAAAGATTTTGAATACATCATTGAAAGTTTAAAAGAGAGTTACATCAAAGAAATTACGACCCTAAAGAGGATTAAAGAATGGAATTCAACACATGACAAGAAGGAACAAATTAATTCGCCTAAGTTGCTACATTATGGATGGACTTATCTTGAATTGTTGTCAAAAGGTCAAGTAGAATATTCTTACTGGGGACCATTCATCTGTACAGAATACCTTGATTTCATAAAGGATAATGAATATAAAGATAATCCAGAGCGGACTAAGAATTTGAGCAATCAAATTGAAATTCTTTCAAAAGCTGGGATTACACATAATGATGTAAAGAAGGATAATGTTTGCTTTGATGAATCTGATCAAGCATATTTAGTTGATTTTGGTCAAAGTATTGTTGATGGTAATAAGTATCTTGAAAATTATGACCTTGAGAGAATTAATCCAAATGAGAAATGTCTCTAGATGTCAAATATATGGTACTATGTGTGAACTGAAGCTTGAAAATGTTCTGCATAATGGAAATTATTTAATTTTGTAACTATTGTTTTCCCTTCTTGAATTATAACAAAACACATGTAACATCAATCCTATTGTTAGCACCTTCGACGCACTATTCAATGATGTTGACCAAGATAAGTAATGGAATAAAGTAATCACCTTCTTGGGCTTTCATGCCTCCATGACCTATTTTTGTTAAAGTATGAGTAGTTAACTGGTAAGGACATTATTAGAAGTTCATGGTCGCGGAGGTTATGTTTACTTGCTGCGATGGCCTCTATACTAATAAGCTCAATAATTAACCGGAAACGAAGATAAAATCATGAATTTGTTTGATAAGAATTCTGCTTTATAAATTGGTGATTGTGAATTCAAAGTAATAGAGATGGTGAATGCATGCACAAGCTATAACTACGACTTTGATGCTGATCCTATTTTGTTTAAAGATACCATTGATAATCTGAATGAATATTTACCAAGATCATTAAATCACCTTGACCTCCAAAATTTATTTAAGATACGTGATCCAAGAAAAAGATTAGAAACGAAACATGAGTTTTATCTTGATGTAAATAACAGAAAGGAACTGTACAATGGTGAGTTGCCTCTTTCCTTTTTATGATAATTCTAAAAAGAATGTGAACTAACTAAATGCATTTGATAGCTATCACTGTTATTAAATGGGAGTTTTGTATTCCAAGAAGAAGTTTAGACTCCGAGATTGTTAAAAGGCTTCACTTGAAGAAAGATGAAAGACCAAGATACTTTAGTTCATTATGGAAACTCTATGTCGCTGTTCAAATAGTTTATGAACCCATTTCAAATAATGCTCCCAAGACTGCCGGTGGTCATAAAGTGTCCAATACATCCATTTCTGATAATGGGATAATATTTAGTGATGCGTTTAAAGCTATTCGTTTCCAATCTGTTGGTGAGATAAAAGACGATGAATTTGCTCGGAATATTTTAGAGCTAGAGCTGTTTATTGAATATTCATTAAACAAAATTGCTGAACTGGATTCCGTCGACGTGCTATATCAACTGCTAAATACTTTGGACATCCTCCATACTGATAATTTGCTTTACAGTGGACTATCTTCAAATTCGAAAAAGTATAGACAAGATGCCATGAACAGTTTCATAATCACACCAATCATCCGTTTCATCAGGAAGCTACTTTGGGTTCATGCTTTTTATAATATTCAACCTAGAAGTACAGATACGAGAAAGAAAACACGTCCAAGTGTCATTTGGGATTCTTTAAACACTTCTGGTGAACCATACCCCAAAACTCTAAGAGATGAAGAAATGTTCCATTTACACGCACCAGATTTTTTAATTACACTGCGTCACTCAAATGCTTCAACAACACCCGTTTGTGGAATAGATTTAGAAGGTAGTGAACTTCATGGGGAGCTTGAATTGAATGAACATGATAATTTCACCAATTTATCAAAAGTTTTTCGTCGGATTGCTCCAAAGCAATTATTAAATAAGTTTAGTAGCTACATAATTAGTGATTTCACTAATAGCATATATTTTGAATATCCATTAGGTACTGGTGAATGGTGGAGTGATAATGAAGAAGATGTTTATATAACTGGTGCACCTTTGAGGTTTAAATTGTTGAACAGCAATGGTGATACTTCAGCTGATAGTATTTCATTACAGCTTTTGTTGATGTTAAAACTTTATGACACAATTAGAAGAGTGCTACCCATGGATACATGGTTAAAAGACTTCAATGGTACAGATATATTAAATAAAATATCATATAGATTATTGGACGAAGGGTGTAATGAAGATGTTTTCAATCCATTTATTATCTCACAGTTCAGATATGGGTTTAAGAAGAATGTTGCAGTGGAAAAGATGGAAAAACCTCTAAAAAGTCATTTAGGATATGTAACAAATGATACCGGAAACGGTCGAAAAAGGTTAACAGTTGAACAGCTATTATTCAATGATACATCACTTTCTGAGGGCATCACAAGCGGAAGTGACAGGGATTTCGATACAAAGAAGTTATTTCCTACCCATGCCAACTTAAAGATTTCAAATTATACACTTTTGAGTGAATATTCAAACAACAGAGGTACAAAACTTATAGTTGAAGGCCCTGATCTATTTAAAGGCAATACAAACGTTTCGAATAAAGTGTTTTTCAAAATGTTTGATTTGGCCAATTCAAGATATCTTCATGAGTATGTGATCGATGTTGGCATGCCATATACTGAAGAACAATATGAAAAGTTTACCGATTCAGAAATTAACATAATGAGCTCACTGAAAGAATACTCCAAAGATTTCAAAGACATCGTGGGAAGCATAAAGAAAAGTTATATTAGAGAAGTCACGGCTTTGAGAAGAATAAATCAATGGAATTCGACACATGGTATCGAAGAACAAGTTAATTCACCTAGATTACTACAGTATGGATGGGCCAATCTTGAATTATTGACAGAAGATGGTCAACTTCATTATTCTTATTGGGGACCTTTTATTTGTACCGAGTGCTTTGAGTTTATAAATGATAATGAACTTGAGAATCATCCAAAGCGTATTAAGAATTTGAGGAATCAAGTCAAACTTCTTTCAAACGCAGGAATCTCACACAATGATTTAAGAGAGGACAATATATGCTTTGATCAATCTGATGTGGCATACTTGGTTGATTTTGACCACAGTATTGTTGATGGTAATAAGTATCTTGAAAAGTATGACTTTGAGAGAATTGATCCACATGAGAAATGCTGCTAGATAGTGCATACCTGGTATGTGTGTTGATTTAAGCTCCAAATCTAATGCTGTTTAGCTGAATTTGATCTATTTGTTTAACGAATGTAAATATATTCCCTTGTAAATTCAAATTATTACGACAAAATTGATATACAACTGAACCACTCAGCTGGCGCTTATAACCGAAAGTTATCGTATAATAGACACTAATTGTTTCTGTGATTACCGTTTTAGGAAGTCAAGGGTATGAAATTTCTGTAATTTGAAATATATCAAAATTTAAGAATGAAAGTCGTTCGAAAACATAATACACCTAGTATAAGAGATCTGAATACATTTATTGTGCCATCTAATGATTTAATTTTCCTCTGAATAGTTTATTTACTTACAAATTCCAATCAATTAAGTATTAGTCCGGGTAAAAGTTCGCGATCGCTAGTATTGTCGCGAATTTTAGCAGCCTTCTCCCTTTTTATATCAAATGGCCAATTTTTTCCCTTTGAGTGTATTTCAGGATTTGGATTTTGAATTTAAAACATCAGTTCAATTTTTGTTTTATTGGTTGATTCTTGTTCTTAATCAAGTTAATTGAGTCCTATATCATATCTAGTCATGTCTGAACTTTGGTAAGTGCATATTCCCCCGTTGTTTGTTGTTGTTTGGACTGTGGTTGTTTTGATGTTCGAGGAAATGTTATGAACGTGTCAAATGATGATGGAATTTATGGGAGATTGATGATAATTTCAAAGGAATTGTTGGTATAAATGGTTGATTTTGATCAATTCGAGTGAGAATTAGATCATTTAGGGCTGTATTTGAATGATTATATTGATTTTTAGCTTGAAATTGTCATTTTTTGCTTTCTCATATTTTTGTCCCATAATAGATAAGAGAAACATTTCCAATTTTTGAGATTGAATCAACAACAAGAACAACAATTGCAAATTTTCTAATCAGATTTACTAACATTCATATTGTTTAGTCCAGTTTACGCTCCATTCTTTGGTTCTATAGGTTGTGCTGCAGCCATTGTCTTCACATGTTTTGGTGCTGCTTATGGTACTGCTAAATCAGGTGTTGGTATTTGTGCCACTTCTGTTTTAAGACCAGATTTATTAGTTAAAAACATTGTTCCAGTTATTATGGCTGGTATTATTGCCATTTATGGTTTAGTTGTTTCAGTTTTAGTCTCTGATTCTTTAAAACAACAACAAGCTTTATACACTGGTTTTATTCAATTGGGTGCTGGTTTATCCGTTGGTTTATCAGGTTTAGCTGCTGGTTTTGCCATTGGTATTGTTGGTGATGCTGGTGTTCGTGGTACTGCTCAACAACCAAGATTATTCGTTGGTATGATTTTAATTTTAATTTTCGCTGAAGTTTTAGGTTTATATGGTTTAATTGTTGCCTTATTATTAAACTCTCGTGCTACTCAAGATGTTATCTGTTAAATCAATTGAAAGTTTTTCAATCAATTGAAAGGGAAAAGTATACGAGATTAACAAAAGATGAAGATATATACAACATATAAATATCCTTTAAAGATGTCAACAAAATTATTGAAATTTTAAAGGATTTTAAAAAATTCTTAAAACCATATTATTATTAAAAAAATTACCAAAAAAAGATTACTCATATTATAGAAGGAGATATTTTTATAAAATCAGAAGAGTTAATTCAAACCTCTCTTCATATCACTTTGAATTGTTATATTATATATAAATTTACTTTAAAAAAAATGTGAATTTAATTTTATTAATTTCTTTTTAAATACAAAATATTTTCGTAACAATTAGTAGAATACATATACACATGTTTATTTGTTATTCTAATTATATCTTTCTTCTAAAAATGATCTACCAATTTCAACTGCAATATTTCTTCTAACTAATATTAATAAATTTTGGAAATCAGTTGGAGGTGTTATTTCAGATTCTTTCAATTGTTTAACCCAATAATTATCTGGTTTAGATTGTAATTTATCTTCATCAATAGATATTTTATATAATTTATTTGCTTGTTCTAATATTTTTGAGTTACCATGCTTTTTATTTATGAAATTATTATCAAATTGATCTAAAATTTTAACAACTGATAATAATTCTTGCTTTGTTAAAATTTTTGGTGGAGTTAAAAATATAATAAATGGTAAAAATTGTGAAATTAATAAACCAAATAAATTTGGTGGTAAATGTGGGAATTTTAATAATGAAATTAATCTTGTAATTGCTTGTTTTAATGAACCAGATTCTTTAAATTTCCAAAATTGATATAATATAGCATAAGGTGATAATAATTGACGTAAAATTGGTGATAATTTTAATGATTCAGGATCAATATCTTCTATAATTATAGAATCATCAATCACCGCATTTATAATCAAATCATCAATTGGTTTACCTAAAATTAATGATTTTTCAAAAATAAACCATGTATGATGTTTAACATATTCAATATCACCAGCACGTGCAAATAATGTTAATGCTTCTAATACAAGACCTAAATTTAATGCTCTTTGTGCCGCGGTTCTAAATAAAACATGTGCAATTGTTGGTAATTTTAAACTTGCACAAATTGTTAAAGCCCATTCAATATCATCATTTGTCTTAAAATTATATTTTGGTAAATATTCAGCTATAACACTTCTTGCAGTTGGATTTCTTGAAAGGGCTAAAAGACCAATACCCACAGGTATTAATTTTTCAATTGAAAGACAATCAAGTGCATGACCATGTAATAAAAATTCTGAAACATTTCTTGTTGAAAATAAATCTTCTTGATCCAACAAGGAATTTTGACCAATTATTTTACCATTTTCATCTTCATCTAATGAATAACCTTTTAATAAACCTTTAGCTTCTAATAATGCGGAAGTGTATGCTGCAGTGGCACTATTAAAAGAACTTAATGATCTTAATACTTGAATGAAATTTCCTTCAAATATATCAACACTTGCAACTTCCCAAACAACAGTTCGATCTGGTTGATGATGTTGTAATGATTCAGTGAAATATTCAGATAATAAAGAAATTGATGGGATATGATAATATATTAATGCAACTAATGATTCATACCAAGTTTCAGAAGTTTCAAATATGATTGATTTATTACCCGATATTATACTTAGTAATGTTTTAATTCCCTTATATAATTCATTATTTTCTGATACTTTATTCCTTATCGAAGCATTTGAAGAAGCTGTATTTGCTGCTTTTTTCCATTCTTTGAAAACTTCAGGTGTTGATTGAATTGGATAATTTGATAATAAATTTTCAGCATCTGTAAATAAATTAAATAAATTCAAGTCAATTGAATTTAATTCCTTATATTCTGAATGTTTTAATGCTTCAGCTGCATTTGAATATAAACCTCTAAGAACTAATTGATTAATAAATTTCCAGAAATAAGGATGTTGATAAGGTTTTTCAGATTTCATAACAGCTTCATTTAATTCAATACTTGGTTGTGGATCAGCTCTATTGATCCAATGTGATAAGAGTTGTGGAACATCTTGATCATTTGCAAAGAAAACAGCTTTTAAAGCGTTTAATATATATAGACATTCTTCTAATTCAAATATACTAGCATCTGAATCTTGTTGAGCTTGTTTATGTTCAATGTATAATTCTAATTCTTGAATTGTTAACGAAAATGCATTATTTAAAACTTCAGCTTGTTCATGTTGAGCATTCTTCTTGATAAGCCCTATTGTAGCAACGGAATAATATCTTTCATCACCAAGTGCTTCATATATACTATAAAGACTTGAAATATATTCTGTATAAGCATCTGAATCATCAGATTGTGGGATTGAAATTGGATATAATTTTGTCTCTTGTGGGAACACTTTGATCTCTTTATCACTAGTTGGATCTTGAGAAATGAAACCAACACCATTGATACCATTTGGATTCAATTTATATTTCAATATTCTGGAAGTATTTCTCCAATTCTCAACTTCATCATTAGGGATCGGAGCTTCTGGGAATCTTTCCAACAGCACTCCTGACACAGGGTCCAATTCTTGATCTAGCCCTTCGTCTTCCAATTCTTGGTCATCATCATCAACGAAATCAAAAGTTTCATCCATCAATTCCATATCTTTGATCTCCTTGTCTTGAGCCATGTCTTGATGTATTTGGAACGCCATTGCACCTCTAAAACAACCTTGAAAATGGGTCTTTTCTCTTGCTTTGAAAACGTAGATGATCTCTGGGATCTATTCTATCCAATACAATGAAATACCAGCTCTTTAGCAACCAATTCCTTCCTGGATCAAACCAAAATCAAACTTGAGATCTAAAAATTGTAAACAACAGATTTGTTTTTTTTTTGAATTTTCGTTATACTGAAAATTAAAAATTCCGACTATTTTTTTCGCGAATTCCGGTCTCTGGTATAGAAAAATTTAATTTTTTTAAAGAAACTCATCTCATCAGAAAAAAAAAAGTGGGAAAGGGTATTTTTACAAGGAAAGTAAGGTAAAGCAGTGGTCTAGGATGAATCAGGTATGTCTTATGTGAATAATGAGCCTTGGTTTGGTATAGTTACTAACTTTTCACGAACAGATACGGTCAGCTGAGGGTATCACGAGGTTCTTGAGATCAAAAGATACTAGTATAGATGAAGTGGTTCAAGTTGGTTATGAGTTATTACAGGGCCAATTGAACGTATATTTACCTAATAAGAAGTCATTTGTGTTTGAATTACTATGTGATAGACTTAGTGATGTCAAGACCAAGAAATTCAGAACTCAGAGCTCAATTTGGTCATTATTATATTATACATGGTGTGAATTAGATGATGAACCAAAATTAAGAAATAGAATATTTCAAAATCTTAAATTTGGTGAAGCTTTAGTTGATGGGCTCAGTCATGTTGATAATGATATCAGTTTCATAAATGCATTGTCTGATATCATGAATGCTACTAGATTAGCCTCATTAATTGGTTCAAATACATTAGAATATTCAATTGATATATTGTCAAAATATCTTGAAATTATACAAAATATCAAAGAAAATCTATCAGACGCTGAACTGGGAAATCATATCCATACCATTACATCATTTTATCAAACTATAATATCAGCTGAAAATTTGAACAAAAAATACATCTTAAAATTTGCATCAATAGCATTACCAATAATTTTACAATTATCTGCATCTATACACAACACAGAGAATAATAAACAGCATACTGAACTCTTAAGCATTATCAAGAAAGTTTTATTGAATAAAGAACAAAAAGAAAATCTAATACCCAATTTAGAAGCATTATTAAAATCCAAACCAACTAATGAAAGTCTTGTATTATATTATGATATATTACTTGATACAATTTCAAAAGATGATATCAAAACAGCTGAAAAATTATTTACATTAATAACTAATAAAACCCCTGGAATTACAAGTTTATTATTAAAATCATTATCAAATTTGAAAAGAACTTTATCACAATCATTTTTAGATGATATTATCATTAAAGAATTTGATAACAAGACTCAAGATTGGAATTTAATCCTTTCTGTAATTCAATTAGATATTGAAATTGGTATTAAACATGCTGAACAAATCTTTATATCTTTAGATTCACAAAAAAATGAAAATTGGTTAAAATTAGGTGAACAATTATTAAATTGTTTTATAAGAGCTAGAGAATTTTTAAATTTTTTCAAATTATTGAGGAAAATCCTTATTGAAACTGAATATTCATCATATTGGTCAAGTATTGAATTTAGTGATTTAATTTCTCAAAATGTTTATGTCCTATCAATTACAGAAATGAATAAATTAACTGAATCAATTTTCCAAGGTGAACAAACTCCTAATAAAGCTGATTATATCTTGTTAAATTCCATTGTTCAAGGTTTATTCAATACTCAAGATATTACATTAGTTGAACAATCTAAAAACTTATTAAAACCTATTTGGGAAATCAATGATGATGATGAAGAATTATGGAGATTAAAATATCAAATTTTATGTCTTTATGAAGATATCTTGGATCAAGATTCAATCTCCACAGTCGTTGAAAAAAGTGGGAACCCATCAAGTTTAAATCAATTCTATTTATTATTTCGTATTAGAGAAATTTTTGAATATGATTTTAGACCAATTGTGGAGAATTTTTTAAAATTCTTGGAAAGGGAATCTAAAAATAATTCTAATATTTTCCAAATCATATTGAATAGATGGTTTGTATTAATTAATGAATTTTTCCAACCTTTAGAAATTACAAAATTTTGTGAATTAATTTTCTCAGTTCCAAATGATGATTTAAATAAATTATTTGAAAATGATTACCTTTTTGAACAACAAAAATTAACTGAAGGTTTCATTGAATATATAAGTAAATCACTTGATTCCAAAAAATCCTCAAATTCGTTACAAAAAATTGAAATTTTAGCCAAGTTCCCAATTCAATGTTATCCAAAGAGAATTAAACATGTTATTTTAGATCAACTTGTTGAAATATTATTTAAATCATCCACATCTCAATCACAAAATGAAATTATTTTAAATTCAATCAAGCATATAATTTCAACTTCACCAACTTTTAAATCAAAGATTGAAATTGATTTAACTACAATTTTTAAATTTGTTGAAAAAAATCCAAATTCTGATATTTTCAATAAAGTGTGGAATCATCATTATCAACAAAGGAAGGAAGTTTCAAGCTCTAAAATCATAAATGAATTAATACAAAAATGTGTTCAAAAATTATCAAAAAATAATCAAAATTTATCATCAAGTTTTTATATATCTTTTATAATTTTAAAAAATTCATCAAGTAATGAAATTGATACTGACCAATTATTAAATTCATTTATATCAGCTTCCAAGACATTATTCCATGAATTTATTAAATCAGATTCCCCAAAATCAATTAAAGATATAACATGGTTATTAGGTTCATTTGCAGAATTAAATTTATCTTTCCAAGATTTCCAATCATTAAAACCATTAATTTTAAAATTTTCATCAAAATTAAATAATACAAATGATGATTTAATAATTAATGCCAAAATTAATATTTTTAAATTATTTTGTCAATATTTTAATGAAAGTGATGATATTAAATATTTTGAAAGTTTATATATTGTTTTGAGAGAACAAGGTGGTGTTAAAGATGAATTGTTAACAAGTTTAAGTTTTGTTTTTGGGAAACTTTCAAATAATGTTTTCATTCATGGGTTTAATCATTTATTATATTCAATTGATCAGGATGAATTAATGGTTTATAATTCAGAGATTTTAGGATTATATTGGAAATTTTTCAAACGTGAAGATAATAATGTAATTAATGATTTTGTTAGATCAATTTCTAAGATTTTATTAAATTTTAATAAATTTATTCATTCAGAATCAATTATTAATGTTTTAATTTCAATTAGATCAATTTTATTAGAAAAAACATGGATAATAAATCAATATGGATTAGAATTAATTTTATCATTACTTTCCCGGGTTTCAGATTCATTAATATTGGAAAATAATGAATTTAGTGAATTAATTTATCAAAATTTAACATTAACTTTATCAAATATATTATTAATTCATAGATTTAGATTATCAAATCGTCATCATATCTTGTTAAATTTATTCAAATCATTATTATTAAATTTATCAAAAGTTAACCCAATTAGGAAATTACCATATTCAATCAAAAATGCAGATTCAATGTCTCGTGTTTTAAATAATCTTTGTGAACCACCAATTAATTTTAAAGATCAAAATTCAAATTCATTAACTTCATCAAATTCGTTGGTTAAAAAATCATTAAGAAAATATTTATCAACATTATTATGTTCATTTATTTTTTTTAATTTAAAATATTCTTATGATTCTCATATTCGTGAAATTTTATTACCAGGTATTTTCAATATATTTGATGTATTATCACAAAATGAATTAATTTTGGTTAATACATTATTAGATAATTCAGGTAGAACTTATTATAGGTCATTATATGATGATTATAAAAAAATTGGTAAATGGCAAACAGATTGAGTTACATACATACAACTTGTTATATAGTAATGATACACGTTTTATTTGTTTATATAGCTCTAATCCCTGTAATGCACTAATAAAACAAGCAAAAATCAAAGATCTAGACCAGCATGATTAACTTTGATTGAATTGAATTCTTTGTAAGTTTAACCACAAATACGACTCAATAAGAAACCTTTCAATTGACCAAAGACAAAATTACCAGCTTTTTTAGTATTGTCATGTTTAGCAAATTTTTCAAAATTACCAGCTTGATGATGAGTAGTTGGATTTAAAGGAGACTATAATGTTAGTATTAATATATCAAAGCTCAATTATTCATTCAACTCACTGGATTACCATTATAATTATGGGTATCAAATTCCAAATCGGCATACCCATGTTGAACAGGGAAAGGACCTTGTTGTGAAGGAGAATCAGGAGGGAAATAAGTGAAACCCATTGTCTTGTATGAATTATAAGTTGAATTAGTTGATGTTTTATCTAAAGTATATAAAGAATCTGAATAAATTGACATTCTTTAGTTTTTTCTGTTTGCAAATTGCTGGTAATTCTCCCAAATGTACTGAAATGTCCCGTTTTGGCGTATGTGCTTTTTCCTGTCAGCAAATGTTTGAAATTTGCTGAATTTCATGCAAAAAAATTAAAAAGAATTCGCGAAGCATTCGCGGAAAAACTGAGATTATGTAATGAATTATGTAATGGGATACAGATTACATCATCATTTTATAATCAATATTATTACATCATAATTACATAATCGTAGTTCTTTAGTCATCTGACGCGTCACATGACCATTTTTCTAGTAAAATTACAATCAGTGAGCTCATCTTTTACTCGTTTCAGTTGAAATTTTAATCAAATTCCAATCAAAAATCATAATCAACTTGCTTGTTTTGTATTTAATTTATATCAAAGTCTATCTATAACTGAGTATATACAATGAGTGGTTATTACGGTCAAGTATGTATTAATTGATTGGTATAATATAGTATTCATATTAACTTCTTAGCAACAACAACCAAATTATTATCAACAAGGTCCTCAACAAGGCTATGGTGGATATCAACAAGGTCCACCTCAACAAGGTTATTATCAACAAGGTCCTCAACCTGTTTATACTCAACAACCTCCTCAACAAAAAGAAAGTGGATGTTGTGGTACTTGTTGTAAAATCTTGTGTTGTGCTTGTCTTTTAGAAATGTTGTGTGGTGATTGTTGTGGTGGTGATGATTATGGTCCAGGTGGTCCAGGTGGTCCAGGTGGATATTAGGTTAATTGATATTGCAGCTGATAGTACTGTATCTCAAAAGAATCAAAGGCATATACTGTATTATATCTCATGAATCATATCATAGTTGCTTTTGTTGATGAACATTGAAGTTTTTTTGTTAGTTTAATACTTTGTTTATATTGTATCAATATCAAGGTTTATTTGTTTTAATTACATTGGTAAATATTATTAAGATCATATACTGAACAATCATCTAATCATATATATATTATTTTGATCTAGTTTCGATCCAAGACAATTATTAGAGGCAGAGTACATATCATCAACTTTGCCCTAACCTAGGTGCACCAAAGCCGATTGTAAACTGAACAACCCAAAACTAAGCCCATAGTCATCGTATTAACAAACAATAACGCACACCTCAAAGATTCCATACCTTCAAAGACATCAAACTCGAGTAAATATAGTCTTTTTCCCTTAACAATTTTCTTTATTTTTGTGACAGAGTTTCAACGGTTATGTACTATTTTAAGATCACAGCCATTCTCGAAGAATACCAGCGTATAAACTAAAAATAACACTATTGAACCCGGGAAAAACAATGATCATATAAACAATCAAGCCTCTATTCATCTAACCCCATGACTAGTAGTCATCATTAATAAATTATTAGTGTTTATTATCAGAATTGTTGAATGAATCATGCTTAAATCTGCGCTTCAATAGAGGCTTATGGATTTTTATTTCCTTGGCGTGATCTTTCGGGTATATAAAGTACATTCTCAATATTGAACTAATATTAAACATCGAAAATCAGGAATTATATATAAATAAAGTGATTGATCCTGATATGTAATTAGCCACTTCACTGATTCCATAAAATTAATTTACTTATCAAACAAATTAGACAAACATGCATCATCACGGTGTAAGTATAGATCTATTGTATTATATATCGGTATGAGACTAACAATATCAACTTTTTAGCATCATCAAGGTTATTATGGTCCTCCTCAAGGTTATTATCAACAACAACAACCTGTTTATATTCAACAAGCTCCTCCAAGAAGAGAAAGTAGTTGTTGTGGTACATGGTAAGTATTAAGACTAGTAATTCATATTGATTAGACTTAAGTACTAATAAGATCTCTAGTATGAAAATTTTATGTTGTTTATGTATTTTTGAAATGTGTTGTGGTGATTGTTGTGATATGGATTGTTGAAGAAAGAATAGAGTGGTATTATATATACCATTATATGGTATTACATTTGCATAGATTTTTGATTTTATTGGTGTTTAAATATTTTGTACAATCGTTTTAATGAATTTGAATTAAAGACAAATAATGAATCTACATGATTTTGTAATAATTTATTATCCATTATTCGTATTCAACGTATATATATATCCTCTTGATATTTCTCTCTGTTTCTCTTTGATTCAATTTAAACTGATTCTTCTTCAAATGCAGTTTCAATTGGTTTTTCCATAAATGAAGCATGTGATAAAACACTAACACTTGAAGCACCAATTAACCATAATAAAGCAGAAATTGGACTAGCTAAAAATCCTAATGGAACTGCAATAACTAATAATCCAGTATATAATTGAGAATTTGTTAATTTTAATGGACCTAATTCTAAATCAGCACCTTGTAATTTACTTATACCGAAAACACCAGCTAATGTAAAGACAATAACAAATAATAATAATAAATTTGTTAATAATGAATAAACACTTAATGCAGAAACTATTAATGCATAATTTGTTTGATAATATTTTAAATTATAAGAAATTCTTGATTGTAATTCACCAAAATTTTGAGGTTTTGATATTCTTTTAACATCAAAAAATTCTTGTGGTGGACGAATATTGGCAAATTTATTTTGAATTGAACCAGCTTCAGACTAAAAAAGATTGTTAGTTATATGAATCACGATCTAAATATAAAACCACATACTTTTAATCTATCAAGACTGAATCTTTCAGTGAATTGTGAGAATGGAATATTGGACAAACCGGCTAAGGACATTTTGGAGTATCAACTGACTAATTTCTTCTATAAGTATACCAAAAGGATGAAATAGTTGATCAAAGTATTGTATTGAAATTTGATTCTGTTTTTGTTTATTTTTTGTTTTTTTTTCAATTGTTTCGTGTTCAAAATTCAAATCAACAAATTAAAATTAAAAAAAAAAAAATGAAAGGCGCAGCACAAAACTTATTGACACGGTGGAAACAGTACAATAAAATGACAGACAGTATAAACTTATTATTAAATTATTCATGTATTTAAGAGTTCATTACAATCCTAAATCTTGTTTAACCAAATTAGCAGCAATTGGATGATAAAATGATTGATACTTCTTGAAAGTTTCAATAGCTAATTCACGATCAACTCTATTTAATAATTTATAACTTGGTCTAACATATTTCATTCTACCAACAGTTCCTAACCATTTAGATAAATCATTGTAATATTGAGATTTACCAGAAAGTAATTTTAATTTAAACCAACGGAAAATAATTTCTGTGTTTTTGGAATCTTGTAAATCTGGATAAATTTCTAATAATGAATCTGATGCTTTTGAATTATTTAACCAGAAATCTGATGAAGGTTGAGATTCTAATAATGAATCAATAAATAAGATTTTTTGTGGTGATGAGAATCCATCATATAATGATTTAGGTTCACCTTTAGTGAAGAATTCTTTAAATTCTTCAATTTCTTTAAATTCAGTGGCTTTTGAAATCCATTTAGAAACTAATGATGAAACATTATCAACTAATGTAGTATCAAAATCAGCTTTTGGTGGTAATCCTGGTGTATATAACCATAATTCCCAATCAATATTATTTAAAATATCAATCTTGGATTGATCATTACCATAAAATTCATATAATGAATCAATAAATTGATAAGTATCTAATGATTTTTGTTGAAATTTGGTGAAATAAAATTTAATAAAAGGATCAAATTCTTTCAAACCACCTAATTTTGTTTCTAAATGATAAATAAAATTTGAACCTTTTTCATAAGGAACTGATGAAAATGTATCATCTGGATCAATTTTACCCTTTTGTAAATCTTGAACTAATTTTGAATATTCAAATTTTGGTAATGCTTCAATTGAATTAATTAAATCATTCCAACCTTGAATAAAACTAAATTGTCTAAATGCTTCACCATGTAATGCACCAGTGATTCTTCTTTCTAAATAAACGGTCCAACCTTCATTTAACCAAAAATGTTCCCATGAGGCATTTGTAACATTATTACCACTCCAACTATGAGCTAATTCATGTGCAATAACATCAACTTGTGATTTATCATAAGAGATTAAAGTTGGTGTAACAAATGTAATATTTGGATTTTCCATACCACCATATGGGAATGATGCAGGATTAATTAAAATATCATAAGTTGACCAAATATATGGTGTAACAATATCTTCTGCAATTTTAATGAATTTTTCTAAATCTTGTTCAAATTCATTTATAGAATCTTGTAATCTATTTGGTTCTGCATAAATAGTAGATCTTGGACCAGCTTTAGCAGATGTAATATTACCAGATGCAATTGCAATTAAATAAGAAGGAATTGGAATTCTTTGTTCAAATTCATAAATATCTGAGGAATCTTTTGAAATTGGTAAACCTGAAAATACAACTGGATGTTTTGATTTAATAATTGCATTAAAAGTAGATTTAACTGATGGTGTATCAAAACATGGGAATAATGAACGTGCATGAATTGGTTCTAATTGAGTAAAGACATAATCTGATGAATCTGTTGTACTTGTCTCGGTTTTCAACCATTGAATCGCAGTAGAATCCTTGGTTGTTTCAAAATCAATTGATAATTCTAATGATGATTCTCTTGGAGCTTCATATGTAATGTCTAATGAAGATCCTAATGGTTCAACTCTTTCATTGATTTGATATTGTGCCAGGGTATTATTAACATTAATCTTGTTAATTTTAATAAAACTTGAATCCAAAGTAATTTTTTGAATAGAGTTTAAAGCCAAGAGTTGATAAGTAACATTACCAATAATTTTTTGTTCATTAAATAATAATTCAATATTTAAATTGGAATTTTCCACTTTAAAATCTTTATAATTTGATAAAGTTGAATAATCAGTTTCTGGGGAAATTTTTGGTCTATGAGACTCGATAATTTCAGGTAATTTAACCATTTTGGAATAATTTCTATTAAAGGATCTCAAACCAATTGGGAATATATTCTTTAATTGATTTGAAAATCTCCAAAGCATTAAAAAGTAATATAAATTATTTCAAAACTCCATGTTGAGGAAAAAAGTTTATATGAAAGAACAAAAAGCGAACCACAATTTTCGCCGTGAATCCCAAAACAGAAATGGTTGGGTGCGCTGGGATTTGACTGGGGGATAAATAGGATGATAAATAACACTAATAAAAAGGGGAAATACATCATTTAGATTCACAATCAATTCACTTAGTTGATTTCAATTATATCACTGTCTTTTCCCCTATAGTTTACCATTTAATTCTATTGATTTCCTAAAACGTACTATGAGATTTCCTAAAACGGATATATCTCCCTGACAACTTCTTTAAACCACTAGCCAGCGCCACGCAACCATTACCCAATCGGGCAACAAAAGACACGAACACGTAAATTTAAAATTTAATCTAGAAATATTTGAATCTTAAATTAGTTATACTAGACATAAATAATTCAAATACAGCTATATTTATATATTGAGATTATTTTTGTTCATCTTAACATAATTATATCAAAGCTGAACAAACATGGAACTCACAGAACAGTTGGCTAGACTTCTGGGACTTGGACCCACTGCTGAATGGCCTCATTCTGAAAAGTCCCTTATTGAATTGATTGAACTCCAGAAACAGAAAGAAGTCACAAAACAAGAATATTACAAATTAGAAAATAAAACCAAATCCATAGAACTCATGAATTATTCCCTACAGGCTGGCATTCCAAGTTATCTCATACCCATGATATTCTCTGGTGATACAATTGGTGATGATGTTGTTCAAAAGTTAATCGCGTCTCAACAACAACAATTACAACAAGTATCAATCCATTCCAAACCCATCACACGCCAAACATCTCCTTCAAGACCACTATACACAGCTTACCAAGATCAACATCAACAGCAACAACAGCAACAGCATCAACAACAACATCATTCTCATCAAAATCCTATACAGAGACCTACACAAAACTTAGGACCTCCAGTATCACTTCATACAAGACCATTATCTCCAGCAAAGATAGGAGCTGCTGCTGTTGCTCAACTAGACAGAGGTCGTTATCCATCTTCACCAGTACATAAAAGATACCAATCGATGCCTAACAACTCACCTTCATTGAATAATTCACCAAATCCTGTTGTTGTTGTAAATTCTCCTTCCATACAGGGAATTCCGAGACATCAACAATCAATGATGGGTGTCTTAAACACTGACTTACAACCAGTGTCTCATAACAAAACGGATTCAACAAGTGATTCTGGTGGAGGATTACAATTTATAAATGAAAATCCTGCTAGTGGTGGTAGGAAAAGAAGTAGAAATAGTGAAGAATTGAAAAATATTAATGAATTTACTAATATAGATGAAGAACCAATTGAACATGAAAATAAAGAAAATATGAAAAAAATCTTTAGAAGAAAAGGTCATCAAAGAACAAGATCTGAAAATTATTTATTAGATAAACAAATAAGTCAAACTACAACTCCAATACGTCAAATTGGTAATGAAAATTTAAATGAAATTGAAATTAATGATAAATCCAAAACAAAAAATCAAAATAATAATGAAATGAAAGTTGATGATAATGATCATGATTCTAAAGATCAAAAGGGATCTGAAACTCCAAAAGCTGGTCCAAAATTTGCAAATAATATCCTAAGTTCTGCTTAACACCATTATGACTCCCACACACCCTATGATACCCAAACCTTCAATTCGAATACTTTATGAATTATTATATAAATTATGAATACCCACACTGCTACGTTAAATTTCTAGATTATGTTTTATACTTGCTATACAGATATATATATTATAAATATATACACTTGTTTTATGATGATTGTTTGTTTTCTAAATACATAGTTTCAGCTATACTTTCAATTTCTTGAATATTTAAAAAAGTATCAACATCACCATCTTCATCTAATTGTTCAAATAAAATTTCAGTTTTTTCCAAAAATTTTAAATTTTTGGATAATTCACTTGCTAATGATTTAAAAACAAAATCATTATCCTTTGGATCATTAATTAACCAATTAATTAAATCTTCAAAATAAATTTTATCATAACAATAATAAATATCATGAAATCTAAAAGGTTCTCTTGCAGCTAATAAAGCTTTAAGGACAGTTTTCTTACCAGATTCTAAGAATTTAATAACATCTTCCCATGCTTTTAAAGTTAATCCATAATGTCTATGTAATGGATAAGATAAAGCTCTTCGTATACTTGTTATAATCAAGGCTTTAAAAATTGATATTTTGGAATCTGGGAAAACAATTGTTGAATCTAAAAATGAAATTTGTGGAGTTAATTTACCCATAGTCCATGCAGATTCAATACCTAATTCACCTTGAGTTTCTCTTGATTCAAATGCAAAACTAAATAATATTGATAATATAGTATAATATAATGTTTTTTGATTTGAAATTAAAAATGATTTTTTAGGTAATTGTAACATTTTTTCATTTTCTTCCGTTGTAAAATCAGTGGAATTAATCAATGGTTGCTCCCATTTTAATAAATCTTTAATCTCGGAATATAAATCAGGATCATCTTCTGAATATTTTGATGTCATATAATCAGCTGCATAATATTCCGGATCAAATTTAAAATTTTCCTTGAGTAATCTTTCTTTAATTCTATCTTCTGGTTTTGTATGTTCTGGATCATCTAATTCATTAATATCATTACCATTTGATATTGAAATCCCCACGATAGAATCATAACGATTATCAAAACCATATTTGATTTTAAGATCTGTTGATGGTTGTGGTAAATCTTGATTAATTTCCCAATTGAATTCAGTTCCTTCATCTAAAGTTGTTTGTAAATCAGATTTTGGTTCATTAGAGTTGTCAACTTCTTCAATTAATGGCTTTTTAGTAGTGGTTGGTTGAACATTATCTTTTTTCAAATCTGCATCAACTTCTTTAATTAAATTCTCATCTACGTTTTGAACACCGATTTCTTGTAACAATTCCTTGGTATCTAAAGCTTGATTCCCTTCACCATTTTGATTATTATCAATTTTTTCACCTGCACGAGCTAATAATTTTTGTGGTAAATCTAAATCTTCAAACACTTCACCTTTATTCAATTTTGGAATTTTCACTTTCACAATTTCCTCCTTAGATTCATAATGAGCATTAGATCTTTCTTCATCATCAATTAATTTCTTATCAAATCTTAATCTTAGATAATATGGACTTAATGAAAAAATGAATAATTCATCTTCTGCAATGATTTGAACACCTGGAGCATCGAATCTGATATGACTAACTTTGATATTTATATGGACAAACTCCTCGTCTTGTGAACAAGTAAAGAATGGTGTCAACATGGCTTCTATATCACTTTTGAAATCCTATCTTTATAATACTTTTGCAATAAATTGTTTACTTATTACTTATAAAATTTTAAAAGATCTGTCAAAAATTTGCTGGTTAAATTGAAAAAAAAAAAATTATCAATTACGTAATCGAAAATAAAAAAAAAATTAAATTCTTTTATACCGATGAGATTAGAAATATAAATTATCAACTGATTTATAAAACAAAGAAGGAGACATATTTACCTTAGTGAAGAAATGAGTGAAGTTGAAGTTAAACCAAGTGCCCAACCAGAAACAGAGGTCAAAAGAGTACCTAGAAAGAGATTTGTGGGGAAAAGAGGTCCTGGTGCTACCAATGCAGATGGTTCTTTAGTTAAAAGTGAGTTATACATCATTTGATTTTATATGAAAGTGTCAAAATACTAACTTTTAAAAGCATCAAGAGTTAAAGGACATGTCGGTAGAGTTATGACACAAGTTCCACAAGAAATATTAGAAGATAAAGAATTAAACGAAGCTATTAAATTATTACCATCAAATTATAATTTTGAAATTCATAAAACAGTATGGAATATTAAAAAGCAAAATGCTAAAAGAGTTGCATTACAAATGCCTGAAGGTTTATTAATCTATTCATTAATCATATCTGATATCTTGGAACAATTTTGTGGTGTTGAAACAATAGTTATGGGTGATGTTTCTTATGGTGCTTGTTGTATTGATGATTTCACTGCAAGATCTTTAAATTGTGATTTTATTGTTCATTATGCTCATTCATGTTTAGTTCCAATTGATATCACATTGATTAAAGTTCTTTATATCTTTGTTACTATAAATATTGATGAAACTCATTTAATTAAGACTATTCAAAGAAATTTCCCTTCAAATTCCAAGATTGCAACTTTTGGTACAATTCAATTTAATCCAACAATTCATGCAATTAAAGATAAATTAGCAAATAATGAAGAACATCCAATTTATACAATCCCACCACAAATCATGCCATTATCTAAAGGTGAGGTTCTAGGTTGTACATCTCAAAGATTAGATAAAGAAGATATAGATGCAATGATTTATGTTGGTGATGGTAGATTTCATCTTGAAAGTGCAATGATTCATAATCCAGAAATACCCGCATATAGATATGATCCATATTCAAGAAAATTTACAAGAGAATATTATGATCAAAAACAATTAATTAAAATTAGACATGATGCTATTCAAACTGCATCAAAAGCTAAAAAAATTGGTTTAATCTTGGGTGCATTAGGTAGACAAGGTAATATAAATACATTGGCAAATCTCGAATCAAATTTATCAAAAAGAGGTATAATTGTTGTCAAGATTATTTTATCAGAAATTTTCCCACAAAAATTATCAATGTTTGATGATATTGATGCATTTATTCAAGTTGCATGTCCAAGATTATCAATTGATTGGGGGTATGCTTTTAATAAACCATTATTAACACCATATGAGGCAAATGTTATGATGGAAATGGATAAAATGTGGAATGAAAATTATTATCCAATGGATTATTATGGGAAAGATGGTTATGGACGTGGGAAAATTCCTGATCATTCATCTATTAATGTCTAAATACTTTATCAACCTTTGGTGGATGGGGAGTTTTGTTTTATAATGATGCAAATGAACTTTTTTTATAATCTTCTTCAACACCTAATAATGTAGCAACATCATATGGATTCCACTCTAGAATCTTTTCATCTGGATATAATTCCAAAAGGATATTATAAAAAACTAAATAAAGATTTAAAAATTTTAATGAACTTTCAATTATAATATCATTTGCCAATATTGGTGAAGAAATTTTAAATAATGATTGTTGAAATTCTATTAATGCTATAGGTAAAAAATCATGTAATTTTAATTCAATTTCTAATAATTTCTCCTTGTGGAATAATTTATTTTCAATTAATGATGAATACATCATATAATCATCTTTAGATTCAATTTGATCAATAGGGAAAATTAATTGAATTAATTGTTGATGGATTGATAATTGTGAATTTGTTAATAATAAATTATATTGATTTTCAATTAATTTTAATTTCAATTCTGTTATGCTATCATTTAATTCATCATTTTTCGAGGAAAATTGTGGTATTGTTATAATTTTAGATTGAATTAAATCTAAGCAATTCAATTGGAAAATTTGTTGATCAGTTTTATTTAGAATTTGATTTTGAGAAATGGATGTTAATATATCAATTGGTTCATTAATTATAGTTTTCAATAATGATTTAAATTCATCATCTGATAATTTAAAAATATGTTCATCAGATCCAAATTGAACATTATCAAATAACACTAAAACATCTGTTAAATAATCTCTAATCCAATCTGGTGGTAATAATAGATCATCATTTGATTCCACCGTATTCCCATTTTTAATAATTATTAATTTTTCCTTCATTATATTGAAAATTTTCTCCACAGTTATTTTTTCTAAATTATTTAAATTTTTAATAATTTGTGAATTTGGTATAATTTCTAATGGTAAATTTTTTTCATACATCATTTTAAATAATTCAAATAAATTGAAAAATTTCCCAATATTTTCTAAATTTATTTCATTTCTAATAATTTGTTCAATTCTAATTTTTAAGGGTCTTGCTAATGAATTTAAAATTTCATTAATTATATCATTTGTTATATTTCCTAGTTGTTCTAAATCACTCAACTCTGATAATTCCTCATCATCTTCTTCTTTTGCAAATAATATTTTGATAAATTCCACTTCATTAACCATTGTTGAATGAATATAAGCCAATATATCACCTATATATCTTAATGGATCATGAGCAGATAATACAATTGGACGACTTTGATCATCATTTGAATCTGCATTATCTAATTGATATAAATATTCATCCACTATTGTTTTTGAACGTAAATAAATTAATTTATTTATTAATTTATTAAAAATTTCTAAATTATCATGTAAATAATATATTGAAATTTTTAAAATTTTTAAATTATCTTGTTTTGAATTTATTGAATCTTGGGTATTTAAATTTTTAATAATTTATTTTCAAGATAAAATGATAATCTTTGATAAGATAAATTTAAAAAATTATCCATTTTTTTCATTATATTTAAACCAAGATCTTGATTCCCTAAAGTTAATAAAATTGAACAATTTGAATGTATGCTTTTACATTTTGATAAAACAGAGAAGAAATTAATTGATATTTCTTCATTTGTTAATACATGTTCATCAAATTGAGTTAATGTGAATTTTTTCTTAAAATTTAATAAAATCATTTTTTTCAAAGTTAATATAGTTTTTTGTATAGATAATTTTTCAATTTGATTAATTAATTCAGGATTTAATTTATCAAAGTTTTGGAACTTATTATTAATATTATTTAATTTCTGGATTTTATCACCAATATTTTCAATTTTATGAATTATTGGTTGAAATTCTTTTAATACATTTGAATGTTGTTTTAATAAATCATTTTCAATTTCACTTCTAAAATTCCTTCTTGCTATGGATCCTAATAAATCAGTCTTAACTAATTGATCAATATCCATAATTTTTTTATTTTGTAATAATTGAATAGCTTCACGTAATTTTGGATCATTATTATCATATGTATTTAAAACTTTTGATAATTTAGTACTTAATACTGAAGTTGATGTGGTATGAGATGAAGCTTTGGAGGTGATATGATTATTTAGTTTATCTGATTGATCTATTTTAGTATTTGAACTATTTTCATGGGGTAAATCAGTAATTAAATCATCATTTGAAGATTGATTATTTGAATTTAATAAATCTATTGATATTTTAGCATATTTTTCAGCAATTTTGGAGTTATTAACAGTAGTATCATCACTATTATTATTACCAGTACCATTATCACTATCACCAGCACCACCACCTTCACTCAAATGATTCTTCAAAATTGATAAATTCTTAAATTTATTTGTTATTGGATTTATAGGTAAAATTAATGGTGGAGCAGGTTCAGGTAATCCATTATTCTCCTGTGGATCTGTGTCATTCTGGAACGTGTCGTAGTCTATGAAATCCATTGTAACATCAACCTTATAACCAGCTTATTTCCTCTTCAATTGACCTTCTTGATCACTTGTGAATCTCGTTTGATCTCATTTCATTGTTTATTCAATGATTTTGTTTACTTGGTCAAATTGGAAATTGGAAAATTCGCGGGAAATTGATGTGATTATGTCAGAAATTACAAATCAGTATAACTAAAATTAACAAAAACCATCATATTTATTTATTTAATAATCACTTGTTGGTTATTTACTCCGTTCTATATTTTGGTTTTGGTTTATTTTGTTGTTGTGGTTGTGGTGCTGCCTTTTTTTTATTCTTTTTACCACCTCTCTTATGATGAATTTTCTTCATTAATTTAGCCTTTTCTTTAGCTTTTTGAATTTTTTCTAATTTTAATACTTCTTTACGATGTTCTTTACCTTTTATCGAGGCAATTCTCTTCTTTTTACCAGGTCTTTTAGTTTTGGTTTGTTCTATTTCTTTTTGAATTTGGGTATTAAATTCATCTAAATTAATCAATTTACCTGGTATGTTATATTGAATGTTACTCATTGACCATACATCATCTCCTGTTATAGCTGATTGTTGGAATTGTAATAGTTCATCATTGGTATAATTAGCAAAATAATATGATTCTGGTCTTTCTTGATTTATGATTTCAGGTGAAGGTGATCTTAATGTGATTCTCATTGTATTACTCTTAGTGATGGATCTACCTCTATCTTCTTCATCTTCCACTGGTTCACTTGGTTTACTCATGGAAAACAATGGGAAATCGAAATCTTGGGATTCTTCATCTTCCATCTTATCATCCTCCACATCATCATCAGCTTCTATTATATCAAATTCAAGTTTTGGTAATATTATTTCATCTTCCAATTGTTCTGGTTCACTTTCTGAATTATATAAATCATTTCTTGAAACTCTTGAAATTGTTATTAGTATCCTCTGATCTTGTAGAATATAACTACTGGGAACACATACTTCTTTATCCCACTCATCTTTGAATAATATGGTATAATTCAACTCTGATATTCACATTTCCATACTATTTTATTTAGTTTTTCATAAAGTACTATCAAAAAAAAAAATCTTTATATGATTATGTAATATTAAATCAATAATACCCACAAACTTTTGAGAATATTCGTTTTGCATTTCAACAATATCCTGGTGTGGTTAAGAATTACAAAGATGGTGAATGCATACACTGATTATAACTATGACTTTAAAGTTGATCCTACTTTATTTGAAGACACCATTCTCAATTTAAACGAATATTTACCTGGTTCTTTAAATGAGTTCAACATTCAAAATGTATTCAAGATTCGTGATCCAAAGAGATTGAAAACCCATGATTATTACCTCGATGTTAATAATAGATTGGACTTATATAATGGTGAGTTACCATCCCTTTTTTATGATACATCTATAAAACTAACTGGATATCTGATAGCTATTCCTGTTATTAAACGAGAGTTTTGTGTATCAGTAAAAAGATTAGACTCCAAAATTGTTGAGAAGCTTGAATTAAAGAAAGGTGAAAGACCAAAGTATTTGTTTTCATTGTGGAAGATATATTGTGCTGCAAATATTGTTGATGACGAACTCCCAAATGAGCTACCAATGACTGCTGGTGGTCATATAGATACCAATTCAATATTCAGAAGATCCTTTAAGACTATTTGTTTCAAACCTAAACCTGAACAAATAAAGGATGATGAATTTGCTAAGAATATTGATGAAATAGAATTGTTTATTGAATTTTCATTAAACAAATTGGAAGAAGACATTGCCGTGGAAAAATTAGGCAACTTACTTGATACCTTTTCCATCCTCCTTGAATATACTTCTGAAGCTCAATATCACAAACTTAAGTTAAATAAAAAAGATGAGGAAAAAATGAGACAAGACGCCATGAAAGAGTTAATCATATCACCAATAACCAACTTCTTTAATTCGCTAGTATTGATTCATTCTAGAATGAGATTCAAGGATGTTATGGCTCAAAAAATCAAGAAGAAAAGACCAAGTGATATCTGGAAAGCTCATGTTGCTGATAATGAAAAATTTCCCCAAGAGCTTCTGGATCGTATAATGTTTCAAAATTGTCGCCCAGATATCCCTATAACGCTCCGTGTCGAAGATGGTTTAATACCTATAGCAGGAATTGAAATGAAAGATCAAGATGCGTCCGGTGCTCTTGAATTACTCAAGGATAATACTGATAATATTTCCAAGTTTTCGACAGTCTTTTCCCAGATGTTAGAATACCAGATACACCTAAAATTTAATACATTCATATTAAGTAATTTCAGTAAGAGCATATATTTTGAGTACCCATTAATGAAAGGTGGTACATGGGAGAAGGGTGATAATGTTGATAATGAGGTTAATTTTGAGGGTGTACCATTCAAATACAAACCATTTGAAAATAGTGGCAATTGTCCAACCCATAATTCTATGCAGTTTCAGCTTTTAATGTTTTTAAAATATTATGACGCTATTAGAAGAACATTACCTACAGACGATTGGTTAAAGAACTCCAATGGTGAATATATACTTGATAAAGAATCATACAGACTAATGGATGAAGGTTGGAAACCGGATCTTTTTTCTCAATTTATTATATCATTATTTAGAAATGGGTTCAAAAAAAAAGTTGCAATGGTTAAAATGGATAAGCTTCCAGAGGAAACAACTAAAAGCACATTGGAATTTCCAGCTGAAGATTTTGAGAAGAAAAATGGATTAAGAGGAAGTACCCCAAAAAGGTTAAAAGTTAAAAAGGAATCATCTAATGCTACATCACCATCTGTATCTACTACAGATGGAAGTGACGTGAATTTTGATTTGACGAAGTTGTTCCCAACCAATGCTAGTCTGGAAGTTTCAAATTACAATTTATTGAGTGAATTTTCAAATAGTAGAGGTACAAAACTTATAATTGAAGGCAGTGATATATTTAAAACTAATACAAATATTTCGAATAAAGTGTTCTTCAAAATGTTTGATCTGGTAAACTTACAAAGTCTTCATAATTATATTAATACTGCCGGTATGCCACGTTCTGAAGAAAAATTACAGAAGTTTACTAAATCAGAAATTCATATACTGGCATCACTAGCAGGTCAATCCACTTATTTTGCTGACATCAAGGAGACTTTAATAGAGTGTTATATAACAGAAGTCACAGCTTTGAAAAGGATTAAAAAATGGAATTCAACACATGGTCCTGATGAACAAATTAATTCACCTAAATTGCTACAATATGGTTGGGCTTATCTTGAACTGTCATCAGAAGGTCAATCGGGATATTCTTATTTGGGACCATTCATTTGTACCGACTACCTTGAGTTTATCAGTGATAACACATATAAAGATAATCCAGAACGTGTTGAAAGCTTCATGAAGCAAAAGAAACTTCTTTCAAGTGCTGGAATTGAACACAACGATATTAAAGAGGACAATTTTTGCTTTGATAAATTCGACCAAGCTTATTTTGTTGATTTTGATCAAAGTGTCATTGATGATAATCTAATTTATCTTGAGAAATATGATCTTCAAAGACTTTGACGTCTGTATCATTAGGAATGCCCCTAGATGATATAAAATGTTTGGCTATTTACTATATATAACTTAGAGCTGCTATTCAGCTGTTAATTGTAGCTATAAATTCGAGCAATAAATGATTGTGTATTTCCAAAAGATATTGCATTCCGGTTAAATAAAGTTGATATTTCGGGTAAATTACTGGTATATAATTGTGTAATTGTCAGGAGCTCTTGCTAATTGTTAGGACTATGTGACTTCCTAGTCAAGAAAGCTTAAGTTCTACTGGTATCATGTAGTTTTTATCTGAACTTCCTATGTAGTCTATATGTAATATAGACATATTCAGAGCGGGAATAGCATCATATAAACTACAATTTAAATTTTAATATATTTCCATGTATCAACTATAAACTAAAACCATATTCCATATATATTATTCCATATATTCCACCATAAAATAAACCTAGCCATAAGCCATAACCATAATAAAAACCATAAAAAAAGAAAAACTCCATAAAATAAAAAAGCAAATGTGTGTTGTGTATGTGTTGTGTGTTGTATAATAAGCTTGAAAAGCAAAAGAAGTAAAACCAAAAGACCATTGAAAAGCATCGTGTGTTATTGTGTTATGTTGTTTGTTACCATTGTTATAAAAATCTAATTATTGTATAAACCATTCAACTCAGTAAACCATCAATATCCATTTTACCTTTTTTATCATCATTTCCATTTCCCTGAGTACCATGAGTACCTTGATTTGAACCTGAATGGAAATTCATCAATTGATTAGCTGCATTAATAATCGTATCAATTCCATCATAATTTTTTGGTATTGAAGCATCATATTTATTTATATCTTGTGATACATATTGTGGTATGTATTGTTGTTGTTGATGTTGTTGTTGTCCTTCATCTTTACCAATGATTATTAAATTATTTTCTTCATTCCATGACCAAATAAATCCACCATATGGAATTTGAGAATTTGATATTATTGATCTTGATCTTATTGGTGATGATAAATTTGATGTAAAGAAATAATTTGAATTTGAAGAAGCTGCTGGATAAAATTTTGATGTATTTGATAAATCATGTAAAGATTTTGAAGCTTTAAGAATCTCTTCAATTTCTAATAATTGAATTTTATTTGTTATTGTTGGTTTATATTGAACATCAGATTTTGATCTTTTTTTAAAATTTGGTTTATCAATTGACATTGGAGTTGATATTGAATGTGATCTTCTCTTTTTATTCATACTATTTGCTGCATTTTCAACTTGAATCTTGGAATTTAAATCAATTAATTTACCAAAATTTTGATCTGATGGTAATAAACATTCTTTTGGGAAACCTTCACCAAATATTGGAATTAAACAATATCTAATATTAAAACAAAAATTTTTAGCAAGATTTCTAACAACATCAAATGGTAACCAAGTACCTTGAATTTTTAAAAACCCACCACGAACCCTTTTAACAACATTTGATAAATTGGGGAAATTTTCCACTAATTTAACAATATCAGTTTTATTATTACCACAACTTTTCCATAATCCAGTGAAAAATACATAACCAGTTGAATAATCCCATAAAATCCAATTATCATTTAATTTATATTCAAAAACAGTAAGGAAATTTCTTTCATCAACACTTGTTGAATACTTCTTCTTTTGAATAAATGATTCATTATCTTGATTAGATTCATCAATTAAAGGTTTAATTAAAGATAATTGAGAATCTGGTATGAATCTTAAAGTTTCATTTGATATTTGATGAATTGGATAAGAAACTTTTATTGAGTTTAAAAACATTAGATTATTAAGATTTGAATTGGTTTTAGATGGAGTGGATGTTGTAGTACTAGTAGCTGTACTAGTACTAACACCTTTGGATTGTAATTTTGGTGCAATATCTTTGAAAATGATATTTGCAGTTTTTGAATCACCACTCATATGAATTGAAATCTTGTTGTTTTAGTATCTCTTGATGTTATTCTTGTTTGAAATCCTGGGTGGCGATATACCTTTATTTTAGTATAGAAAGGGTGCAAAAGATCACCTTAATCAGCCACCAATTAAGCAAAAAAAGCAGTAAATGAGCCTGATAACCTGGTAACCTTTGATAGCCTAGTAACCTTAGACTAGCCTAAACGTCCTTTAACCAAAGTTAACCTCAATGTCTTTTGACTTGATATCTTGTTAAATCTCAGATCAGTTCCTCCTTTTTCAATTTCACTTTTTTATCAGTTTACTAAGAAATCGAAATTTTGACAGAAAGATAAGAGCAAGAAAAGTGTGGCTCTGTACAATTACCACTTGATTTACCCGATATCTACATCTATTTAACCGGACTACAAATAACCATTTGAATTTTCTATTAAATATCTATATTTGTGTCTATTATATCTATTGATCAAGTTATCAAGTGACATATCTTCTCATTTGGATCAATCTGTTGAAGGTCATACTTCTCCAGATACCGATTACCATCAACAATACTGCAATCATAATCAATAAAATGTGCTTGATCAAATTCATCAAAGCAAATATTATCATCTTTAATATCGTTATGCTTTATACCTGCAGCTTTAAGATTTATCAATTGATTCCTCATATTATCAACCCTTTTGGGATTATTCCTAACATCATTATCATTGATAAATTCAAAGTATTCTGTACAAATAAATGGCCCCCAATAAGAATATCCTGTTTGACCTTCTGATGGTAGCTCAAGATAAGCCCATCCATATTGTAACAATTTAGGTGAATTAATTTGTTCATCAGGACCATGTGTTGAATTCCATTTTTTAATCCTTTTCAAAGCTGTGATTTCTCTCAAATAACTATTTTTTAATTTTTCAAGTATTGGTATAAAATCTGATCTCATATGACCTTTCAATGAACTCAATATGGAAAGTTCTGATTCAGTGAATTTTTGAACCTCATCTTTATGATGTGGTATACCTGAACTGCTAATATAACTATGAAGATTTTGTAAATTTACCAAATCAAACATTTTAAAGAATACTTTTTCTGAAGTATTTGCACTATCACCTTTAAATATATCACTGGATTCATTGATCACAAGTTTCACACCTTTGTAAGTTGAATGTTTATTCAATATTTTATAATTTGAAACTTTCAAATTGGCAGTTTTTGGGAAAAGTTTTGTCAATTGATTTTTGGTTTCTTCCTCTGTAATCTTTTCCAATTTATCAAATTCAGCTTTTTGTTTAAACCCAGATTTGAATAATGATGTAACAAATGGATTGAACAGATCTGGTTTCCAACCTTCATCCATTAATCTATATGATTCTTTATCTAATACATATCCACCATTGGAATCCTTTAACCACTCGTCTGTAGATGTTTTTCTTCTAATACCTTCATAAGCTTTCAGCATCAACAAAAGCTGTAACTGCATGGAATTTGTTGGAGTATTTCCACTATTATCAAACAACTTATATCTTAATGATGCACCAGTGAAAACAACATCATCTTCATTATAACTTTTCCATTCACCACCATTCAATGGATACTCAAAATATATTGTTTGATTGAAATTACTCAACAAATAACTATTCAATTTCATAAATATTTGATATTGACTTGTCAAGTTGAAATCTTTTGATAAACTAGAGAGATTATCAGTTTGTTGAAATCTTTCAAGCTGGGAAGCTAAATCTTGGTTTCTCATTTCAATTCCAGCAATAGGGATTAAACCATCTTCAATATCTTCAAGAGTTATAGGGATATCTGGTTCACAATTATGAAACATTCGGCGATTTGTGAGGTTTTTAGGATATGATTCATTACCAACCATATGAGCTTTCCAAATTTGTCTTGGTCTTTGTGGTTCAATCTCTTTTTCCATTTCATTGGTAAACCTAATATATTCATTATTAGATGAAAGTAACTTATTAATGAATTGAAGAATTGGTAATACTATGAAACTGTTCATGGATTCTTGTCTTGATTTTTCCTGAGCTTTTTCATCTAAACGTGATTTCTTATGTTGAGAATTTGAAGTATAACGATGAAGGGTGGAAAAGATGTTTAATAATTTGGCTAATTCCTTTGCAGCAATTTTTTCATCCATATTGTTTAATGAATAATCAATAAACAATTGTAATTCATAAATATTATCAAATAATTTTTCATCTTTAATTTCTTCAGGTTTAGATTCAAACTTAATAGATTTAAATGAATCAATGAATATTGAAATATTACCTGGATTGTACTTTGTATTTGACACTTTATCACCACCAGGTGGTGAATTTGAAAGCTGTTCATCAACTATGTTAGCAGCAACGTAGATTTTCCATAAGGAATTGAAGTACTTTGGTCTTTCATCTTCTGTTAATTCAAGTCTTTCAGCAATTTTGGGGTTTAGATCTTCCCTTGGTTTACAAAACTCTCGTTTAATAACAGAAATAGCTATTAATTAGTTAGTTTTCTTTTCTAGTATTGAAAATCCCATGAAAAGGATGAAGATATCAACTCACCATTGTACAATTCCTTTCTATTATTTACATCAAGATAATATTCATGTCTCGTTTTCAATCTATCTGGTTGACGTATCTTGAATAAATTTTGAATTGCAAATTCATTTAACGAACTTGGTAAATATTCATTCAAGTTATCAATAGTGTCTTCAAATAAGATAGGATCAGTTTTAAAGTCATAGTTATAATCAGTGTATGAATTCACCATCTTTGTCACCTTAATATTAAATTCACCTGCACTTCAGTAATTATAAAACGTCAAAACAAAATATCAATTGAATTCACTATGTTTATATAAAGCTGCAAAATGATTATCAAACGCGTTGATTTCAATTTATAACATTGATTTAAATATAAGAACATAATTACACAACTCTAGCCTACCTGATAGCTGATTAGCCTTCGATAGGCAAACTAAAGCTGTGTTATAATACGGTATCAATATTCTTACCCAATTGGGATTCCATATTCAATGCGATTACTTAAGAAAATAAAACTAAAAGACTATTTAAATATATTTCTCCTTTTTAGATCTCTATACTATATACACATTATCGATATATACTAGATAACCACCTTCCATATACTTTATACAGGTTTAATTTGACTCAAAGTTCTTGTTTGATTTGTTATTGGAATATGGAGTAGGTAATATAGCAGCTATGATAAGCATATATCCTGCTGACGGATCACTTTCATGATTTATATAGCCTGCAATTGGGGTTATTATTTGGAATTTGGAAGTGTGGCTAATATTCATTTATCCGGGAATCGAGAGTAGATTTTTTTATTTAACCGAGACTACAATAACCATTGAGAAAAACAATTGTACCTATTTAAATTTGATATATTAACTCTATTAATTATCTATTCTATATATATATATCCATCATCTATTGTTCAATAACTTCTAAAAACCCACTATCAACATTATACATTAATCCCCAAATTTCTAATTCACCTTTTGCAACTGCATTTATAACAGGTTTTTGTCTTTTTAAGATATCTAATTGTTTTAAAACATTAAATTCAGCTAATTTTTTAGCTCTTAATTTTAAATTTGAAATTTCATTTAATTCATTAATTTTTAAATCTCTTAATTCATCAATTTGTTTTAAATAATTTTGTAAATTTGAATTTGTTGGACCTAAATCATTATAAGATAATGAATTCCAAATACCACCACAATCTGTATGACCACATATTATAATTTTTTTAACTTTAAGGACATTTATACTAAATTCCAAAGTTGATACTGTAGTTAAATCATCAATACTAATCATATTTGCAATGTTTTTAAAAGTGAAAACTTCACCTGGTGAAATATTTAAAACTGTTTCATTATATCTTGAATCTGAACAACCAATCCACAAGGTATGAGGATTTTGTCCTTTACCATTTGATTCAAATAATCCTGGTTTTGTTTCATTCATTTTTTCAGCCCATAATCTATTATTATATAAATAATCTTTTAAATTTGATTCTTTATTTAATGTAAATGGTGATTCTTCATGATCAAAATCACCATGACTATGACTGTGATGATGATCATGTCCAGCATGATCATGATAACTTATTGGAGAAGTTGATAATTGTTCTTGTTTAAGCATTTGGAATCTATTGAGTCTATTGAAATTGGGTATAATCCTTTTGGATCTAAATAGCATTGAATTTCAAATTGAAGTGAATGGAGTTTATCAATTTAATGGAATAATTGAAATATTTATACCAAACAAGAACAAACAATGATTCAAAATGATGATCAAATGACTAGTTATGATTCAAAATGCTTAATCAATGATTTAATACAAGACATGACTATTGATTATTAAATTTATTGGTCAATTTTATTTTACATATCTAAGATTTTTTAATCGTTAATGCAAAAAATGTGATGTCAACGGTGATTTTCACAGTTTTAAAATTTAAAAGGAGTTTGTTGGTAAATTGATAAGATTTAGGCAGGGGCTCTGTTTAAAGATCTAGGCAGAACACTCTGCCTAGGTCCCTCTAGATTTATTGTTTCAACGTGTTCATCTCTGTCTAAGGCTTTCTGCCCAATGCCCACGTCGTCTGCCCATCTCTGCCTAAATTTTTATTTTTGTTGGGAAATTTAAAATTAAAATTACTAATTAAAAGTGAGTCAATCGGAAAGTGTTGCACAAACCGCTGATGTCAACAATTAAATTTTGTTGTTATGGAAACTAAAATGGTGATGTCACTATCTAAAATTCACGTGATTATAATTTATTATTCCCTAAAAGGGATAGACTTCCATATCGGGAAATTAAAAATAATTGTGATGTTCTCAATAACCATATCTGGAGTATTTCCTCTTTAGGACATTTCCTTGTTTTCTAAGTTTATCTTTGTGTCTTGAAATTTTAGTGTCAAATGACAAATTTTAATTTTACAAAACATCTTTTTAAACATCTTTCTAAATCTGGGGAATTTTGATATTTGAATATTTTTTGGTTGGTGGTTTAGACTGGTTTGTTTACGTCTGTGATTACTTTTGGTCAAGTTTCTGGTTCATTTGTCCATTTGATTCACTTGTTGTTGTTATTGGTTACTGTCTGGTTATCATTATGTCTAATTTATCTTTTAAATGGGAATTATTATCATTTATCCCTCTATTGGCTGTGATTTATATGATTTTCAATGCTGCTTATCATAATTCAGATCCTCAAATATTAAATTGGAATTTAGTTTCTCAAAACTCTTTACACCCTTTACCAAATCAAGAAATTATAACTATTGACAATTTTAATTTACAATCTGATTTTAATCTTTATAACATTTATCCTTATAATGATGTTAATAAAACTGAATTTAATAATTGGATTGAAAAACAATTTCATATCTCATTTAATAAAATTTTATTAAATATTGCAGATCCAATTTTAAATAATGATTTAATTGAAAATGATAATGTTACTCCAGGTGCAAATTTAGCTTCAACTTCAAAAAAACATCCAGATTATTTTTATCAATGGATTAGAGATGGTGCTATTACAATAAATTCTTTAATAAGTCATTTAAATGAATTTGATTCTTTCCAAAATGAAACTTTACAAAAAGTTGTGGAAAATTATATTAAAAATAATTATCATTTACAAAGATTAGATAATTGGAGTGGGAAATTTAATGATTCTTCAGATCCTTTAAATAAATTTAAAAATTTAGGTGAACCAAAATTTCATGTTGATTCAACTCCTTTTAATCAAGTTTGGGGTAGACCACAAAATGATGGACCTGCTTTAAGAATTATTTCAATTGATAAATTTATAAAATCTTTAAACAATCATGGGAAACAATTTATTCAAACTGATGAAATTATTAAATCAACTCGTGATATTTATAAATTAATTATTAAATTAGATTTAAAATTTATTATTGCAAATTGGAATTTAGAAAATTTTGATTTATGGGAAGAAGTTAATTCATTCCATTTTTTCACTTCATTAACTCAATTAAAAGCTTTAAAAATTGGTTTAAAATATTTCAAAAATTTTAATGATGAAGATTTAGAATTTGGTGAAAATTTACAAACTGTTTTAATTGATTTAACAAAATTTATTTATGAAGATTCAGGTTTTATTAATTATAAATTAAATCATATTGTGGAAACTCCATCTTTCTTACATGAACGTTCAGGTTTAGATGCTGCAATTATTATTGGCTCTTTAATTACTCATGATGATTTTGATGATGTTGTCCCATTTGATGTTAATGATGGTTTAATTTTGAATACATTAAGTGAATTAATTAAAACGATGAAATATCTTTATCCAATTAATCATTCCAAAATTAATTTAAATCTTGGTGTTGCACTTGGTCGTTATCCTGAAGATATTTATGATGGTTATAAAACAAGTGAAGGTAATCCATGGTTTTTAACAACTTTATCTGCAAGTGAATTACTTTTTAAATTAATTGCAAATTTATATAACCTAAAGCAAGATTTAATTATTGATTCTTCAAATCAACATTTTTATTATAATAATGTTATTGAACTGAATTCAATTTATTCAAATTCTCCATTAATTAAACATTCAAATGGTCATGATCTGATTTTAAAAATTCCATACAATTCATTAGCTTTTAATCAAACAATTGGTAATTTATTTGCATTTGGTGATTCATTTTTAGAAATTATTAGAGAACATGTTTCAAATGATGGTTCAATTAGTGAACAATTTAATAAATATACTGGATTTATGCAAGGTGCAGAAAATTTAACTTGGAGTTATGGAAATTATTGGAATGCATATAAATGGAGACAAAGAGCTTTTAATTTGATTGGATAGATCATGGTTTATTATAGAGATATAGAATATTAACATTCGCTTTTTTAATTTAGATGATATTGGTTGGGTTTTTTTTATTATTATACATATTATATATATTTATATATTTGGTTTTTTTCTTATTATATAGAGTACTTTAGATGTTATTATATAATGGCTTAAAGGTTTTGGGTTTTCATAGTATAAGGTTATTTTGTGGGATATTTTACTTTCGTTTTTGATTATGATTTTATGAATATATTTATATTTATTAGGCTTTTGTTATATCACAATCTCGTTGTAGAGTATCTATGTAATGATTTGGCACCTCATATAGTATCAAATTCAATTTTACAAAAATAAGCTTCAATTAGATAAGTAGATCAGCTACTTCTTGTTCTATTTTGTGTCATGTTTTCCATTTTATCTACAAAATAACGGATATTATCTAGCTGTTCACTTTTAATTATATCCTCAAAAGGTTTGATATTCTTTAAAGTATAAATGATATTGCAAAGAACAAGAGACAAGAGTATATAAGAGAACATAATTTGTAAAATGAACGTTTGTCTGTTTTTGACCACTGAAGTCAAAGCACTTGTTTAAAATATCCACAAGTACAAATTTTCAATAAAATATAGTTAAAGTTTATAAATTGAAATTGATTAAAGTTTCAACCCCTTTCTTTAAAAAGTAGAATCAAAGTTTAAATTTCCTATAATTATATGGTCAAGTTTACTGACACGAAATGCATGACAGGTGGTTTTTAACCGAAATTGGTTGAACAAAGGAATATCAAGGAGGTTATTATGTGTATTGGTATAAAGTACAAGGGTTATGGATGGCTTGTTAGAACTTTATTCCTTTTCGTTAGTGAGAGAATAACACACTTAAAGTTTAACAAGGAATAATAAATCTCCTAAGTATAAATAAGCACAATCAAAACCTCTTAAAACATATGGATTTGGTTAAACATTAAATCAATATTAAGAAAAATGAAAACATTAAGAAATGCCTGTTATTACAACTTGGTTAGGATATACAATTGTTGCTGGTATTGCTGCTTCTGCTACCGTTGCATTTATGACTTCAGATGGGAGAGCAAAGAGTGATGCAAAAATCAATAGAAGATTTGACAATCTTTTACTTCAAGTGAGAGAGATTAACGCACGAAATGGTAACAGATAGCTCAATTCTTGTTCATTAGAAGCTGTGTTCTTTTCTTATGAATTGATACAATGTTAGCTGCTTGAAATCTATCTATATTTTTATTAATAAATGGTTGGCTTCTTACCTTATTAACTTTAAGTTTTCCTTGTATTGTTGTAGTTTCAGTATACTCCTTCGTACATGTTTTACTTGGTAACCTTAATTTATCAATGCTTTTAAAGTTTCATGCATGTTTCTCCTTAATTGAATTTTGGTTTTCTAATTTTTCGTATATATAAATAACAGCTAATCCTTAAATTTATAACAAAAGCTAAGTCAAACAAGATATTATTAATCAAAGTTTTTTCTTTACTGAAAGCATCCAAAAGCTATATTTGATCATTTACATTATGCCTATTTTAACTTCCTGGACTAGTATGATTATCTTGGGAAGTTTAGTTGCTGTTCCTACTACTATAATTGGACAAAGAGAGAATGAAAGAGAACATCAACAAGCACATGAGCAAGAGATTGAGTATAAATGCGGTTTAATTGAATATGAGCTTTCAAAACTCAGAAGGAGTCAAAATCATTAGAAGCAGGAACTTTAAGCTTTTTCTATTCAAGTTGATTGATGCTTCAATGGTGGAAATTTCAAATCATGATGATATATTGTCATCATTTTTATCGTATGTGGTTTATTGCTTAAAATATTTCAAGGTTTCCCTTTTTTGTGTTTTAAGCTCTGATTATATCAGGAAATTTATCAGCTCAAATCATTCTATACTATTTTCTCAACTTCTTTTCGTTATTTTGAAGAAATATACATTTAACTTTAATTATTTAGTGTAACTTTCTCATTCGAGTAACTTCATTAAAGACTCGAATTAACGATCGATGGAGTAACCAAGCATCATCTCAACCTTCAATCCCAAACCAGATCCAGCTTGGGTCTCAGGGATATAATTTAATATATAAAACAGGCTTCAGAAAGTTTAGAAATTATAATTATTACAGATGTAGCTTATACCGTTTTGATTATAGAGCTGCTGTACCATATGTCACGGATATAAGCGCCCAAGTGCTCGGGTATATAAAATTATAAGCATATAAACACTTTTCATTATTTAATGAGATCAATTAATAAAAACCTTTGTGTAAATTTTCATAACTATGAATTTTTACTCTAGCTTTCATATTGTAGTTTAATAAATGGAAAAGAAGAAGTCCAAAAATTTTGAATTTCAAAACTTGGATATCTTTTGTTTATTTTAAAATTCAAATTTTCTTAAATTGATTTTTGACCAATTTTTTTTTTCTCGGTAGAGCTTCAAAAACAGTACCACTAAAATTAAAGAGTATTCAGCATTAAATTAGTATATTTTGTTAATGATTTAACTCAGTTTTGATCTAACTATTTGCCATTCTCTCAATACAGTCTTTAAGATTTGGCCGCCGCCGCCGCTTAAATGCGTCTCCTACCAAATCAATATATAAGTACTTGTATCGGCCGAAATCAAGAATAAGTTCATGACACACCCTGTTACCTTCTTGAACGCTAAGGAAAAATAATACGTATGAATATACATTTACCAGTAATGTGGCTGACTCAATATATTGACTGTTATTATTCGATTGTATCATGATTACCAGATTTATCAATAAATATTCATAATGAACTTGGTCAGATATAAGATGAAGCTACTTCTTTTGTAGCTCTTGGAACATGAATTGACGAAGAACAGCTGTTTATATATTGCTATATTGCGTAGAAATAGATCGATCTATTTTATGGCATGCTGATAATACACACAAAAGTTTGAATATATTGTGTAATATGTATTATAGATCGGCTGTTGAAGCTGTATTAAAAGACTTTTGATCTACAATATCATTAACAATCGATAGCACGTTGGACGTAGAATCTTGTGAAATCATTACTTCTATTATATTTATATCATATTGTATCATCAATCTATATTTCTTGATGCTATCTTGGCCCAGAGAAAAACGATTTTTAAACATTGTATAATTTTTCAGTTAGATCTTTGATTCTAAGACTCTCCTGTTGAATTTGTTGATCAAGCTCTTTTGATAGTTTGAGTTCTTCAGAGATTTTGTTACATTGACGTTGAATAAGCATATCATATTGTTTGTTTGAATTTGAATCATTGATAGCCTTCATATATACAGCAGATGGAACAGCGACCAAACTCCCTAAAATTGCAGCACTGGATGAAGCTGTTAGAACCGGCATATTTTTCGACTAGATTAATTTGATAATGGATATTTGAAGATGCAACTTGATGACGTGGACTGTAATAATTATTTGAGTACGTTATTGCCAAACTATCTATAATCACACCAAAAAGTATAATTAGTACTAAGGAGGTTGTTTTCAATAAAATTATAGTAATAATTACACGCAACGCTGTTACCCTAAAATAATGAAAATGTGACATATCACAAATGTCAAATTTATAAACATGGCTCACACCCCTAGAATATAAGTATTTAGTTATTTAGACCAATATTAAACACAAATTCAAGAGATCAACTAAATTAAGAGAAACAACATGGTGGTGATTACAAGTTGGTTGGCATCTACTATTGCGTTCGGGGTTGCAACAACGGCAGTCATGACTAATGCAATGTCAAGCTATGCAGATAGAATTCTTAATATTAACGGTATTGAAAAGCTAGAAGATGAATATTTAGACTTAAAATTTGAAAATTATCAAAAAGAAAATAGATTATTAGAACTTAAGGAGCAAACAAGGTTATTGGAGCAAAAATTAACATCAAAGATATTCCATAAATTAAGAGAACAGGCACTTTACGACAAGTTTCATAAAAATTCCTCATACTTTGATCTAGCAAAACAATTTTAATTAGAGAAATCATTTGAGCTCAGGTTATATGTTATATCATATATATAATGTTCTATCAAAAAATGAAGTACGTAAGTACGTAAGTACTGTGGCTTATGGACCATGATGTATTTATTTATACCCAAAATTCCCTTAAAACCCAGTAAAACTCTCCATGAATAATTTAATGAATCACGAACCTTTGATCATCATGAAATCTCACTGAACACCTTCAAGAACCAATCGTCAAATACGTTTAATGGTGGTTGAAGTTGTGTGATGTATATAGTTCATTCACCGGAGGGCTTCTAACCATGCAGAATTTGTATTGAGTAGCACGATAGCACGATACTTCAAAGTTCAGATCTCTTGAAATGTACAAACGTTGGAGACTCATGAAAACTTGACCTTTTGTCGCAAACCACAAGAAGGATGAGATATAGGTTTAGTGGGAATCATAGAATAGATCTAGTCATAATTATATAGTTCATATTGCTCAAGTCTATGATATGTCTGGAGATCCAAAAGAAGTACGATTCTCAAATTCAGCAAGTGAACATAATCAAGAATCACAACTTGAATCTCAAAACCAAACCAATAAAGAAGGGAAATATTTTGAAAGTGATGCTGGTGATGGAACAAAATCAACTGATCAACACTTACATGGTTGGAAATTAGTAACTACATTATTCTCATGTTTATGTTGTTTATTTTTAACAGCTCTTGATCAAACAATCGTTGTGACAATATTGGAAACTGTGGGTAATAAATTCCATAATTTTGAACAGATAGGTTGGTTATCATCTGGATTTTTACTTACAACATGTGTATTTGCATCAGTATGGGGGAAATTATCAATTATATTTGGTAGGAAAAATGTTTTCTTATTTGCTGTTTTAGTTTTTGAAATTGGTTCTTTAATTTGTGCATTAGCAAATTCAATGAGTATGTTGATTGTTGGTCGTGTTATTGCTGGTATTGGAGGTGGTGGTATCCAAGTATTAAACTCTATTATAATCACTGAAGTGGTGAAAATGAGTAAAAGATCATTGGCTACAAGTTTAATAGGTGTTGTCTTTGGGATTAGTAGTATCATTGGTCCGTTAATTGGTGGTGCTTTCACTTCAAAAGTTTCTTGGAGATGGTGTTTTTATATAAATTTACCAGTTGGCGGGTTTGCAGCTGGTTGTATTTTGATTTTCTTCAATCCTCCAAGAGTTAAAAATCCAATAAAGAACCAATTGAAAACTATTGATTATATTGGTATTGCATGTATTTCAATTGGGTTAACATTGATTTTGTTGGCTCTTTCATTTGGTGGTACGCAATTTCCATGGAAATCTGCAGCTGTTATTTTATGTTTTGTCTTAGGTGGAATATTCTTAATTTTGTTCACAATTTGGAATTTCAAATATTCAAAAGAACCAATAATACCATTAGAAATCATTGAAGTACCACAGGTTGTTACAGCAGCTATTTGTCTTGGATTCTCATTCTTCTTTTATATGGGTATTATCCTTTATTTAGGTGTTTATTTCCAAGTTGTTAGAGGTGCTGATGCATGGTTATCTGGTGTTTCATTACTACCATTGATCTTGACAAATGTCGTTGCTTCTATTGGTATTGGTTATCTTTTGAAAATAACTAGATATGTTAAACCTTATTCACTTTTTGCCGCCTTTTTGGGTCCTCTAGGATGTGGTATCTTGGCTTTATTAAAAGTTCATTCATCATCATCACAAAGAATTGGACTTTTAATCCCAGTTGGTGTTTCAATGGGGTTTCAATTCCAAACAAGAATATTTGAAGCTCAACTTAGAGCACCTAAGACTCCTGGTGGATTAATCTTGACAATGTCATGGATGAACTTTATAAGAACTTTAGGAGGTACTCTAGGTGCAGAATTATCTCAAACGGTATTTAATTCATCTTTTAAAAACAAAATTGGTAATTTAATAGCTAAAGGTGATATCATGAATGTTTCAGTGCCTGAAGCTATGAGTTTTATTTCATTCCCAGATTCGATTAAAAGTTTACCGCAAAATGAACAAGATTTAGTTTATGAATGTGTTATGGATTCCCTGAGGAATGTTTTCTATACATGTGCAGCTTCTGGTGGTATTTCATTGATTTTTTCATTTTTTACCACAAATAGAAGGCTACCAAAGGATGATACCGTCGCAACCAATAAAAACAAAGATGATGATTTGATTGAATCTAATGCGTCGAATGAATCAAATAATTTAAAAGATCCTGAGAGTAAAGATGAGAAAAGCATACAAAATCAGCTAATAGATACCCGTGATAAGCAAGAATAGGCTTCTCCACTATAAGATACAGTGTTTGTATATTTTGCATTCAATGAATTTTAATAAAGTTCATAGTGATATAAAATTGTAGTTTATACCCTTTATGACCGCGAATACGTTCTATAATTTTATCTCCGCCGTCATACAAATTTTTTATTAAAATTTTTGGCATATAAACTTGCATCTCATCCCAGATTCTAAAGAGAAACATACCTAATCATATCCAGAGACTTTTCATAATGTCTGTTGCTACATTGATCGCTAGTCACAACTCAGGTGATAATTGGGTCTTGAACTTGAATCACTTGAAAAACCACGGGCTTGTTAGCTCTTTAAGTGATGGTTCATTGAAATTATACCCATTGAATGTTAATCAAGATAGAAATTTTGCACCAATTAGAACTATTCAAGCTCATAATTCATCAATTAACGCTTCAAGATCTGTTGATGGTGAAAATTTAATTGGGACTGCATCAACTGATGGGATCAAAATTTTTGATTTAAGAAACAGTAATGATTCACCAGTTGCAGTTTTCAATAATCAAAGAAATATACCATTTCTTTCATTAGACTTTAAAAATAATTATGTTGCCGGTGGTACTGAATTGAAACAAGCTGATGCTGAATTACATATATGGGATTTGAGAAATAAGGAAATAGTACGATCATTTGTCGATTCTCATCATGATGATATTACAGAAATAAAATTCCATCCAACTGATGATTCAATGTTATTAAGTGGTTCTACTGATGATTATGTTAATATTTATGATTTAAATATTCCAGATGAAGATGATGCATTACATCAAGTTATTAATTTCAATTCAATCCATTCAGCAGGTTGGTTATCACCAACAAGAATATATACTTTATCACACATGGAAACATTTGCAATTCATGAATTGAATGATAAAAGTGATGATTTACATGAGCCAAAGCCAGTTGAATTTGGTGATATTAGAGAACCATGGGATTGTGAATATGTTGTTGATGTGTATCCAGGATTCATTGCAACTGGTTCAAATTCTAAAGCTAACGCTAGATTATATCCATTCATAAATGAACAAATAAACTTAGACACTCCAATTAAGTTAAATGGTGCACATGGTGAAGAAGTTGTTAGAACAGTATATTGTCCACCAAATAGTAACTTAATATATACTGGTGGTGAAGATGGTAATTTAAGAATTTGGAAATCTGATATTGAATTGAATGCACCAGAATCATTTTTCCAATTATCTGGTGCTCAATCATCTACAACAACCACTGAAGATAAGGATGTTGAAATGGAAGTAGATACACCAGAAGAAACACCAGAAACTGCATCAACAAGTTCATCATCATCAGAGGACGAAGATGAAGAGTTAGAAGGAAAGAAGAGAAAGAAGAAGGAAAAGAAAGAGAAGAAGGAAAAGAAAGAAAAGAAGGATAAAAAGGATAAGAAAGAAAAGAAGGAAAAGAAAGAAAAGAAGGATAAAGGTGAAAAGAAAGACAAGAAAGATAAAAAGGATAAGAAGGATAAGAAACCTAAGAGTGAGAAGAAATCCAAAAAGGATCACAGATTCAAGCCATATTAAACTGCTGGGTCAAACCATACAAATTATATCAAATGTCATAGAGAATAAATTATTTCCAATATTTATTATACATTGTAGAGAAATCCAGTAAAATTTAAATGCCACCATTGAGATTCGAATGGGTGTAGTAAAACAGTACACATCCGAACACCACTTGCGCCTGTTTTGACCAAGAAAATCATCATTCTCCAAATCAAACAGATCACCTTAATTGCAATTTCTTCAAGTGATTAGCAACTTGCTTACTGATAGAGATTTGATTTCAATTGAATTGTGTTATACTCATCGCATCTTGTACTAATATTGCTTTATTAATCGTTGGGAAAAGTTTGGAATTGACCCGCTGCATGTTATTCAAATTCAAGTGTGATTATCGTGGAAAGGTAAACAGAACAAATTAATAAGAGATTTACCATCACGTTTCAACAATAGAAACCTGGATTATTCACAATTGAACACAGAAATGTCCAGTGTACCGCCTCCAAATGCTTATAAACCAGGAACCGTCTTGACGGTGGGCTCCCATACTGCAATTATTGTTAAATATATATCTGAAGGTGTGTATTTTTTTTTTCTAGGGTCTCACTAGTTTTGATAAAATTTCATATAAATACTAACAAAAATATAGGTGGATTTGCACATGTTTATAAAGTTGAAATAAGCCCCAAGTATGCTGATTCCAAAATTGCATGCTTGAAAAGGGTTGCTGTACCAGACAAAGTTAGTTTGAATATATTAAGAGCAGAAGTGGATTCAATGCAAAGAGTTAAAGGTCATCGTCATATTGTTTCATATATCGACTCTCATGCTGCAAGAATGCCAACTGGTACAGGGTATGAAGTGTTTGTGCTAATGGAATACTGTGCCAACAAAGGGTTGATTGATTTCATGAATACTAGATTACAAAATAGATTGAGAGAAGATGAAGTTTTAAGAATAATGGGGGAAATAACGGAAGGTGTTGCTAATATGCATGCATTAGATCCATCATTAATTCATAGAGATATTAAGATTGAAAATGTCTTGATCTCAGAAAATGGTGATTATAAATTATGTGATTTTGGTTCTGCTTCACCAGTTCTGCGTCCTCCAAGAGATGCTGATGAATTTGCCATATTACAAAATGATGTTTTGAGAAATACAACTGCTCAATATAGAGCACCTGAAATGATTGATCTTTATAGAGGATTACCAATTGATGAAAAATCAGATATTTGGGCTTTGGGTATTTTTTTATATAAACTTTGTTATTATACTACTCCTTTTGAAGAAAAAGGTGAAACTGCAATTCTTCAATCACAGTTTACTTTCCCAAGATACCCGCATTATTCTGATAGATTAAGAAATTTGATTTCTGTTTTATTAAGAACTGATCCACGTCGTCGTCCAAATGCTTATCAAACTTTGGAAGAAGTTTGTAAAATGCGCTCAGTTTCTGTCCCAATTGAAGATTATACCAAGAAGAAACATACTTCCGCTGCTACATTCAAACCAAAAGTTCATGCTACAAAAGTTCCATTACCGCAAGCCCAATCCCAAGGAAAAACAGAAAATTTCTCTTCTCAACCTCAAATTCAATTACCTTCAACTGCTAACTCAAATAAACCACAGTTTGTGAAAGACTTCAAACATTCAGCTTCTTCCGGAGATTTGTCAAATTTACCAAGATCTGCTGTATCTACTACTCAATTACAACCATCAAATAATTTAAGACCACTTAAAGACTTAAATTCAAGACCAGTAAGCTCTTCATTAGAATCAGCAGGTAATTCAAAAGATCCTTTTGCTGATCTTGATACTTCAAATTTCTTGAAAGCCAAAAGTTCAAGTCCACAACCTCCTCCAAAACCATCAAGACCAACATCATCATCTGCAAATATTTACAGTACTAGTCATAGTACTAGTGAGGTTAATATTAATAAATTAAGCTCATCAGTTGGTAATTTGAATGTTAATGATAAACCAAAATCTTCAATTCCACCACCAGTTCCAACTAAACCAAAATATGTTGATAGTATTGTTCAAACTGATGATGAACCGTTAGTCACAAAATCAAAAACTGAAGATTTCAAGAAACCAGCATTACCTAGACGAATTTCACATAAAAGACCTCAAAGTATGTATTCACTACCATCACAAGGTCAAGTTTCTCAACAAAAACAATTATATGAAACAAGTAATCAAAGTCAAAATGATGTTAATGAGCTGAAAAAAATCATCACTGGCTTATCATCACAATCAAACACTGTTGAGCTATCTCCAGGTGATCATCACATCAACAGTAATGTTGATTTCCTTAAAACTTTAGATAAACAGGATTCAGGTAAACCATGGGCCAGTGCACAACATACAGGTGAAAGTGTTAAATCATTACGTCGTATCAGTACCGGAAGTAAAAGAGTTAATTCGCTGATTGGAACTTTTACAGGGAAACTGAGTCGTTCACATAGCCGCTCACAAAGTCGTAATAGCTCAAGAGCTTCTTCCATTCATGAATCAGCCGGTGTTTATTCATCAAATACTGGAAATTCTCATAAATTTAGATCATCATCTGAAAGTATCGAAGAGGAAATCATCAAACCTGCAGAAAGAAAATCCATTGGTCGCTCTAATTCAATTCAAAGAAGAGTTCAAGCATTACTTAACAGAAACAATGATCCACCAATCATTAAAACTGCTAAAGGGTATGGTAATGATTCATCAAATCATACTGGCTCAAATAATAATAACAATAATAATCATAATGGTTCTAGTAATAACGATAGTATTGGATTTGATGGATTCAAAAAACCAACAATTATTAAAAGGAAACCACCCGTGCCTGCCAAGAAATTGGGTCCTAAAACACCACCATTATCAGCCCAATCTACACCAAGTACAGTCACTAAAACACCAAAAGGTTCTATAAAAGCTGTTGAACAAGAATCACCATCAACATTGAAAAAATCAGCACCACCTCCAAAACCTAAGAAACCAACACATTTACAAACTCTGGCAGTTAGTGAAGATAATGATAAAGACACTTTAGAGGTTCCAAGTGCTAAAAAGCATCTAAGAAATAATAGTATATCAAGTGAAATTTCAATTCCAGATATTGATGATTTGGAAGAAGATTTTAATAGAAGATATCCAAGTGCTGTTTAAAATCTGGTAACAGCAAAATAATTTCCGTAATACAATACATATATGTACAAATAAATAGCATTCCCATTTGATTTACATCATAAATGTACCACATAAAAACTCTGTAACTTCAAACTTGTAACTTGTAACCACTATGTATTTTTAATGTTATGTTTCATCAAGACATGTTGCTTCAGAGTCTCATAAAACAAATTCAGCTACAATATTCAATGAAGACTTTAATCCTGCTCCTAAATTCGATCGTACTCTTTCGTTAAATTGATTATATTTAAATTGTACACGTTATATTTCTAAATACAGTTTGTATTAGTTTTCAATGATGCATTCAAGAACTACTATCATCAAACTCTTCTATAGAATCCAGAACAAAATCAGTACCTTCTTCAAATCTTTCTTCAACTATATTATCTAAACCATCAGTATCAGATTTTAATACTCTACCAAATTTCTTTCTTGGTTTTTTGGTTTCTGAACCATCTGGACCCCAACATGAATGATTTTTACTTGTGAAAATTAATGAATTTTTGAAAAACCAATCGGTCATTGCTTCATCAACTAATGGAACTATTGGTCTAAGAGTCTTTCTATCAAGATATGCAATTGTAGCTTTAACAACGTTACGTACTTCACGATGACCTAACAGATGGACTATACCTGAATAAGCCTCACCAAATCCGAAAAATATAATTTTAGAAGCTTTAAAATATTGAATATAATTATCCCATAGATATAATACAATTTCTTGTGATGCATTCAGTGGATTATATGCATCATCTTTTGATGAGGTTTCTGGGATATTGACATCAATGAACCCATAGTTCTGTTGTCTTGACCATTCAATCAATTTTAAAGTTGAATCCACAATTACTGAACTACTTGGATTTATTAAACCTGTTAAAGGATCTGTTTTAGCCCAAATTTCAGCTGGATCATGAACAGCTATTATAATTGTTTCTGAATCATAAATATCTGGACTTGCTAATATTTGATCATCACTTGCACTAACAGAATCTTGTTTATCATTTAATACTGGTAAGCTAACAAAATTATGTTTAGTCAATAAATTGTTGGCTTGTTGATTACGAACAGCTTCTTGTAAGTTATAATTTTTGTTACCTTCATTAACTGGTAATGAATGATCCACTGCAGAATGACCAGGTTTTAGTGATTTGAAATATTTGGATTGAATTTCAATAACTTCATCAATTGTTTCGACAGCTTCATTTTTTGGTAATTTTGTCTTTAATTCATCTGGTGGTTCACCAACTAAAACTTTAGCCACTGCTAAAGCAGAGACTGCAATTGAATCTAAATTATAACCACCTTCTAAAACAACACATAAATTACCTTTAGCAAGTGATTTTAACATGTGTGTCATGTGACCATAGGCACCAGGACTAACGTGACATTGACCAATCATATCACCATCAGCAGCATCAAATCCAGAAGATATGATAACGAGATCTGGATCAAATTCATAACAAATTGGCATAATAACTTTTCTAAAAGCATAGATATAATCACCGTCACCCATACCACCTACAGGCCATGGAATATTAACATTTGAACCTTCAGCAGCACCTCCACCACATTGGTTTGCAGCACCGGCTAAAGTACCAGGGTAATATTTACCTTGTTCATATCTATGTAAAGAGATATAAAGAACTCTTGGATCATCATAAAATGCCTTTTGAGTACCATTACCATGATGAACATCCCAATCTAAAATAACAATTCGTTTCACAGATTCAGGATAATTTTTCAAAATATTCTTTGCAGCAACAGCAACATTTGAAAAAAGACAAAACCCACCAGGGGTATCAGGTTCAGCATGATGACCTGGTGGACGAACCACAGCAAGTGCATTTTTAACTTTACCTTCAACAACTGCTTTACAAGCTTCGATTGTACCACCACAACTTAATTTGGCACCTAAATATGAATCATGATTGAAATAAACAGAATCACCTTTTTCAGTTTCTTCCATTAATTTTTCTTTAGTCATTGAATTTGTACTTTCTAAAAATTTCAAATGTTCTTCAGTATGAACTTGTAAAATTTCTTCAGCTTTTGCCTCACGAACTGGTAGTTTCAACATTAAATCACCAATATCTTCAATACCGGATAATGTTGGATCTTTGATTAAACCAGCTTCAGCTAAGATCTTATAGATACGATAAATACGTCTTGGATCTTCTGGATGTGGATCAATATATTCATAATAAGATGTGAAAATTTTAGCATGATAACGCATACGAACATCATAGCATAACCCAGTTTTCAATGGGATATAATGTATCTTTGGCGGTACAATTGGAACAATTATTGATTTTTCACTAACGCCATTCAACGGGGTGATAGAATTTCCATTATTTTGAACAATAGCAGCATCATCTCTTGTAACAACACCTTCAACTTCATCAATTTTACGCTTTTCACGTTTTTCTGTATCTGGGGTTATAACTGGTTCAGCATCCGGTACTATTGTATCTTTTTGTTCTTGTTCTTCATTTTTCAATTCAACTTTTGCCTCAATGGTGGAGGAGTTATCACCTGCAGCAATGGAGTTTGCACCATTGGATTCTTCTTTAACTTCGTTGGTGCTCATTGTGATATTTGAACAGCTCTTTATATTGGTATAAGATCAACAAATGTATTATTTTACTTGCAACGTTGTCCTCTTTGTCTTATCTCGAGACCCTTCAAAGTATCTATTTCGTGTGCTCTTATAAATTTCCTGTCAAAAGCGCCTATCCTGAGCCTGGTGATCACTAACCGCTGTTTCTTTCAATTAAAAACAAGTATTCCTATAAGCACAGTACCCTTCTAGCCTTTACTCTGACCAACTCTTCCTTAGCACACTCCCTGTCTTTAAACAACCTGTCGTTTGTATCTCCAGAAGCGCTGTTTGTCAATCAGAAAGCGTCAAAATTCAATTCGAGAAACCAAAACAAAACAAATTCAAAAAATGAAAATCTCGAGAAAATCCGAAACCAGAACATCCAGACACCACGGACTTTTT